GTCTAGTTTCAATAAACTTGTTTGATATTTGCATAGATATAGCAAGATTAACCACACAGGCTCTTTTAAATCTGTTTTGTTGCTGTCATCAGATTTTACCTGCAAGCACATATGTAAACAAAGTAGAGTCTTATTGCTATGAAAATAAAAATATTAAGTTTCAAAAATTCTAGAGGGATTAGGGAGAAAAAGTTAATGTTAAATCTTTGTTTACCAAGATTTACTTTACAAAATTGCTGGAAGTCATAGACAACTTTATGATCTTAAAGATATCAGACAGGGACCTCCCCGGTGGTGCAGCGGTTGAGTGCTGGGTTGAGAAGCTGCCCGCAGCCGCTGCAGTGCCGGTTCAATCCCCGGCTGGGTGAGGGTCCCACATGGCACGCAGACCTCTCCTGCCGCCCGCTGCTCCCCTCAGCAGTGTACTTCGTCAGTCTGTCTGCTCTGCTCACCGCCCTGACTTTGGTGAATTCTCTCACCCTCCCAAGCTTCTGACTGTACCCAGTGCTTGTATAAATAAATTTAAAAAAAAAGATATCAGACACTTGGATTCTAGAATACTTGTCAAAATTCTTTCCATGAATTTCCTTGTAGATGAAGCACTTTGTAGGAATACATTGCCAAAGCAATAACACCACAAACCACAAAATCTCAGTTTGGCTTTGATTTGTATTTCACTAATGATTAGTGAGCTTCTTTTCATATGCTCATTAGTTATTTATATAACTTTTTTGAAGAAATATCTATTCAAATCCTTTGCCCATTTTTTAAATTGAGCTGTTTTGTTGTTGAGCTTTAAGTTCTTTATGTACCCTTAATGATCCCTTATCAAATAATGATTTGCAAATATTTTTTCTAGCATTATTTTTTAAATAAGGAAAGAATTCTGGATTTGTCAAATGCTTTTTCTGCATCTATTGATGATTGTGATTTTTATTTTTCAGTTTTTTAATATGACTTACATTGACTTTTAAAAAGTTTTATAAAGATAAAGTCATACAACTTACTCATTGTAAGTATATAATTAAATGTTTTATAGCATTAACAAAGCCCTACAAACATTACCACAATCAATTCTAGAACATTTTCATCATTCCAAAGAAACCTTGTACCTAGTAGCAATCACTCTCCATTTCCATCTATACTAGTCAGCTAGGGTTGCCATAACGAAGAACCGCAGACTTGGTGCCTTAAACAACAGAAATGTATTTCTACAATTCTGGAGGTTGGTATTTCAAACCACAGTAAAGTTGATTTCTGGTGAGATTTCTTTCCCTGGCTTGTAGATGTCTAGCTGCCTTTGCTGTGTCCTCACACAGCCTTTTTAATATGCTCTTGTGGTATCTCATCTTCTTGTAAGGACACTAGTCCTATTAGGTTAGAGCCTGACCTTTGTAACCTAATTCAATCTTAATTACCCCTAAAGGCCCTACCTCCAAATACAGTCATACTGGGGTAGTTAGAGCATCAACCAATGAATTTTGGAGGACACAATTCAACCCGTAACATTCTACCCACTACACCAGCCCCAAATTAATATCCATCTTGCATGTAAAATAATTCACCCTTTCTGAATAGCCCCCAAAATCTTAACGTATTCCAGTATCAATTCCACCTCCAAGATATCTAAATCAGATAGGGCACAACTTGAGTATAAGGCACAATTCTCCTATTCAGCTGAGAACCTGTGAAACTAGACAAATTATGTGTTTCCAAAATACAATGGTGGGACTGATGTGATAGACATTCCTGTCCCAAAAGGGAAAAATATAAAAGAATAAAAAGGTCATATGTTGTGCCAAGATAGTCTAAATCCTAGCAAGACAATTTCATTTAGATCTTAGAGCTCAAGAATATTGTCTTTATCACAGCACTAGCCCTGGGCTCAACTCAGGGGGAGGAGGTAAAAATCCAGTTTCTCTCTGGAAGAGGTTAGACTGTATACTTTCCCAACTAATGCCCAAAGGCATGGCTTCTAATCACATTATATCACCGAGGACCTGACTAGGATTCAACCTGGAGCCTGAAAGAGCTTTTGGATGTTACTCCTGCCTTTTAACCCCGTTTGTTGGAAGAATAAAACCAAGTCTCCAGTTTCTCCTGAAAGAAGCCAGTTCGCATATTTGGCACCCCAACTTTATAGCTGCCACTTGAGAGACTGGTTCACAAATCACCTAGCTCTCAGGCCAATAGGGCTCAGAATTTGCAACTTCCCTAGGACTATGTTAAACTAAAAGGCTTTTTTAACACAAAGACCTGCTACAGTTCAATAACAATAAAATGCAAGGAACCCCCAACTGAAAAATGGGTAGACTGAAAAATAGGTAGTAGATATAGGGAGTGGGTGGGAGGAAGGGGCAGTTTTAAAAAAAAGTGGGAGTACCTCCCATAGCTATCTTCCTAGGCTCAGTATGGAGAGACTAGGCAAAAAAAAAAATCTCTGGAAGGTATTTGACTTCATACTTTTCCAGTTGCTTCTGAATAGTTGGGCTTCTAAACAGCTTGCACCTGATTGTTGATAGGGCTCATAATTAGTAATCATCTAGGAATATGAAAGAGTATGTGAGAATTTTCTGTATCTTCTACCCCTAGCCCACTGTATTGATAAAGTCAAGTCTCTAGCTTCTTTCTGAAAGGAATTTAGACAAACATCTAGCACCACACCATTTTTGATGGGCACCCGAGGAAATCAGCTAGTGCTGGGAGATCATGGGGCTCAGCATTCCTCAAGCAAAAGAACAAGATAAATTAAAAAAAAAATGACGCCAATGAACTGGAAATAAGTGACATACCTAACAAAGAATTCTAAATAATCGCTGTAAAGACATTTTCTGAGTTCAGGGGGGCAATGCATGAACAAAGCAAGTATTTTTTTTTCCCCTTTTCTCTCTTTTTTGTCACCCTCCTTTATATCCACTATGAAGATTCATGGACTGTCAAGCAACTATTTTAAATATTTTTTGGGAAAGTATCTACAAAGTGAACAGGAAAAGAATCTCAGCAGACAAAAAGAAAAATGTTATCAGAGAACAAATTCTAGAACCAAAAAGCATAGTATCTGAAATTCAAAACCGTAAGTACCTTAAAAGAATACTGGAAGTAACAAAAAAGTCAATTAACTTGAAGACAGATTAACAGAAAATATCTAGTCTGAAGAAAAGGAAAAATGATTGAATAAATATGGACAGAGACCCAAAACTTGTGAGACAGTATTAAAAAGGCAGGAAAAAAGTTTTTAAAAATTATGATTAAAGGGCCTCTCCTGGTGGCACAGCTGTTGAGCACTGGGCTGCGAGGCTGCCCGCAGCCTCTGCAGTGCTGGTTCATCCCCGGCCACCGGCAAGGGTCCCACAAAAAAAAAAATATATATATATGATTGAAAATATCCAAAATTTGGTAAAATTTATAGATCCTGTCTGCTCACAAATCCTAAGCAGGATAAACAGAAAAAAAATCATACTTAGGTATATAGTTGAAAATGAAAACTAGTGATTGAAAGAAAAAAAAAATTTTTTAAGATTTATTTTTATTTATTTATGCAAGCACTGGGTACAGTCAGAAGCGTGGGAGGGTGAGAGAATTCACCAGAGCCAGAGCGGGGAGCAGAGCAGGCAGACTGAAGTACACTGCTGAGGGGCACAGCGGGCGGCAGGAAAGGTCTGCGAGCCATGTGGGACCCTCCTCCGGTGGCCAGGGAGCAGCTGGGGATTGAACCGGCGCTGCAGAGGCTGCAGGCAGCTTCGCAACCCAGCGCTCAACTGCTGCACCACCGGGGAGGCCCGAAAGAAAAATCTTAAAAGCAAATAGAGAGGGGTGCAGCAGTTGAGTGCTGGGCTGCAAAGCTGCCTGCAGCCTCTGCAGTGCCAGTTCAATCCCTGGCCTCTGGCGAGGGTCCCACATGGCACACAAACCTCTCCTGCCACGCCCGCTGCTCCCCTTAGCAGTGTATGTTGTCAGTCTGCCTGTTCTGTTCCCCACTCTGGCTCTGGTGAATTCTCTCACCCTCCCGCGCTTCTGACTGTACCCAGTGCTTGTATAAATAAATAAATAAATCTTTTTTTTTTTTCAAAAAAAAGTTTCACATAGGGAAGAGTATCCAAAAGAAGAGTAATTTTTGATCAGAAACAGATGAGACACTTTAAATGCAAGCCACCAACAGGTTGAAAGAAAAAAGGATAAAACAAAGATATAGCAGGCAAACAGTAAGCAAAAAAATGGTTCAGGATTACAATAATGTCTGACAAATTATACTTCCATAAAAAGGGACTATTGCCAGAGATAAAGAAATATGTTTATCTCTGGTGTAGCTCCTTTAAACGAGAAAACATATCCTAAATGTGTATATACCAAATAAGAGACAGAAACACAAAGTAAAAACTAACCGAACTACAGGGAGAAACAGAAAAACCCACATTTATAGGGTGAATTTAACCCCCATTTTCTAGTAATTTAAGAAATAAGAACCCCCAAAATTCAGTAGCAATACAGATTTGAACAAATTCAACTAATTTGACTTAATATAATAGTGTCTAGTTCACAAGATTTTATGTGGATTAAAGGAGTTAGTAAATATAAAGAATTTAGAATAGTGTTTAAACATGTAACAAAAATGAGCTCTCAGAAATGCAATTATGAACCTGTGGCAACATAATTTCTAAATTCATACAAGTTATTTTTAAAGTATTGGGCCTCCTCTGGTGGCGCAGCGGTTGAGTGCTGGGTTGCGAGGCTGCCCGCAGCCTCTGCAGTGCCAGTTCGATCCCCGGCCCCTGGCGAAGGTCCCACAAAATAAATAAATAAATAAATAAATAAAGTATTACTAGAAAAACAAATAATACAGTGTCCTACTAAAAATTAAATTATTCATGTACTTATTAAGCACTCTAGCAATAATTTTTACTTAGCAAATAAAGACAAGTGGCAAGTTTAAACCAAAATAATAAATAAAATGAATTAATTTTTAAAAAGTATGTTTTATAACAAAAAGCTTTCTTTAAAAATATTGAACTACAAAATTTATTCACAAGCAATACAATAACAATTTCTCTGAAGTATGAGTTATATCAAATAAGTAAACGTGCTACAATACCAAAAGTTCCATTTTTCATCACATCAACAACTTCTTTTAATTACAAATTTTCTCCCTGGAATAATGCAAAATAACAGATTAATATTGAAATATTCTTATCGTGACTTTAGCACTGAAAGTATACTATAACAACAGGGAATAAAATTTATTTACTTTCTTACATTGTTGTTCATTTTTGTACAGTAACTGATTGCTCCACTCAGGGGTAGCCCCGTAGATTTCACCACCATTGCTCCTGTGATCCATCACCTTAGTTCCTTGTGCTCCTCCCTAGCCTTCCCTTGCTGGATGCCTCAGATCTATGGTCAGTTTACAAGTTTTGTCTTTTCTTGACCTTTTGTTCATTTTCACTATATTCCCCATAAAAGTGAAATCCTCTAATATTTAATCTTTTTCCTTCTGACTTATTTTGCTTAGCATAATCCCAGCTCCAACTAGGGAGTAATATTTAAGACAAAAGTGGGAAATATTTATTCAACTGAAAGAATATGAAACAAAATTAAATCAATAATTAACCACATGGGGCCTCCCCTGTTGGCACAGCGGTTGAGCGCTGGGCTGAGAAGCTGCCCACAGCCTCTGCAGTGCTGGTTCGATCCCCGGCCGCTGGCGAGGGTCCCACTTGGTGCACAGACCTCTCCTGCCACGCCTGCGGCTCCCCTCAGCAGTGTACTTCGGTCCTTCTGCCTGTTCTGCTACCTGCTCTGGCTCTGGTGAATTCTCTCACCCTCCGGGGTTTCTGACTGACCCAGTGCTTGTATAAATAAATAAATAAATATTTAAATATTTAAATAAATAAAATCTTAAAAAAAAATTAACCACATGAACACAATGTGTTTTGAGGAAGTGTAAAGTTAAACTACACTGATTTTAAAAACTAAAAAGGCACACAATAAAAAGGTATTTAGACACTGGTTCACCTTATGGTGTAACTGAAGGCACAATAAACACAAATGGTTACATAAAAAAAGTTAATTAAAAAAGAGAAGAGACCAAAAAAGGAGCAGGAGAGGAAAAAGATAAGAAATAATTGCATACAGACATAGCACAACAGAAAAATAGAAAAGTAAGGGGAATAGTCTAGGAGGTTGTAAACATATAGGTCAAATACTCTTGTCATACTTGGTCTTTACTTGGGCCATGAATTTAAAAATGTTTTCATGTCTCTAGCTGTTTACCTGTACCCCTGCTTCATCTTGATTTTTCTGTCTTTATTCCCTACAGCTTATTTTCTCAGTTCTTATTTTTTATCTTATTATATGGAACACAGACCATATTTGTAACTACTTTTCCTTTTTTTGAATTAAGATGGATTTAAAGAATACTTGTTATCTTAAACTGTGAAGTAGCTAATTAATCAGTATTCATAGCACTTCTGTTCTAATCTAAAATAGGAATTCTTGAAGTCTGTGAACTCCTTGAAATTGTGTTCAAAATTTTGTGCAAGTGTAATTTTTTGTAAATTCTAAAGCTTCTGTTAGAGCCTGAGAGCAAATAACTGCTATGTTAAAGACTTTTGTGAATGCATTGTAAACATAGTTAATCATGAGCAAATCAGTATTTGGACTATAATATAAGAAAGGGAGCTAACACTTATTAATAAGCACTTCTCATATACCAATTTCTATGTTCTTTCTGGTATCAGTGGACTTAAATTCTGCACATTCCAAAAGAGAGCTAGATTAAGATCAATCCGATAACCTAAGAACAATCTAACAATGATGCCCTCTGGCCCTTTCTGTTGTTTAAAGTAAAAAACTGAAGGGTTTTACATAAATCAGTTAAATTAAATTAAATCAGCTGAGTTAAATTAAATGTGTTTTTACACAAATCAGCTAGCTGGTTTTACAATCTATAGAAGTAAAACTCATACCAAGAGTCAAAAAAAATGTAATAACTGATGACATCTTTAAATAAATTTTTAAACTTTAGCCATTCACCATACCAACAAAAAGATTTCTTAATGCAGATTAAATTGGAACATGGTAGATAAAAACAATCAGAAAAAATTTACTACAGTGAAATGTGGCAGTGAAAGACCTACATGCAACATAACCATGGTGAAAAACACTAGTGCTTCCCTTCCTTTGGTGTCCTTAAAGTTGTGCTTATTTTCCTTAATCCAGGGCTGTTCTGAAGTCTTTGCATGAGTAGCCATCAAACAGGATGAGCAAGTAACTGGGTAAATGTCAGACACAAGGGTACTCTCAGATTAATGATCTGTTATTTATTTATTTTTATTTTTTAAAGATTTATTTATTTCTGCATACAAGAGCTGGGGTACAGGCCAGAGATATGGGGGGTGAGAGGATTCACCAGAGACAGAGCAGGGAGCAGAACAGGCAGACCAACCAAACTACACTGCTGAGGGGAGCAGCGGACAAGACAGGCGAGGTATGCCACGCCATGTGGGTTGCTCCCTGGCCAGACAGGGATTGAACTTGTGCTGTAGAAGCTGCTGTAGAAGCTTCATAGTGCGGTGCTTAACCCCTTGTGCCACCAGGGAGGCCCCAGATTAATGATCTTTGTATCTCATTGAGATATTTGTATTTCTTTATAACATTTCACTTACACAACAGTTTCCTTGGTTTAAAAGAACTTTAAAATCCTACTTTTAAGTCAGAGTAAAGCAATGTCACAAATTAGTGGTGAGTGAAATAAGTTAAGGACCAGACACACGCTGATTTCAGGGCTTAGAGATCAAGAGAACTTTGATCTCACTGCTTTCTACCTCCATTTAACACTGCAATATGAAGCAATCTGCAGCCTCTGCAGCACGAGTTCGATCCCTAGTCGGCCAGGGAAAAAAACCACATGGTATATTTCAGTCAATCTGCCTGTTCTGTTCCCCACTCTGTTTCTGGTGGATCTTCTCACCCCCTGCATCTCTGGCCTGTACCCCAGCTCTTGTATGCAGAAATAAGTAAGTCTTTAAAAAAATAATAAAAATAAAATGGCCTTGTCAAATTTTACAAAGTGGAGCAACTTAAAACGCAACATATATGTAAATGGCCATGAAGGTAGTTAAACAATAAACCCGTAGCAAGACAAAATTTCTTTCCACAATAGCAGTCTTAGCTCTGAACTTTCTCACAGTGCATTAAAAAAAATGTTGAAATTAGAAAGAGAGAGAGAGAGAGAAAAGAGTCCGTACAGGAAAAGCATTGAGAAAATGTCTTCAGTCAACTTCCCTTTAAAATTAAGGTATAACATGCAAGTAATGGCTATCAGAGAACTGAAGAAAACCCGCAGATGAGCTGAGTAAAGCATTGTCCCAGAGGAGACAGAAATGGAGCACTGAATGGAGTTCCAAGCAAACCAAAGAGCCTCTCCCTTCTATCCCTGACAAAATTAAGCCAAAACAGGTAACACAATTGAGACTCATAAGCTATGAGCTATGAATTGCATGTAAACTTCAAGTTATGAAGTATCAACTGTGAATAACACAGTTAAACCCCATAGAGTATCACTAGCAATACAAAAAACTCTACATGTACAGAATTTAACTTTGCCTGGACTTTCTTAAGAATCAGCTATAATATTTTTTTATATTTTAATTTGGTGCCAGCCTTCCATGGCAATAGAATAGCTAAAATGACTTGAAAATTCAAATGCACCTATCTATTCTAGTGACCTATAGACTGAGAACTCATTCTATCAGTCATGCAATAACTTTTAAATCCTACCCTATTAATTCCTAAATGACTAAGCAATTGCAAGGCCAAACTATGTAATTAGTCAGTAACGAAGAAAATGTAAGTGCAATTACGTAAACAGTACAATAACTAACTGTGGTTAAAAACAGAGATTCAGTTTCCTTACACATATAATGGGGATAACAACAGTACTCATTAGAATAGAAAAGCTGTTTGGTACTATTACGATAGTATATTACCTGTTGGAGAGTTTATAATAAGGATTAAATGTGCTAATTTGTGAAAAACCTTTAGAATAGTGCCTGGAATATAGTATATGCTACGTATTATTATGATCCCAATCTGTCACTGTATTTATCAAATTTATCCTACATATACTAATTTCTGTTTTGCCAAGCATATTTTGGTCGTCACTAGGATGGGGAGAGAAAGGGATATGCTGCTGCTGGTATATACTAGATAAGGATAAATGATGCCAGATGTCTGGGTTTTGCAGGGCTTTTTCACATAACAAAACTGTTCGCTGGCAGCCCTACTCAATCTAGTCCAATTATATTTTTTTACTCTCCCCATATTTCATATCCTTCCTTGTTCTTAAACCTCCAATAATTTACCCAGCCCTAGCTGATAACCTTGCTTCTTATTACACTAAGAAAACAAAGGCAATCAATAAAGAAATCCTTCCCCTAACACCAAATCTTCCATTCATGTATTTCTGTATCCATATATCCTGCTTTCTTTCCCACTACAGTGGGTTAACTGCCCTTTCTTATCTCCTAGGCCAATCCTACTTCTCTCCTTTAGCCTACCTAAAGAATTTTACACTGTTTACTCTCTGTCCTGAATTATCAGCTTCCCTGCCTACTGGATAGTTCCCACCAACGTACAAAATGCTGTTTTAACTCTTATCCTAAAAAACAAAACAAAAAACTCTCCCTCGATATAACATCCCCCTCATTTCTCTGCTCTACTCTATAGTAAAAGAGTTGCCAATTCTTGGTGTTTCCATTTCTTCCATTCTCAGCTGATCCCACTTTTTTTTAAAAAAAAGATTTATTTATTTATTTATTTATACAAGCACTGGGTACAGTCAGAAGCACGGTGGGGGGCGGTGAGGGTGTGTGTGTGTGTGTGTGTGTGTGTGTGTGTGTGTGAGAGAGAGAGAGAGAGAGAGAATTCACCAGAGCCAGAAGCGGGGAACAGAACAGGCAGATTGAGGAAAAATACACTGCTGAGGGGAGCAGCGGGCGTGGCAGGAGAGGTCTGTCATGCCTTGTGGGACCCTCGCAGGTGGCCGGGGATTGAACTGGCACTGCAGAGGCTACAGGCACCTTCGCAGCCCAGCGCTCAAACGCTGCGCCACCAGGGGAGGCCCTGATCCCACTTTTACTAGGCTTTTATCTCCACTGTTACTCTGAAGTCATTCTTATAAAAAAGTAGCAACAGCTTACACATTACCAAACATGGTATCAATTAGCAATCCTCATTTTATTTAGCAATCCTATTTTATTTAGTTGATGTCATCCTCCTTCTTGAAACATGCTTTTCACTTGACTGATGGGATAATAATATATTCTCCATCTTTTCTATCTCACTGTTTACTTCTAAGTTAGCTTCATTGGAACCTCAACTTCTTGAGGTTCCAAGTAACAGCTTTAGTAAACTGGCTTAGTTTTTGGATTTTTTTCCACTTCCATTAATTCCCTTCATTTAATTCAGCATTATGGCTTTGATTACCATCATATCTAAAATTATAATTTCAGCCTTATAAACCCAGTCATCCCATGTCATTTCCCCTGGGACATCTCAACAGGAACCTCAAATTTAATATACGTGAAATCAAACTCTTAATTAGCTCTCCATGCCTCCAAATCTTCTAGCATTCCCCAACAATACATGCTTAGTTACTCTGGCCAACCATTTACTCTGTTACTCTGGCTAAAATCTCTGGAGTCTTATTTGATTGCCATTTCACTCAAAGTCTATATTAAATCCTGTTGGATCTACCTTTAAATTATATCCAGAAACTAAACCATTTTCAACACTGCCACATCTATTCTCCTATCTATGCATATTCATCTCTTGCCTGTATTATTACAAATAGCCCCCTAGGTGGTCTCTGCTCTTGTTCCTTTATCATCCATTCTCCATAAAGCAGCCAGAGTGACATTTTAAAAACCAGGTCATGTCACCTCCCTAAGCAGAACTCACCAAAAACTTCTATCATATTTTAAATAAAACCCAAAGTTCTTACAAAAACAATAAGACCAGTAGAGCCCCTTCCCCAACTTATCCCCTAAACCCTGGAACTAACTCTTTTATCTCATCTTCTATTTTTCTCCCTCTTGTTTACACTAAACCTGCCACACTGGCCCCTTAGTTGTTAATTGAATATGCCAGGCATGCTACCACCTTAGTACTTTAGTGCCACTATTCTCTTTGCTCTAAAGTTCTTCCTCTAGATATTGAGATATTTACTTCCTTACTCGTCTTACAGGAGTCTGGTTAAATGTCATCTTGTCTTGAGGACTTCCTTGACTAGCTTATCTAAAATAGTACTCCTGTGATATTATATTCTCTTGTCAGCTTTTCTTCATAATGCTTATTAGTGGATATGTCTACTTATTATTCATGTTCTCCCTATTAAACTGTAAATTCTATGTGGACAGGATCTTGGTCATCTTTGCTTATTTCTCTAATCCCAATACCTGGAATACATTATATTTGATAAATACAGAATTAATCAAATGGCCAAATAAACGATATGCAGTAAACACAACTGCAGTTTTAAAAACTAAGTTAAAAACTAATTTTATTGAACCTTTTTTTTTAAAGATTTATTTTTATACAAGAACCGGGGTACAGGCCAAATGTGCGAGGGGGTGAGAGGATTCACCAGAGACAGAGCAGGGAACAGAACAGGCAGACTTACGAAATACACTGCTGAAGGGAGCAGCGGGCGAGACAGGAGAGGTCTGCTTCGCCATATGGGATTCTCACTGGCCGGCCGGCTGGGATCAAACCCGCACTGCAGAGGCTGCAGACAGCTTCACAGTGCGGTGGCTCAAGTGCCTGTGCCACCAGGGAGGCCCTTTATTGAACTTTCTTATAGAAAGATTACCTATCAATCACCTTGTTTGCTACCTACTTGAAATTTCAGTGTGTAAATTTTGTTTTACCAATAAGAATATTACAATATTTAGGGCCTCCCCGGTGGCGCAGCGGTTGAGCGCTGGGTTGCGAAGCTGCCCGCGGCCTCTGCGGCGCCGGTTCGATCCCCGGCTGCTCCCCGGCCATCGGAGGAGGGTCCCACATGGCGCGCAGACCTCTCCTGCCGCCCGCTGCTCCCCTCAGCAGTGTACTTCGGTCCTTCTGCCTGCTCTGCTCCCCGCTCTGGCTCTGGTGAATTCTCTCACCCTCCCGCGCTTCTGACTGTACCCAGTGCATGTATAAACCAAACAAACAAACAAATAAATAAATAAATAAAACATGCCTCTATTTAAAAAAAAAAAAAAAAAAATATTACAATATTTATATAGTTTCCTGCTTATAACCAGTGCTTACATTCTTTGTAATGTATTGAAAGAATATGGGAAATGAAAAAAGCTTAACAATCTTTGTCTTAGAATTCATTCTAAAAACATTTAAAAAATTTTTAGGCCACCAAATTATTTTGATATGCTTGAAAATGAAGCAAATGCACATTTGAAATAAAGCTGAAGAGACTATTACCTGGAAGAGACTATTTCCACATGCACACTATAGATTAAATGCTTATAAATAATGTTGAGTATCTATGACCAAAACAAAGATTACCTTAGAACAATCTCCAGGAACACAATTAATTTTAGAACTCCAAAAATACTTTCCAAGTCTGGAGCTGAAAATACTTCCCTAACAGAATTATTTTTTAAATCAAATATTTAAGATATTTAGGCTATTTTAACAAAAGCTAATTTTCATGGTAAGTGTCATTTAAAGATTCTGAATTTTCTCCAAGTAATAAAATGGTATTTATTAGAGACAAATTATTATAACTCTTAACATATTAAATACATACCTGAATTAAACCAGCACCTGTTTGCATAGAAGACTTTTTTAATAATCTCACTTCTTTGTTTATGTACCTTAGCATTCCACTAAGAGTACTGAAGTCATTACCCTCAGAACTATCATCTTCTAGGTCATATGTGAGAGGTTTAAATGAGTCTGGCTGGGTATAAGTCAGCTCCTTCTGACTTTCTTCTAATGCCAAAGATTGTTCAAAATGCATTTTTTTTAAGTCCTGCAGTAATTCTTCAGAAAGATCTTCATCACTACGAGTTTTGAAACTAAGATCACTAGCACTAATAGAGCGACGTAGTTTTCTACACTTGAAAAAAGATGGGTTAGAATTGTCACTAAGCTTTGAATCTTGAATGTCAGGTATAGTTTCTGTTGGAGATGTAAATGCAGCTGGCAGAAACTTGATGTCTTCTGTCCTTTCATGTCCAGAAATTTTGGCTTGTAATCTGTTTAATTCTGATTCCTGTAACAATGTTATACATAGAAGGTGAGCAATACATTGTTGTCAAGTGTACAAATTACTTAGAAAATCATACTCTTAAAAGTTATCTAAGTAAATCTTTTTCCAAGTATAGGAGTTATTTTTATAATTCATGAAAGTTTTCCAAGCTCTGTTTAAACCCTTAATTTTGGGACAATTACCTAGGTTCACTAAAAATATGTTTGAATTATACTAAGGAATTCTATGAAAACCAGATTTTCTGTATAGAAATATTTTCTTTTTCTTTTTTTTAATTAAAATATCAATTTCTACTCAAGATTGAAATCTTATATCTAAAATTTTCTCTGCAAAAGCAAAAGGTACATAATCTTTGGTTAATCTAATATATATAAACATAAAAACATGACTCCGTTCAGAATTTCTAATAGGAAATACATAGTATTTGCACAGTAGTTATCTGCTTTATATATTCTCACTACAAGAAACATTTATTGCATTAGAAAAATTTCAAAAACCTTTAAGAAAGTGTATTTATGGGGCATTTGTGGGGCATTCCTTTTTGAACAGTACCCATCCCCTTGATATCTACAATATCACCTTTCTTGTAGATTCGCATGTATGTGGCCAAGGAACAACTTCATGTTTTCTATAAGGCCTAGAGAACATATAGTGGGGTCCCTCTTCTCTTTCCCTTTGTGTTAGTTATTTAATGTATTAAATAACTCAATCCTTATTTTTTTTAATTTTTTTTATAGAGGCATGTTTTATTTATTTGTTTGTTTGTTTTGTTTATACATACACTGGGTACAGTCAGAAGCGCGGGAGGGTGAGAGAATTCACCAGAGCCAGAGCGGGGAACAGAGCAGGCAGAAGGACTGAAGTACACTGCTGAGGGGAGCAGCGGGCGGCAGGAGAGGTCTGCGCGCCATGTGGGATCCTCCTCCGGTGGCCGGGGAGCAGCCAGGGATTGAACCGGCGCCGCAGAGGCTGCGGGCAGCTTCGCAACCCAGCGCTCAACCGCTGCGCCACCGGGGAGGCCCTAACTCAATCCTTATTAAATAAATGTTTCATTTCCTTTTTTTTTTCAAGTCTTTCATTTGGATCTTCTGATCCAAGTTTGAGTCCTAAGAATGAGGCTGTATATTACACACATATTTTTAAAGCCTAAAAAATGAAGATATTTTAATTTTAAAAGTTAAGTAAAATGTATAACAGTCTTCTGTACAAATACATTCTCCTTTTCTTACAGATATCCATTAGATTTATATTTCTAAATGTCACTTTTTTAAAAAGATTTATTTTTTTATAATTAAAAGTTTGCTTTAAATATTTTTTTAGAGAGGGGACACCACACTTCCTCTCAATTAGGAGAAACATTTTTGTAGTCCAGAGCTCTTTTATTTCTTTTTGCACACCTATCATGCCATGAATTCACAAGGAATAGGTTCCAGCAGCTCAGGCTCCTTCCCACTGGTTCTCACAAAGTGTGCTTCTCTAGGTGGAGCAGGCTGGCGCTTTGGCTGAACCCAAGTACCCTTCTCTTTGGCTTCCTTTTAGTTCTGATCATTTTCTTTCATACGTTTCAGGAAGCTATCTTGGCTCTTAGAGTGCTTAATGTGTTCAATACGAACATTAATTCTCTTTGCAAGGATCTTGCCCTTTACTTGCTTGTTTACAACAATGCCAACTGCATGCTGGGTAACATTATAGACTCTACCAGTTTTGTCATGGTAACATTTGTGGGGCATTCCTTTTTGAACAGTACCCATCCCCTTGATATCTACAATATCACCTTTCTTGTAGATTCGCATGTATGTGGCCAAGGAACAACTTCATGTTTTCTATAAGGCCTAGAGAACATATAGTGGGGTCCCTCTTCTCTTTCCCTTTGTGTTAGTCATTTTGGTGACTTACTGGAAGATGGCGGTTCCCTTTTAAAGATTTATTTTTATTTATTTATGTGTACAAGAACTGGGGTGTAGGCCAGAGGTGTGGAAGGTGAGAGGATTCACCAGAGACAGAATGGGAGCAAAGCAGGCAAATTTTACTGAAATGCACTGCTGAGGGGAGCAGCAGGGGAGACAGGAGAGGTCTGAGCCATGTGGATTAGATACCTGGCCCGGGATCAAACTCATGCCTCAGTGGCTGGCAATAGTTTGATAGTGCTGAGACTTTAAATTTAACTCCTGCACCACCAGGCAGGCCCCTAAATTAGTCACTTTAAATCTGTTAGTTTCTTTCTAAAAATCACTGTGTTTATAACTAAAACTGTCATAACCACAGTACACATTACAAAATGAAAGTCTAACATATATTTCAGCTGTTTGATATCTTTATATGACTTTATCTAGATAAACTTTAGAATTTTTTTTTTTTTTGCAGACCAGCAGTTCTTTTTTTTTTTTTTTTTTTTAAAAGATTTATTTATTTATTTATACAAGCACTGGGTACAGTCAGAAGCACGGGAGGGTGAGAGAATTCACCAGAGCCAGAGGGGAGAGCAGAGCAGGCAGACTGACGAAGTACACCGCTGAGGGGAGCAGCGGGCGGCAGGAGAGGTCTGCGCGCCATGTGGGACCCTCGCCCGGCAGCCGGGGATCGAACCGGCGCTGCAGAGGCCGCGGGCAGCCTCGCAGCCCAGCGCTCAACCGCTGCGCCACCAGGGGAGGCCCTAGAATTTTTTTTTTTATGATTGACTTTATTGTTTTATTTATTTATTTATTTGTTTGTTTGTTTGTTTTGTTTTTATACATGCACTGGGTACAGTCAGAAGCGTGGGAGGGTGAGAGAATTCACCAGAGCCAGAGCAGGGAGCAGAGCAGGCAGAAGGACCGAAGTACACCGCTGAGGGGAGCAGCGGGTGGCAGGAGAGGTCTGCGCACCATGCGGGACCCTCCTCCAGTGGCTGGGGAGCAGCTGGGTATTGAACCGTTTCTGCAGAGGCCGCAGGCAGCCTCGCAACCCAGCGCTCAACCACTGCGCCACCAGGGAGGCCCAAACTTTAGAATTTTTTATAGTAAATCTTGTATGTACATTCTTATAATCACAAAGTAGCTACAGAATTTGCTATACATACAGGGTTGTGTGCTGTTTTTCTTTTTTCACTAATGTGTTATCTAGCCAAAATTGAGAAATATGGTATCTCAGATAAGATTCCTTTTAATTTACAGGTTAACACCTAAATTTACAATGATCTGTAGTATAATGAATACGTTAAACAAAATTCAATGTATTTTTAAGATTCAAGAAAGTTCACTGCTGCATCCTTATTTAGTGTTCCATAATACAGTGACGTCTTCAGGGCTCTCAGAAAATGGTCTCAGCTTTGCTCTTGCTACAGGTGCCCCCATGTACTATAGCACCTGTTTAGGTACTAAAGGAAGTGAGTTGGAAAGAGCAGTGGATTCAAACACTGATCGCCCTTTTCTTCTCTCTCACTTCTGTTTTTGTTTTGTCACTTACCACTGCTGTCAATAGAATCACATTATTTATAAATTTTATAAGTAGAACCAAATTATTCACAAATTATTATTTATAAATTGAAATTCTCATTATTTATAGCTACTTCTAATTGTTATGGCAGCTTCTGTTAGCTTTTCTTGTTTCTTTCTCTCTTTTATCCTCAACTCCTCTTTGGTCTGGACTTCAGAGTCAGGTGACATTACTTTGAATTAATATTAAAAATTTTATCTATATGCATCAATGCTGACATTAATTCCAAATTTCAGAAAAAACTGCCATAATCAATAGGGTGAATAAGTAGCAAGGGGTTATCTGAGAGATTATGCACATACTCAAATCTAGTACAAAAAATTTTGAGTATAATCTTGTGTTTTCTACTTTATGATTTTTATTTATTTTTATTTTTTAAAGATTTATTTTATTTATTTATGCATACAAGAGCTGGGGTGTAGGCTTAAGGTGAGGGGTGGTAAGGGGAGGTAAGAAGATTCACCAGAGACAGAGTGGGGAGTAGAACAGGCTAACTGACTGAAATACACTGCTGAGGGGAGCAATGGGTGAGACAGGAGAGGTCTGCTGTGCCATGTGGGTCACCTCCCTGGCTGGGGATTGAACTAGTGCTGCAGTGGCTGCTGATAACTTCATAGTGCTAAGACTTAACCCCTTGTGCTACCAAGAGGCCTTCTACTTTATGATTTTTAAAGGAACTTTACTGGCTTTGATAAAATGCTCCTACTTTTTAAGCTCATTAAGTGTAAAATTCTCTAAAGTAAACCTCATGATTAAGTATTCATTTGAAGTTTGCATGTGAGTTCCAGTGCAACACAAAAGGCTCTTCCTATGATTCTTCCCACAACTATCAAATCTATAACTAAAAACAGCAATTCCATATGAAAGAAACTAGCTGAGCAAGTTTCACTGGGAAGATTAGAAATATCCACATCAAAATGTGTAGGGAAGACTCAAATAAATCTTATCATAAACCCAAATCTAGTCCTCCAATTATTAAGACTCATATCAAAGGGATGGACCCCCAAAATACCTAACTCTGAAAGCATTAGGGCTTACATCCCTAAGACGCAAAACTACAAAAAGCAAAGAAACAGTTTATAACATGCTCACCATGGCTAGTTCCTCAGGAAAAATCTAGAAAGAAAAGCTTTCCCTGAAAGAGGCCTATATTCATGTTAAAAGATGCTTCCTGAGGGTCAGATTTCTAATTTAGTACACGTTTAGGGACAGAATGTGATCCTTCCCACAGCTAAGGAAGCCAGCAAACACATCTTCAACTCTCCCTTGTGTCCTCTCCAATTGACATTTCATCTTGGAAGGTGCTTGTATAGAAGTCTGGAGCTTGAGCTTTTGAAGCTGCCACCCAAGGGATAGGCCCACGGAATGTGCAATTTTGATAGCCTACAGGGCTTTACGCATTTAAGAATCTATAAGGGCTGTAAGAAATAAAGAAGCAGTTCTTACTGGGTATTCCTGCATAACTATATGTTCCCTCATAACTGTATAGCCAGGACCATCACTGAGGGAGAAGGCAAAAAAGCTATCTCCCAGTTCTGCCTGGAAGGATCCTAACTATACTTTCCCAATAGTTTATTAAGACTCCAGTTTCTAATTAGTCTGCCTCTATGTGCTAACTAAAGTCCTTCCCTTTGGAACACTGACAGGTGTGGGCACACTCCATGGGATCCATTAAAAACAAAGAAAGTTGTTTGGGAAATCACAAAGGTTTGAAACAATGCAAGGAACTGGGCCAGATTCATTGATAAGACACATCTCATACACTACTACTCCACTGAGGACTACTCCATTGATACTGGAAAGAGGGCTGTTTTATCTAGTGCACAGAAACCAACACAGAGTCAAAGAAAATGAAGCTACAGAGGAATATGTATTCCAAACAAAAGGAAAGCAGAGATTAGTGAATAACCCCCCAAAAAGTTAAAAATACCATAAAGATGCTCAACAGAGTAAAAATAATGCATGAACACAGTGAGAATTTCAACAAAGAGACAGAACATGTAAGAAAGTACCCAACAGAAAATCAGAGTAAATACAATAACTGAACTGAAAAGTTCCACTGACTTTTCCAGTGAAGCCCCCTCCACAAGTTCACCATGCACAAGGCTGTGTGTGCCCAGCCAATCAAGACAGCAAATGAGCTGATGCAGATTCTGGACGAAATGGACCAGAGCCACAGCAGGGAGATGCAGCTCTACAATAGCGACTAAGGGTATAATTGGTAACACTGTTATTATATAATTGAAATATGCTAAGAGATTTGAACTTAAATGTTCTTACCAAAAAAAAAGTTTCTGTTTTGAACATTTTAAATTTCTCCTCTTAATGTGACATTATGATGTACATCATATTACCAATTCCCAAACCCAACATCTTTTAAGTAAAATGATTGTTATTCAAACATGTCACTATCTGGCTATACAGTCCTCTACAAACTACAAGGATAGGAAAATAGGTCATAAGTTAATTTTTTCATAGGTATGTTTTATGCACTTTTTTAAAAAAAAGATTTATTTATTTATGCATACAAGAACTGGGGTACAGGCCAGAGGTGTGGGGAGTGAGAGGATTCACCAGAGACAGAGCAGGGAATATAACAGGAGTATTGACTGAAATACACTGCTGAGGGGAACAATGGGCGAACAGGAGAGGTATGCTGTGCCATGTGGGTCACCTCCCTGGCTGGTGATCAAACTCGTGTGGCAGAGGCTATGGGTAGCTTCATGGTGCTGCATGTTAACTCCCTGCACCCCCAGGGAGGCCCCCTGTTTTATGTACTTTTATGTTTACTTACTTTAATAAGTAAGGCTTCATTTGTAGCTTCAATTACTTCATTTCTGTCTTGGACTTGTTGATGCAAATTGCTCACAGTGTCTTGGGCTTCTTCTAATTCCAGCTTTGCCTTCTCTAACTGTTCATTGAGCTGCTGAACAGAAGTCTTTTGAGAATCAGCAGAAATCTTCCATTTTGCATGATTCTCTTGATGTGAAATCATCTGTTTAGCCCCAACAATGGAAAAGAAGAGGAGGAAAGAAACATAATGGGATGAGCTGGTTTCAGTAGTGTTCTAATACTTTCTACTCCCACTTAAACTAAAGTAGTTGTTTACATTACAAACACTTGATTTCTCTATAAATTAAATACCAGAAGAAAAAAGGTAGAGAAGGAACCTATAGTCTTAAATTTACTTAAGAACAATTAACCAACTGTAACAAACTGTTTTTGGATACTGCTTGAATATCAACTATAAAGACATTTTGTGATAACTGGGAAAATCTGAAAATGACTGGATATTTGATGACATTAAAGAATTAACTGTTGGGCCTCCCCTGTGGTGCACTGGGTTGAGCGCAGCGCTGTGAAGCTGCCTGCAGGCTCTGCAGCGCTGGTTCGATTCCTTGCCAGCCAGAGAGATTCCCACATGGCGCAGCAGACCTCTCCTAGCTCGCTCGCTGCTCTGCTCAGCAGTGTATTTCGGTTCATCTGCCTGTTCTGCTCCCCGCTCTGTCTCTGGTGAATCCTCTCACCCTCCCACGCCTCTGGCCTGTACCCTAGCTCTTATGTAAAAATAAATAAATTTAGGGCCTCCCGGTGGCGCAGCGGTTGAGCGCTGGGTCGCGAAGCTGCCCGCAGCCTCTGCAGCGCCGGTTCCATCCCCGGCTGCTCCGCGGCCACCGGAGGAGGGTCCCGCATGGCGCGCAGACCTCTCCTGCCGCCCGCTGCTCCCCTCAGCAGTGTACTTCGGTCCTTCTGCCTGCTCTGCTCCCTGCTCTGGCTCTGGTGAATTCTCTCACCCTCCTGCACTTCTGACTGTACCCAGTGCTTGTATAAATAAATAAATAAATCTATCTTAATTAATTAATTAATTAAAAAAAGAATTAACTGTCAATTGTTAGGTGTGATATTGTGGTTTTGATTTTAAAAAATTGCACTTAACTTGCTCATTGGCTTACTGATGAAATGATGTCTGGGATTTGCTTCAAAATAATATGTGATATGTGTGGAAGGGGATAGGAGAGAGGGAATACAGTGAAGTTAAAGATATGGTGATCATAATTTCCAGTTTGCCTAGGCCTGTTTGGGTTTTATGTTTGGTATCCCAGTGTAGCCACTAAAATCACCCCTATTCATTCTCAAAAGTATTTTCTTAGATAAATGAAGTGGTCAGTGTAATTATAGATGAGATCAAATTGGCCACAAGTTGACAATTATTGAAGCTGAATAATAAAAACATGAGAACTTATACCAATTTCTCTATTTATGACTATATTTTAAATCTACAATGAAAGTTTTTAGAACTCATATTCTCATAAAAAGGGGTTTCGATTGTTACTAAGTGACTTTTCTTACATTTCTGAAACTTGTATAGTAACATTTTTAAAAATTTTGATCCTTTTTTCTACCTTTTCTACCTTTTCTATCTTTTTTGATTGCTGAGTAATATTCCATGGTGTATATGTACCACATCTTCTTGAGCCAGTCATATATTTTTGGGCATTTGGGTTGTTTCTATAGCTTAGCTGTTGTAAATAGTGCTGCTATAAACATAGGGGTGCAGGTGCCCTTTGGAATTAATGTTTCTGTGTCATTTGGGTAAATACCTAGGAGTGGAATTGCTGGATCATATGGAAGCTCTATGTTTAGTAGGTCCAGAAATCTCCACACAGCTCTCCATAGTGGTTGGACCAGTTTGCACTCCCACCAGCAATGCAGGAGAGTTCCTTTTTTCTCCACAACCTCGCCAACATTTGTTGTTGCTAGTTTTTTTAATATGTGCCATTCTCACTGGTGTAAGATGGTGTCTCGCTGGAGTTTTGATTTGCATTTCCCTAATTACAAGTGATGTTGAACATTTTTTCATATGCCTGTTGGCCTCTACCTATTATTCTAATGACATATTCTCTCATTGCTATAGTAAAAAAAAAATCTGCCAAGCATCAACCAAGGAAAAGAAAAACATATTACATATTTTCATATCACATATGTAAATTATTTGAATCAAATATTAAATAGTAATACAAAACCATTTTTTGTCCTATTTACATAAAAATGATTTCGGTGACTTACAAAACTAAAAGTAAAAAACTGGATTAACTGCAAATAAAAGTAGAATAGAGACCATGTAATAAAAGTGTAATAAGTAGTAATGAGTGTAATGAGTGGTAAAATCTATAGAGATAACTAATTATTATTGATGATCACTAAATTGATCAGTTAATATCAAATTATGCTGAATACAATAGCATTTACATTTGTCTCTAAAGACTAAGGGTTGCACTCTCTTGGCTTAAGGATTGAATTCACTTGCAAATATGTTCTGTTTAGTAAATATGCTTTCAAACAGATCTGAATCCAAGTAAATTTAAGCAAGATGTGGTAACCACAAACTCCACCCATCACTCACAATGATGTTATCAAATTCTCAAAAGTTCTCTGTCAGAGAAATGCTTTATTAAAATTCCATAAGTAAGTTATTTAGATCTTACACCTAAGTTTTGGATAGTTATCTTCAAACATATTTCCAAATCTAAAGATAATTTGGTAAATATTTTCAAACAAGAAATGTTATTCTAATCGACAATACTACCTATTTCTATAAAGGCTCAGGACATATTGATAAAAAAGTATCAGGTGCTAGTATTGCCTCACTATCTAATAAGTATCAGAACAATGTTAGAAATTACAAAGCATGATTGATTCACATCTCATGAAACTGCTAATCAGTTATAAACACTTCTAACTTGGTTATTTTATAACCAATAATGATGTGCCAGACTCTGAACTAAGAGCTTTAACTATATTAATCAGCATAGTTGGATAAGATGGTGCTATTATTACATGCATTTCAGTAATTTTTTTCTCTTTTGAAAAATTAATTTGTCAGCCATTTATATATCTGTATAACTTTGGGGTTACAGTTTTCTATTTCCACATGTGTTATTATGTCCATTTTAGACAGAGATGTTAGGTTGCCCACATAAATGCATCTGATGAACTGAGATTAGGAACCATACTGTCTGGTTCAGGAATTCAGGCTCTGAACCCTATAGTATATTAGTTCACTGGACATGAAGAGGAAATTATATTTTTAGGCTATCAGAAATGAACACTGCATTGTGTTGTCTTATAATGAACATTTAAGAGCTAGACCTCTATTTTTGTCCAAACATGTCAATCTAATTTTGTCAGGAAGTAATAGAAAATATTAAAATTTTATTTACCTCCATATGATAAGCCTCTTTGAGAGATTCTACTTCTGCTGACAGCTTCTTGATTTCTGCTTGCATTCTTGCTTCTAAATGAGCTTCACGTACGTGAGAAGCACCCAATTCTTCAGCTAAATGGTTACCATGAGCTTCCTTAAAAAATGACATATTGAGTAAGGCAATAAAGTTTGTGTTTTTTTTTTCTTAAATATTTATTTATGTATACAAGAACTGGGGTGTAGGTCAGAGGTGTGGGGGTAAGAGGACTCATCAGAGACAGAGTGGGGAGCAGAACAGGCAGATCTACTGAAATACACTGCTGAGGGGAGCAGCGGGCTAGACAGGAGAGGTCCGCTGCACCAAGTGGGTTAGTTCGCTGGTCGGTGAGTTATTGAATTCGTGCTGCAGTGGCACTGAACTCATGCTGCAGTGGCTCGCAGTAGCCAGATAGTACTGTGTCTTTAACCCTTGTGCTACCAGGGAGGCCCTAAAATTTGTGGGTTTTATAGCTAAATCAAGGTAGTGCATTTGTGGAAATACTTATATAAACATACAATACCAAATTAACATTAAATGGTATACTTTGAAATCTTGACATTTAAGAGTTACTAATGGGAGAGTATTAGCATATTGTTTGTTATTAGAATAGAATAGAATAATATAATAGAAGGTCATTAACCAACGCTTTCTGTAAAACAAAGTAATAACCACAGAATGTTGAACTTTGGCATGTAATAATCTACTCTTAGGTATGCCCATGTATTTCTGCTCACCAGATGCACTGTTTATCAAGAGTCAGTTGTGCAGTTATCTAAACTAATTTATGTTAGTTGTGCTCAAAATTATAATTATGTAATTCTGATACATATTATGAATAAAAGTGTTTTCACATGAAAACTAAGCTATGTTTTCAAATTGCTTGAGTCGCAAACATTTGCTACCCAATTATAAGTAATCACGATAGTTGCAAAATATTGTGGGAAACCTCACAGAAAATATAAGAGATGCTACAGTCTGATTTATGAATTTCTTTTTATTCTCCTTCCATTGAAAAGAAACCAAACTTCATGATGGGATAAAATCATGGTTTATGTAAGAAGATCAGGTGGATTGTTATCAGATGGTTCTACTGATAAACAAAGAACCAAGATTCAGTCCTACATTGAAAGATTATTGTATGTTTAGAGGTTTTAGTTAAAATGTAATATCTTAAACTATAATTTTTTTTCAAAGATCTATTTATTTATGCATACAAGAGCTGGGGCACAGCCCAGAGATGCGGGGGGGTGAGAGGATCCACCAGAGAAATGGTGGGGAACAGAACAGACAGATTGACTGAAATACACTGCTGAGGGGAGCAGCGGGCAAGACAGGAGAGGTCTACCACACCATGTGGGTAGCTCCCTGGCTGTCAGGGATCAAATTTGTGCTGAAGAGGCTGTGGATTGCTTCATAGTGTGGTGCTTAACCCCTTGCGCCACCAGAGAGGCCCTAAACTATAATTTTTAGTAATTTACTACTTTTACTAACATTTTTGATGAATGGAGCTTAGCTTATCAGATAAAATCAATTCTTCTATAAACACACAGATACAGGGCCTCCCCGGTGGCACAGCGGTTCAGCGCTGGGTTGTGAAGCTGCCCGCAGCCTCTGCAGCGCCGGTTCGATCCCCAGCTGCTCCCCGGCCACCGGAGGAGGGTCCCATATGGCGCGCAGACCTCTCCTGCTGCCCGCTGCTCCCCTCAGCAGTGTACTTCGGTCCTTCTGCCTGCTCTGCTCCCCGCTCTGGCTCTGGTGAATTCTCTCACCCTCCCGTGCTTCTGACTGTACCCAGTGCTTGTATAAATAAATAAATAAATCTTTAGGGGGGGGGAAACATACAGATACAACTGATAAACATAAAAATGAGAAAAAAGTAGATAGCTTCCCTTTTCCTAGCAGATTCCCAAATGCCAACATATTCTGTACATAAAAATTCTCTGTGTAATCCAAATTAGATATTTTTTGGTTAACCAAAATTAAACATAAAAATTTACTTTAATTCTGTTTTTTAAACTTAATTCCTTTAACTGAATTAGTAACCATAGTAGAAAGCAAAAAAATCACAAGAACATTTCTAAAACATAATACAATTTTCTCAAAATCTAAGTAATTAGCCCAAATACATCAATTTAAATATTTTCAAGTCAAACTGTTAAGCTTTTTAAAAGCACTTTCCTCCCAAAGAAGCCTGAACTGCAGGCTGCATAACATTTATACATTTTAGATCATTAGTTTTCATTTACAAGAGTAACTACAATTGTAAAAACTTTGACTCAAAAAATAATTACTAGCTTTATCCTTTCTTCAAGTGATAGTTTAAACTAAGTTGAAAGTTTCAAAGTGTTCTATAATGAAACTTATTGAAAACTAGTTAGTTTGGCGAAAACTCATTTCAAAGGAATTTTTTAGTTCTATTACAAAACTACCCTAAACAACAGTTTTATTTTCTTTTTCAAATTTTGATAAAGCATATCTAACACAAAATTTACATTAACCATATCCATTTTTAAGTGCACAATTTAGCAGCAATAAGCAATTCATGCTATTGTATAACATAGTTAACTTTTGCAAAACCTATATTCTATAATTCAAAAAAGAAATGTTAAAGTGTTTTAGATTTTCAGTAAGGTAAGATTATTTAGAATAGGGATTACTTTCTCCTTAGAGAGTTGCTTTATTTCTTCCAGTTCATTTGTGAGCCTTTCTATTTCTCTCTGTGCTTGAACTTGTTGACCACGAGCTTCCACCAACTCTGCATGAGAGTTCTGCATCTGCTCTCGGGTTAACCTCAATTCTTGTTCCAAACTTATGGTCTCCTTGTATTGAGTTGTGATATATTGTTCCTGCTCTTTTATAACCTGAAATATACAAAACATTATCAGGTTCCAAAATTAAATGATACAGAAAATTTATTTTTAATCTGATTTCTCTTCTATTATTTTTTATTTTTTAAAAAATTTATTTATTTATGAATACAAGAACTGAGGTATAGGTCAGAGGTAAGGGTGAGGTAGGGGGTGGGGGGGGGCGTGTGTCTGTGTGTGTGTGTGTGTGTTTGTGTGTGTGAGAGAGAAAGGATACGCCAGAGACAGAGTGGGGAAAAGAACAGGCAGATTGACTGAAATACACAGTGGGTGAGACAAGAGAGGTCTGCTGCGCCATGTGGGTAGCTCCCTGGCTGGCTGGTCACCAAACTTGTGCTGCAGAGGCTACGGATAGCTTTATAGTGCTGTACTTAACCCCTTGCGCCACCAGTGAGGCCTTGATTTCTTTTTATTTATTTATTTATTTTTTAATGTGACTTTTCACATCCTAAACAAGTCTCTATGAAATTAACATAAAATAATTATCACCCACTATGAAACAGATATTCAGAAAATGTTTTTTCTTTTTTTTTTATGATAAGAAAATGGTAAAGTACTGTAACTCAGATCCATACCTACTTCAGCCCCCTTTGTGAGAGCTGCTATGATGGAAGTCAAGGAGGAAAAATATTCACAGGAAAGGGTCCAAAGACATCACAAGAAAATTAAAAAAAGATTGCATAAACATAATAATTCTGGTATTTCAAAGACATTCCCAAGGAACGTTGTTAAGGAAGGTGGACTAAAATCACATCTATGAACTTTAAAAAAAACTACAACAAAACCTGGGAAAAAGCATGTGAATTGATTCAAGAATAAACAAGGGGATAAAATACCAAAGAATAAATTTCAACAGCCAAATAAATTTAACAAAAAGAGAAAACTCCAGCTGGACAGAAAAAGTGATGTATCAGCAGCCAAGAAACACAAATGGGATGACTACAAAAAAAGAAGAAAGAAATGCAGCAGAGTATACAATGATAAAATCAATTAACATTGTTCATACAAAACAGATTTGGGAGATCTTAAGAAGGCCGTGACAAAGAAAAAAAAGAGTAAAATTGATGAAGGTATTTTGCAGAAGGTGATTTAAGGGAAAAATAAAACTACTGCATTTGTACATTTTTCAACTCATGTCCTGTGCTATATTCAGTATGGCAATGACAAACAAAGAAAACAGGTTTTAAAGAACTGCAAGGTGATTTGACTGAATTCAATAAACCTAAATATTCTAGAAATATTGTTAGGAAATTTCTTATATATGGGACTAAACCACAGATTGCAGAAGTAATGGGACATTTTAAAGGCCACATGAAGCAGCAGCTCCAGCATGAAGAAGCATCAGCCATCATGGAGTACATTTGGAGCAGAGGAACATGCTAATAGAGGAGCTCCACACAAACCCATTTCAATTTTACATGTCAGCAGGTCACCCTACTTAAAGTATTAAAGATACACTCAGAAAAACTAGAGCTTATCATAGATGAAATGAAATAGATTCTACCTCCAATTGCCCAGAAGGAAGCTAATATTAAACACTCATCAGTATGTAAAATATTCTTGGACTTTGTTTTCCTATTTACCTCCAAAGCTAAGATGAGAAATAGTAGAAGCTACCTGAGAAGCAGTGGTATACCTGTCATACACACGATGGTGCCAGAGTGGCCTTGTTGCTGCCTGTGACATGGTATACCCAAAGACAGGAAAGTCACTGTGCAAATGATGAAGATGTATATGGAAAAGGCGGCTAAAGAGCCAATACGCCCATTTGTTTTTACCGGCAGCATCTGATTGTGTTGATGACACTGAATTTGCAAAGCAGAAAACCGTATCAGAAATTACTAGTTCTCTGCCTAACACAGTAAATGACAAATATGGAAGGAAGGCCCTATTGTATTTATTAAGTTCCTGAGAGCCAGCACATATGCCACAAGATCACTGAAGTTATGAAGAAAGGAGCTGGAAATGCACACAGTAAGAAAGGTACAGAGATTCCCTAATGAGAGCTTAAAATTCACCTCTCCAGGTTTGTTAAACTACCTGTAAGGACTTGCCCTAGAGGTGGTGCTAGCTAAGTCTACGTATGTTTTGGAGGTCAACATTCTGGGAGCTCCCACTGGAGCTGTTCAGCCTGGCATGAATATCACCGTACATGAACATGTATGATATCCTAGTGTCTAGGATGGTTAGCTTCACATTGCATAATATCCAAGAAGATATCCAATTCTGAAGTGGTTAACCAAGCAAGATAAAAAGATCAAAGAAAATGGAAAAGAATAAAACATGCTGATATGAAGAACCTGATGTCCTGGGCTAGTGTACATCGAAGTGCCTTTATTCTTTTTAGCATTCTCCAGAGTTCTGCTTGAGAAGCTGCAAAGAATTCTCAGTTGGACTGAAAAACCTGATTCCCTCATTGGAAAAAACAAAAACACCAGCAAAGGAACAGAAATGTTACTTGAAAATTTGACTGCATAGTGGACATAGTTATAACCAAGATGCAATCATTTTTGTTTTCATTGTTTTCCCAGTGAAGAAAAGAAGGGAAAGAATCCACCTTACTGGCATTATGAATGCTCTGTTATATGTGTTTTCTTTGCATAAGATCTTATTTATAGGGCCTCCCCGGTGGCGCAGCGGTTGAGAGCTGGGTTGCGAAGCTGCCCGCAGACTCTGCAGCGCCGGTTCGATCCCTGACCACCCAGGCGAGGGTCCCACATGGCGCGCAGACCTCTCCTCCACCCGCTGCTCCCCTTAGCAGTGTACTTCGGTCCTTCTGCCTGCTCTGCTCCCCGCTCTGGCTCTGGTGAATTCTCTCACCCTCCCGCGCTTCTGACTGTACCCAGTGCTTGTATAAATAAATAAATAAATAAATAAATCTTTAAAAAAAAAAAAAAAAAAAAAGATCTTATTTATAAAGTGGTTTCCAAAAATGAAAAACAAAAAACAAAAAAATAAAACCCTGAGACCCACTGGTATATTTTGCATGGACTTTGACATGCAAGCTGTATAACCCTTTATCACTACGAATTTATGTAATAAAGCAGAATACATAATAATATAAAGAAAAAAGAAGATAGCATTTGATTATTCATGTCAAAGATGGAGAATGTATTGACAGAAATGATCAAAACCCACCATTAATCCAACAGCTGAGTTGTGGTCATAATCTTACTGTCTGTGAAAGTAAAATATGTCATAGTGACTGCTACCCCCTCTGAAATACTTTCACATTACTGTTAAATATATAGTGAAGTATTATTAAGAAAAAAATTAGTAAAAAGTTCACTCTAAATTAGTTGGTGAGATAGGTGAAATGGTAGGTAATGGCACTTGATTTTATGGTTGACAATAAAAAAAAACAACCCAGTAGCTGTCACTAGGACTCTAACGCCTGGAATGTGAGTTCAGGGTCCAACTGTGTTGTATATCAATATAAATTCCATGTAAATCTTTTTAATCAGTCCTTGTTAGGAAGATGACACACTGGATCATTAATCATTTTTTCATACTCTAGGGCCCAAACTTGCTTTCAATGGCTCTGACTGATTTATGTATATGTCAACAAATATTTATGCTTATTATGCGATATAAGTATTGTTCTAAGTGTTGAGGATATAGGAGTGAACAAAGGAGACAAAATAGTTACTTTTCAGGAATTTATATTCTTCTGGAAGAGACAGATAGTCAAACAAAATAAAGAGCTTTACATAAAGTTTTAAAGTTGAGCGTAGTATTAAGAACAAGAAAAAGTCTTATCATGAGAACTCCTAAACTAAAGTCAATTGTTTTTAAAAAGATTTATTTATTTATGCATACAAGAACTGGGTACAGGCCAGAGGTGTGGGGAATGAGAGGATTCACCAGAGACAGAGCAGGGAACAGAACAGGCAGATTGACCAAAATACATTACTGAGGGGAGCAGCGGGTGAGTCAAGAGAGGTCTGCTGCACTATGTGGGTCACCTCCCTGGCCAGGGATTGAACTCATGCTGCAGTGGCTGTAAGTAGTTTCATATTGCTGCATCTTAACCCCTTGCGCCACCGAGGAGGCCCCTAAATTCAATTTTTAAAAGGGCAAGTGGGTGGAATGGGTTCACCAGTCAACACATATGCAAATTGATGATATGAAGTCATTGAATTTCATCTGGTAATTAAATTGTAGAATAATGTATAATTATTATCCGTTGATTCATTTTCTGAATGGAATTCCTCAAGGACAAAGGACTGTATATTTTTAATAACTGTATTTTCAGCTCTATCACATACTAAGTTCTCAATAAGTATTTGTTGCTATGTGTGCATATACTGTAAATTTACCATGTGGCAATAAATATAAAGATAACTAAGAGGATGCCCTTCCCTATAATGAGAACATCATTTATACTGCAATGTTCAATAAAAAAAAAAAGGTCAAAGAAATCAACAGCTATAAGGCACAAATAATTATCCTGAAAATACTTAGAGTATCACTTCTGTATACTAAAACCCAATGGTTAAAAATAAAGAATTATATTAGTCTTTAAAAAACACTACTTATTCCTTAGAAGGAAAATAATTTACTTACACTTTCCATTTCTTTCACTTGTTGTTGAGATCGTTCAGTTTCTTTTTTTAGTTGACTTATCTCCTGTTCATTCTGTAGTGTTGTAAACTCTTTTACTCGAAGCTGTTCTTTGGCATTTTGCAATTTTTCATTCAAATTTTCTATCTGAAATGTAACGCATTTGGATATGACTATTTGCGAGCAGTGTTAACATAACTAATGAAAAATAATTCTTTCATCATGATTGCAATTCAAGTAATTCAAGATTTAAACATATCTAAAATAGGAAAATATAAAAGTATGTTTTGTTTTGTTTTTTTGACAGAGAGAACCTTTATTACTTTCACAATGACTTGTATGACTTGTATGCACTTTTGCTTTCTTGCCAGATGCCTTTTGAGGAGGTGGTTTCTGGGCTGGAGTTTTCTGACCCTTCTGAGCTTTTGAAGATGCAGACTTCTAGCCTGCAGCTCTCTGAGCAAGAATCTTCTGATCTGGAGCCTTCTTGCCTACAATGGTCATCTGTTTTGCTGGAACCTATGCAAAAATAGCTGCAGCTACACTCTTAGCAGAAAGTGTTTTTTGTTTTTTTTTGTTGTTTTTTGAGAGAAGTTTTCAGAAGAGCTGCTCTGAAGTTTCTTACTTGAAGCTTGATTATTTTGTTCATTTTCTTTGCCTTCATGACATAACAATCAAAATCTATCATCTTTGCTTTCCTTTTTTCTGGCTTTAATTTTCTTGGCCCACCTTGTAGCCTCCCATTTTTTAATATCAGCTTTCTGCCAGGCCTGTCACAAATACTTTTGGTGAGCAGTGTGTGGGAACTTGATGAAGTCAGTGAGCTGCATGTATTTGCAAGGCATAGTCTGTTGCTTTACTTGTATGCTAGATCCATCCACCAAAGCCCTATAATGATCAAGAACGCATACATTTGTGACCAGTTTCCCAATAAGAGGCCTAGGGGAGATGTAGACCATGTGATGAACCTCCACAAAGTGCCTAAACACCACCTTTGCAGTGTTTGGTGAGAAGGATGCAAAAAAAGTGTGTTTTTCTTAAGACATCCATAACTTAAGACATGAATATCAGAATCCTTATGCCTATTAAGATACATATATACATATTTACCTAAAACATACTAAAAGAGGTAAAAATCTCAATCACATTTATATAAGGTAGGAAAATTAGGGTAAGCAATGATTACCCTTGAAACAGCAACTGTTATGTGGTCTTACAAAAAATTATATAAGTAATACATATTATATAAGTAATTTTATATAATTATATAAGTAAAATTATAAGTACTTATATAAGTAAAATTATATAAGTAATACATATTTAGATAAAAATAAGTGAAAATAAAGTTCCCTTCCCACTGTATTCCTTTTTTTAGAGGCAACCACAGTTAAAAGAATTGCTTGAAAATTCTTCCAGAGGTATTTTATATATATTCAAACAGGTAAATATTATGATAAATACACGGATACATTGATACTAGATAAATGACTCAAAATAACATTAAGAGGGTAGTCACCAAGGATTGGGGAATGGGAGAAATGGGAAAATGTTGACCAAAGGGTACAAAGTTTTAATTATGCAAGATGAGTAAGTTCTGGTGACTCTACTGTTAGCAATAAGTAGTAGTTCTTTGATATCTGCAGGGGATTGGCTTCAGAACCTCTGGATACCAAAATTCAGGAATGCTTAGTTCTTAAATAAATGGTGTATTATTTGCATAAAACCAATGTACTGCCTCCCATATACTTTAACAATATCTCTGGATTACTTATAATAGCTAATACAATGTAATAGTTGTTATACTGTACTGTTCAGGGAATAAAAACAAGAAAAAAGTCTGTACAAGTTTAGTACAGATGCAACCATGGTAGTCCCTAACTACCTAGTATGAAATTTTTCTCTGTGGTTTGTTGAATCCTTGGATGTGGAGGAACCCACAAATACAAAGGATTACTGTTCTATAGTGTACACTTAGTATTTGCTAGAATAATAGATCATAAGAGTTCTCATACCTGCCCACCAAAAATGTATAACTGTGTGAGGTAATAGATATGTTAATTAGTGTAATTGTGGTAATTATTTCACAATATAGTCACATATAAATATTAAGACATCACATTGAACACCTTAAATTTACACAATTTTTACTTGGCAATTATACTGCAAAATAAAGGGTAAAATTAAGAGAAAAATGAATACAAAAGGTAGCATGAAAAATGATTAAAATTATGTAGTATTTTTATCTATATGTGCTCTGTAAAAATGTCATGTGAACAATAGATACAGTCTAGGAATTTATTTTTAGCAATTTAAAATATGTAATTTAAAATAATTTACCTGTTTGTTGCATTCTTTCAGTTCCAATTCTGATTTTTCCAGTGTACCCTCTAATTTAATTATTTTCTGTTCCATTTCTCCCCTGTGCTCACGAATAGTCATATCTAAATGTGTAACCTAAATACAAAGGTAACATTTAGCTGTTGTTCAATTTTATCCTAAAGTGAAAAATTCTGTATTTGGAATTATTTTAGAACTGTTTATAATGGATATAAATGAAACACATGTCAAATAAATTATTAAAAAGAATGAGGAAAATAATCATTGCTTACTAATACTGAATTATAAGCCATATATATTATAGAAACTTAAAGAAAATGTATGATTATATTCATAACTGATAAATAAAATGATCCAGATTTTATTTTGTTAGATAAAGCTGCTAAGTACAAAACAAAATTTAAAAAAAAATCAAATTAAAACAAAGTATGCAGAAGAAATAATAAAAATTAGGACAGAAATAAATGAAATTAAAATTGGGAATCAATAGAGAAAACCAACAGTACCAAAACCTGATTCTTTGAAAAGATCATAAATCAAAAAGTCTCTAGCTAGGGAAAAAAAAAAAAGGACACAAATTACTAATATCAGAACTGAAAAGAGAAATTACTACAAATTTATGGACTTTGAAAGGATAACAAAGGAATGCTATAATGAACAACTGTCCACGAATTTAATAAACTAGATGAAATAGACCAATCACTGTAAAACAATCTGCCAAAACATATATAATTAGAAATAATCTGAATAAGATTTAATATATCTATTAAAGAGATGAATTATTAACAACTTTCCAAAGCAGAAAGCACCAGGTCCATATACATATATATATCTATATATACATATATAGATTTTCTTTTTTTTTTTAAACCAGCTTCCCTGTTTTTTTTTTTTTTTTTAAAGATTTATTTATTTATTTATACAAGCACTGGGTACAGTCAGAAGCGCGGGAGGGTGAGAGAATTCACCAGAGCCAGAGCGGGGAGCAGAGCAGGCAGAAGGACCGAAGTACACTGCTGAGGGGAGCAGCGGGCGGCAGGAGAGGTCTGCGCGCCACGTGGGACCCTCCTCCGGTGGCCGGGGAGCAGCCGGGGATCGAACCGGCGCTGCAGAGGCTGCGGGCAGCTTCGCAACCCAGCGCTCAACCGCTGCGCCACCAGGGAGGCCCCATATATAGATTTTCTTTAAGATTTTCTTTTTATTTTTTCATTTATACAATAGCTGGGGTACAGGCCAGAGGCATGGGAGGGTGAGAGGATTCACCAGAGACAGATCAGGGAACAGAACAGGCAGACTGACGAAAAACACTGCTGAGAGAAGCAGCGGGGGCGGCAGGAGAGGTCTGCCGTGCCATGTGGGCATCTCCCTGGCCGACCAGGAATCAAACCTGTGCTGCAGAGGCTGTGGACAGCTTGACAATGCTAAGCTCAACCCGCTGTGCCACTGGGGAGGCCCTAAATTTATTTTTATTTATATATATTTATTTATATAGATATATTTTTTATTTTTATATATATATAAAAGAAAAACCACAAGATCTTATCAATAGATACTACAAAAAGTACTTGGCAAACTCCAACATTCATTCATGATAAAAACTCTTAGTAAACTAGGTATAGAGGGAACTTCCTCTACTTGATAAAGAAAGAATATCTACAAAACACTAACTGCTAACAGTATACTAAATGATGAACTTGAAGCTTTCCCACTAAGATGAAATACAAGGCAAAGATACTTCCTTCCATCAGTCCTTTTCAAAACCATATTAGACACTAATGCTGTAAAACAGGCAAAGGAAATAAAAGGTATACAATTGGAAAGGAAGACATAAAACTGTCTTTGCTTGCAGATCATCTATGTGGAAAATACAAAAGATCTGACAAAAAAATTCTAGAATAATAAAAGCAATTACAGCAGGTTGCAGATTACTACACAAGTCACTGCTTTCTTCTACAGTCATGCATCCATCACTTAATGATGGGGACACATTCTGAGACATGTACTGTGAAGCAATCTTGTTGCTGTGTGAACATAACTGAGCTAGCAATAGATTCTACATCATAGTAGAGTCCAGTTTTTTCTTTCAACATCACAAACTTTTGCTTTAGTCATGATAATCAGGTGCTGAGAAGGATGCTAGATCATTAAAAGTTTCATCATATCTGATAGAGGTAGGTCTCAAATTTCTGTTTTTCTCATTGCTTTCAATCAAGCAGATTCTTTAACAGTTTCAATCGCTTTGTTCTTGTTCTTCAAGATTATAGCAATGGTTGAATGGACCATTGAACATAACTGATTGACAACTAATACTATCACTGATTTCCCATATTTGTAATCCTTAATCACTTTCTTTCCAGTTAATCATTCGATATGGAGTTTTACTGGCAACATTAGCAGTGGATTTTGTACACTTAGGGGCCATAAAGAACAAAACAAGGGCCTCCCTGGTGGCGCAGCGGTTGAGCGCTGGGTTTCGAAGCTGCCCACAGCCTCTGCAGTGCTGGTTCAATCACCAGTTGCTCCCCAGCCACCAGAGGAGGGTCCCACATGGCACGCAGACCTCTCCTGCCACCCGCTGCTCCCCTCAGCAGTGTACTTCGTCAGTCTGCCTGCTCTGCTCCCCACTCTGGCTCTGGTGAATTCTCTCACCCTCCCGTGCTTCTGACTGTACCCAGTGCTTGTATAAATAAATAAAAATAAATCTTAAAAAAAAAAAAAGAACAAAACAAGAGTTGAAATCAGGCACCAGGGAAAATGATGCTATCAAGAGATGTGGTAAACACAAGCTATATGAGACTGCTGCCAATATAAAAATATGGACTACTACTCAGGTATTCAATTCAAGAAGATGAAATAGTGACTTTTGGGACAAAATAGATAGATCTTGAGGTGAATATGCTAAGAGGATCAGTAAGAAAATGAAAGACAGTTACTGATGGTTTTACTCATTTGTGGTATATAAATAGCCAAAGAAAACAAACTGACAAAACATAACAAAAGAATTCTTAGACTCTGAAAAATATACTGGTCACCAGGGGAAGGAGCAGGGGGGCATGGAGGGAAGATGATAAGGTACTGGCTGTGGACCTTTAGTGGACAATAAGTGAAACATGTGCACAACAGAGGTGTGAGGTTGTACTCTCCAAATTATTCAGTTATGTAAATGACTGACCAATCAAATCTGAAAAAAGAAAAGGGCCAATCTAAAAAGCTAAATACTGTATGATTCCAACTAGATGACATTCTGGAAAAGGTAAAAGTGTCGACAATAAAAAGATAAGTGGTTGCCAGGGTTGGGGAGAAGACAGGAAGAGATGAATATGCAGAGCACAAAGGATTTTTAGAGCAGTTAAAATACTCGTAATGACTCATAAGCAGTGATATATGTCATTATACATTTGTCCAAACCCACAGAAATTACAACAAGAGTGAACAGTAGTGTATACTATGGACTTTGGTAATCACAATGTAAATTCATCAATTGCAACAAAGGTATCACTTTAATGGGAGGTGTAGATATGGGGAAGGCTATGCATTTGTGGGTGCAGGACATACGTGGGAAATCTTAGTACCTTATGCTCAATTTTGCTATGAACCTAAAACTGCTCTAAAAAAATAAAGACACTGCAAAATAATACTTTCTGAATATTTTTTTCCCTTCAACTAACAACAGGCGTGCAATAACTCTTTTAATCCCATTTTCATCTGATATACGAAAATATAAAAATAAAAAGGTTCATTCTCAACCATGTATTTGCTGTAAAAGCAACATGATGATATATATAGTTCTAATTTTTAAACAAGTATGCTATGAAATTTCTATTTTATCAAAAATTGGTACACTCTGAAAACACTATATGATCATATTTAAAAATAAAATTTCATTAAAAATATACTAAGTAAACCAACTTGAGCTGCTCTTTGCTTTAGTTCCCAGTTTCTCTCCTTAAGTGCCTGGTTCATTTCAAGAAGTTCTTGCCTTTTGTCTTCAATCTCCATCTTGCATTCTCTGCAATTTATCAAAGGAAAAAGATGAAAGCAAATAGTAGGGAATATTATAGATTTTTAAATTTTTAATAAATCCCTTTTTTAAAATTTTTTTTTTTAATTTATTCTTGCATAGAAGAATTGGGCTGTAGGTCAGAGATGCAGGGGGTGAGAGGATTCACCAGAGACAGAGTGGGGAGCAGAACAGGCAATCTACTGAAATATGCTGCTAAGGGGAGCAGCGAATGAAACAGGAGAGGTTTGCTGTACCATCTGTGTTAGCTCCCTGGCTGGGGGCAGAACTCAGGCCACAGCAAAGGAATGAAGGGCTGTTGCAGTGGTAGCACTGAGACTTAACCCCCATGCAACCACGGGGAATATTACAGGTTTTAAAAATTAAGACAATTGAGATTATCTTAATAAAAATTAAGATAATTCCTATACATCCTGAACATCTAGAATAACAAACTTTACTGTATGACCAAAGCCCTCAGAGTAATAAGGGGAAATATCTGTAATTGTGATATTTCTTAGTATTTAAACACACCTAAGTTCAGCTGTGAGATCTTTTATAGTGGTATATTTTTCCTCTAATGATAATTGGGCCTTCTGCAGTACATCTCTCAATTCTTGGAGTTGTCTTAGAGTACTTTTTAATTCTCCATGAGCATTCTGTAGTTCAGTCTCTAGTGCTTCCCGTTTCTGCAAGGCTTCTGTCAGCTCAGTTTCAGAGTGGTGCTGCAACTTTTCAAACTCCTTTACTATTAAGAGGAAAGAATAATTTTAGAACTATATTATATATAAATCATTGTTATTAGAACTTTGCATATAATTATAATTAAGAATATTCTATTCTACTCATTGACAAGAGGCAAAATACTTATTATCCCTCCACCCCCATCATTTAAAATTCTTACTTTATTCTATTTCTTTAAATATAAATATGCAAGCGGCTAAGATCAGCTAACCTGTTGCTTGCTTACCATTGCTTGTTTTCTTATCTAGCTCTGTCTTTGTCTGTTCTAAGATCATGTCTAACTGATCAATATGCATCGCTTTATTTTCTCCATCCCGTTTGAGGTGCATTATTTCTTTTTCCATTTTACACAGTTCTTCTTTATACTGATCCAGCTCAAGTTTCACTTGCCTAATTAAAAACAAAAAATAAAATAAGTAAATGATAATTTGGAAACTTGAAAACCAACTGACATGTCTCTGACCAAAGTCTGCAAGAATGTATCAGCAAAATGTCTTGTCAGAATCTGAAATCACCCATTATGTTGTTTAAAATGCTCCAATTAAATATTGTAATTTTGCACTAATTACATAAAACTAAATACAACTGTATTTCTTGATAATAGTTAGGAAAGCTAGCATTCCTTTTAATTTAACTAGAGTTAACTTTTGTAAAATTTTGTATATATTGAGATCACAGACAGGTATCTTATTTATCAGTAATTTCTGTTATCTACAACACAGAAAATAAAGAAGGTAAGCAATAAAAATATTCAGCAGATAGACCATACCACTCATGTGAGAACCAAATTAGTATTTTTTTTTAAAGATTTATCTATGCATACAAGAACTGGGGTATAGGCCAGAGGTGTGAGTGGTGAGAGGATTCACCAGAGACAGAGTGGGGAACAGAACAGATGGACCGACTGAAATATACTGTTGAGGGGAGCAGTGGGCAAGACTGGAGAGGTCTGCTGTGCCATGTGGGTTGCTCCCTGGCCAGCTGGGGATCAAACTTGTGCTGCAGTGGCTGCAAATTGCTTCATAGATTGCGTCTTAACCCCTGCGCCACCAGGGAGGCCCCCCAAAATTAGTAATTTTTACTCAGACCTTTACTATTATCTTTTTTTAAGCTTTAAAAGGGACTTTTAAATTCTTTCTTAAAAAAATTGTTTTTTTAATTTATGTATACAAGAACTGGGGTGTAGGCCAGAGGAGTGGGAGAGGGGAGAGGTGAGAGGATTCACCAGGAGTGGGGAGCAGTCCAGAGAAAGTAGGGAGCAGAACAGGCAGATCTACTGAAATACACTGCCGAGGGGAGCAGCGGATGAGACAGGAGAGGTCTGCTGCACCATGTGGGTTAGTTCCTTGGCCAGGGATAGAACTAATGTTGCAGTGGCTGGGGATAGTTTGATAGTGCTGAGACTTTAACCCCTGTGCCACCAGGGAGGCCAGGGACTAGATATTCCTAAACTAATGCAACTTCCTTACTTTAAAGATGAGAAAACTGGGAGATTAGGTAAATGTTCTGGGATAATACAAATAGTTATTAACAATGAGAGGGTGAGGCTTACTAACTTTTGGTCAGTACTGAGTTTATTCCAATATGGAACCTCCTCTACCTGTACACAAATCAACAAAGTGAGAGGAAGCTTTAAGTTCAATTGCTGGTAATTTGCAGATGATATTCACTAATGTCATCCTCAATGATGAGGGGAGCTGATACACCTGTATATCAACCTTTGTTGTTCTTTTGGTCTTTGACAGTTTGTAGAAATTGAGTTTATAAGTTCTTTCTTTTCTAAATGCTACTTAAGCAAATTTGGATTTGTTCAAGAGGTTTTAATCTGATGTTCATGAGTAAATTTGAGGGAAACTGTAAAATCTCTGAAACACTGTAAATTTATGCATATGTATATACAGCTATACCTAGAAAATAGCCCACAACTTTTTATCATAACTTCAAATATATCAATGCAAAACAGGACATTCTCTTATACCACAGGAAGTTCCATAAGCAAGAAGACCAGAGAGCTACTCCTTACACCTGACCTACAAGAGGTCCCTGAACAGCTCTGCCTTGCTCCCTGCCTCACAGTTGCTCCTGGGGATTTGAGCGGGATGGTTTGCTGTGGTCCAGGAGCGCAGGTCCTCACCCAGGAAAAGGACAAGTTTGATGGTGTAGGGTAAAGAAAATGTCAGGCTTTTCTGCCCTTCCGCTATCAGGATAGATGATGGATCCTTGTCCTGAATGCATGCCTGATGGCGGGCACCTGGAATAGGGTGTGGGCATAGGTAAATAGGATTCAGCTGAGCTAAGACTGTGCTTTTTAAGGGTGGCGTCACCGGGACGCCAGGAGCAGTAGAAGCAGCAGCAGAAGCCGAAGCAGAAGCCGAAAGAGAAACCGAGATCACCAGAGAGCCCAGATAGAGTGAAGACTTGCCTCCAGGCCTCCCAGCCCCCAGCCAGGACCCCTGCCTGCCATATGCCTGGTGAACCCCAATAGAAAACCTGCAAAACTACTGAGGACTCTGACTCCTCCTTTACCCGGTCTGCACGGGATCAGAAAACCTGCACCGTGTCCAGTCCTGCCTTTACAGATGGGCTGACCATCCATCCAAGTCTTGGGGCAAGGGAAGAGTGAGAGTGATCAGAGTCAGGGAGAGAGACACAGGAGAAAGCCCGGTGGTGATAAGTAGGTGGATTATTGGTGAGAGGGCTGCACCTGAGGAAAACAATAACTATAGCAAGATGACCCAAAATGTAAGAAAATAAATAAATATATTAATAAACAAACAACAACAAAAATATGTCAATGGCCCAACAAAGTTAATAATAAATTAGAAAAGTGTTAATAACCTTCTGACATTTCTAAAACACTAGGTATATGATTGCTAGGTTGGCTATTCTTATATTAAATATAAAAATCAGCTAGAAAAGAATCAAAAGAGGTTAGCATATAGTATAAGAGCTGATACCTTGTCAGCAAATGTGCAGGGGGAAAATTATAAAAATTGGTACAGGAATTTCAAAGGCACTGTAGCCTACAACTTTTATCAAAATGCAAACAACTCTAAACTCCTTAAGGTTTAGTTAGGCACCACCTTGATATATATAATGATAACCCTGAAACACCAGAAAACTTTTTTGTTGTGTTTTAAAGTTTCAGTATTGGGGCCTCCCTGGTGGCGGAAGGGGTTAAGACCCAACCTATGAAGCTAGCTATAGCCACAGCAACACAAGTTCGATCCCCGGCCAGGGAGCTACCCACATGGCGCAACAGACTTCTCCTGTCTCGCCCACTGCTCCTATCAGCAGTGCATTTCAGTCAGTCTGCCCTGTTCTGTTCCCCACTCTGTCTCTGGCGAATCCTCTCAGTCCCCCAACCCTGCACCTCTGGTCCATACCCCAGTTCTTGTATGCATAAAAAAATCTTGTGTGCATCAAAAAAAGAACCCACCAGCTTTTCAAGAAATACTTCACATTCTTGTCACAGAGTTATTGAGGGCAATCAAGCCTGAGGTTGGAAACAAGGCCAAAAGTAATACTAAACTTTTATTTATTTTTTTAATTAATTTTTTTTTTTTAATAATTTTAATACTAAACTTTTAGAACAGGGCAGTTCAGACTCTTCAAAGAAATTTAAAATGGCTATATGGGCCTCCCCGGTGGCGCAGTGGTTGAGCGCTGGGTTGCACAGCTGCCCACAGCCTCTGCAGTGCCAGCTCGATCCCTGGCCATCGGGAAAGGGTCCCACATGGCGCGTAGACCTCTCCTGCCGCGCCCGCTGCTCCCCTCAGCAGTGTATTTCGTCAGTCTGTCTGTTCTGTTTCCCGCTCTGGCTCTGGTGAATTCTCTTGCCCTCCCATGCTTCTGACTGTACCCAGTGCTTGTATAAATAAATAAATAAATCTTAAAAAAAAAAATTAAAAAAAAAAAATTGAACTAAGATTAGTAAATATGGCTATATTTTTCTCCAGCCTCTGTAAAGATGCAAGCAAGCATGGAGTGGTCTGAGTTGGATTTATAATGCTGTATGTCATAAAGTAAAAAAGATAAAGAACCATGGGTACTTGTAAATCAGCGAGTTTAATAACAATCTAGAATTTAAGCTGGCTAAAATGAAGAGAGAGGGTATTAGGAAGTGAGACAGTGATAGAATCTCTGGATTCGTGGTCCAGGTTAGACAAAAGAATTGCTGAATGGGGGTATTTAAGGGAATGAGGTAATAATATAGGGCTAGATGCATAATTCAGAGTTTTCATTTTACCTGGCACTGCCAGTAAGCTCAATAACTTTCTGCCTTTTCAAATCTGCTTCATGTGTAGCTGCTTCACATTTCTCCTCCATTTTTCTTAACTTTTCAGCTGAAATTTCCCTTTGTTTTTGGAGTTCTTGTTCCAGTTTTGATACCTTGTAAAGCAGTTTTCACATATTTTAAATTTAGTCACAATCAATAATCTTCAGAAGAAAAATATTTATATAAATATGTAGCCTAGCCTATCATTCAGTTACAATGTATAATGTAAAAATCAAAATACAGACCAGGAAGTGATGTTTTAGAAATATAAATGCAAAACATAAATTTCTGTAATAAGTATACTTCATTCATATACCTATTTATACAACACCAAAATAGAATTCATAAGAATTGAACAAAATAATGGTAAATGTTTCCCTTTTGATTATCCCCACTTGTAATGTTCTTTCTTTTCTCATCAAACTATGTTCCTTTCTTCTTCACAAATTGGTTCATTCAGTCAAAGATTTCTAAAATCCAATCTGCCCTCAAACATTACAACTCACATTGTTACAACTCATAACATAACAACCATAATTTGGTTCTATCCATTCTTCCATATAAGTCAAATTGCTTCATAAGTTTCTGGATTCAATTCCAGTTCACTTTCTCAGAAACCTCATGCTATTGAGTACCTCTACTCTCTCCTGTAAGACATCTTTAATATCTTTCTCCTACTGTCTTCATATTAGCATTTAAACATATTCAAGATTTCCACCATAAAAAAATATTCCTTTATATCTCTACCTTCCTCCAGTTACTATACTTCTCCTTACCTCTTTCACAGTCCAAATTGTCAAGAGTTTTCTATGTCTACTGTATCACTTCTCACTTAAACATTTATCATCCCATAGCAATATGGCAGTTCTACAAATATTATGTTTATATCACCTCCATGTAGTTAATTCCAATAGATTTTTTTCAACACTCATTTGACATTGGCTACAGCCACTTCTATAATACCAACTATCATTCCTTACTTCATGAAATGCTTACTTTGACTTTCAAGTACAGCATCCCTATTGAGATGTGTCCAAATCAATCTTCTCACCCTCATTCTATACACTCTTCCTAGTTAATCTCAGCTATTTCATGTTTTCAATGAACATTTACATGACTATGATCTCAAAATTCATCTCTGGCTAATGACAGATCATAGCTTGCTAATATGCACATCCACAACTCAAGGTTCAAAAATAAAATTAAAACAGTACCCAGGTAAAAATGGAAGAGAACTATGGGAAATCTACCCACTCAATGCTTGATTAAGTGGCACACATATAAACAAAGAATCTAAAGATGAATAATAATCTTAATTTATGTAAACTTGACCATGACATTTTAGAAAATTTACTTCAAATACTGAAGAAATTTTCACATGTAAACTTCTTTATAGTCCTTCAAGGAAGTTAAAGAAAGCATAAAAATTTAAAATAAAGATCATGAAGAAATAAAATCACCAAATTAAAAAACAACAACAAATGAACTAGTAGAATAAAGGAAAAATAAAAAGAAGAAAACCATAAAACCACTGCAGAAATGAAAACTATTTCAGAAGGAACAAAAATTATAACCAATTCTGCAAAACCCAGAATCAATGACAAGGGATTAAGGAAATGAAATCAAACATAGATGAGATGAAGAAATGGTTCAGGACAAAGCTGCACAGCAGGCATAGCAAGCATTGTGGAAAGCCATAGAGGCAATGGCTCTAAAAAATAAAATACAGAATACCTGCTTGATATATTTGGATGTACTGAAGAGATTCTTTTGTTCCACTGGAAAAGTTGAGGGTGAATTCAGAATACACAGATAAAAGGCAATATAAATGGGAAAAAAGATAAAGTGCAGTGAGATTGTAGGGAACTATTTTCTAACATACATTTTTGTAAAATTTGAAAAGAAAAAACAAAAACTGAAAAAATCTGAAAAATTCAGATGAATTTAGAAGTGAATGAAAGAGTAAAAATTAAATTCTAGTATAAAATTTCCCAGGATTCTTTCATTGGAATAAGTAGAAAACTTTACCAGGAAAATGCTTAAAAGAGATAAGTTGGGGTCAGAATGGGGCGTTTGCAATTCTCTGGGATTTTTCTTTCAGTGTATTGCTTGAACATTAGGGATTATCATACATGTTCTGATCCAGAAGAGACTGGAAGTTATGATTATTCAAATATTCATCATATTCAGCCCCAGGAAATGGGGAGAGACTGAATGAGGAAATCTAAATTATACCTGAATTTGTATACAGAGTGACTAGAATGTGCCCATGGCATTAGAGACACAGATTACACAGAAACAGAACATGTCAGATTACACAGAAACAGAACTTTACCCATTTTACATAGTTAATATAGAATATATGCTATAGTAATAGTTTTTTGAGATCACCTAGCAATTTACTTCACTATTTCAGCAATTTACTTCAGTAACAAAAAATCCATTATCAATTTTTAAAATTTCAAATAAGTAAAAAGCATTTTGACCAATTATATATACCTGTTTTTCAAGCTTAATTTGAATGTCCTCTAGCTCTCCATTCCTAATTGTCTCTTGTTGTAACATCTGCTGCTGTTGCTGAAGTGTATGTTGTAGGATAACATTCTGCTCAGCGGTCTCTTGAAGACTATGACTTTTAATCTTTAGCTCTTTCTGTAAACAATATACCTAAGAGATACACACAATTCTCATTATAATATGTTTCAAATAAAAAGTCAAAGTTTCTATTTACTATATTGTTGCTATTTATAAAATGATAACCCAGCAAAGCACTTCTGAATATTCAAGCTCCAAAAAAACATGTAGAGAAATGACAATGCCATCTAAGAAATTCATTCACTCCAAGTATTTAGGACTTGAATGTTAGCCCACAAGATGACTTTAAAAGATACCTTTAAAGTTATTGGGTTGACCTATTTTTTTTTATTATTTTTTTTTAATAGAGGCATGTTATTTATTTGTTTGTTTGTTTGTTTGTTTTGTTTATACATGCACTGGGTACAGTCAGAAGCGTGGGAGGGTGAGAGAATTCACCAGAGCTAGAGCGGGGAGCAAAGCAGGCTGAAGGACCGAAGTACACTGCTGAGGGGAGCAGCGGGAGGCAGGAGAGGTCTGCGCGCCATGTGGGACCCTCCTCTGGTGGCAGGGGAGCAGCCAGAGATCGAACCGGCGCCACAGAGGCCGCGGGCAGCTTCGCAACCCAGCGTTCAACCGCTGCGCCACCAGGGAGGCCCGGGTTGACCTATTTTAAAGGGAAAATATCCCTTTGTCCTAGAAATACTAAAAATATGCCAAAATAAATTATTTAATATATATGAGATTCTTTATCTGCTACCAAAAGGGGGAGCTTTAATAAATGATATAATCTAATTAAAAATTATGCACCTATTTGAAATCATAACTTAGAAGACAGTAGGAAATATAAAAGTTTATAAAATTAAGTAGATAAAACCTAGGAATACAAGTTACATTTCATTAATATAATCATGAAAAACTAGCAGGCAAATAGAAAAATGAAAAGTTAAGTATTAGAGAGTGGATTGTAGGTAAATTTTCTTTAAAAAAGAGTTCTTATAGTTGTTTATATAAAAGCTTTTAAAAATGAATGAAAATGACAACATTCCTTTAGTAAAGAATTTTTTTCAATAAATAACATTTTAGAGAAAGGAATTTTAAGCTGTTAAAAGTGGAAAAGAATCTATATTGGTTCTTTTTTCCCATTAACCAGAAATTGAACACTTCCCAATATCATGAAGGGCAAATATTCTTTGCTCAAGAGTATTTAGAATTAGATATCACAGGATATCTAGAGTTAAAAGATTCTAGATATCGTAGGCAACTAACTGATTTCCATTCTTATAGACCTTTTTCTTTTTCTGCTAATCTAATTTTATCTGTATGAAAATAATTAATTAGTGCAAATATGTATCAGTATCATCTGTTTTCCTTGTTTTCTCTGCTAACTTCTTAGAAAAATGTAGATTACTCTCCTGCAGTAGTAGTGTATAGAACTGACTTGCTTGCAAGATAAATTTCAATACCATTTTTTTGTCTTTACTGGAACACCCCGTCTTACACTTATTTTTCTATTCAGAGAGAAAAATGGACAAAATATTAAAATAAGACAAAACAGAAGAAACAAAGATAAGATCTAACCAAAGTACTAAAGAAGGCATACCACATAATAACAATAACAAAATTTATTTCAGTAATCTAGCCACTGACAAAATAATTTCAATTATAAAGATTGAAGCACCTGTTACTTGTAACATAAATATTAACACAAAAATAAACCTGTATCTATCAAATATACATTGCACAACCCTTGAACTTTTGACCAGCTTTACTCTAAATATAAAAATAAGCTAAATGGTTTTTACATTATATTCTCTAAGTCATTAATTTCAAAGAATAGAACTTTCCTAAATGACTTATTATTTAAAAAAAATTTTCAAGGGCCTCCCCGGTGGTGCAGCAGTTGAGCGCTGGGTTGCGAGGCTGCCCGCAGCCTCTGTAGTGCCGGCTCGATCCCCGGCCACCAGGTGAGGGTCCCACCTGGCATGCAGACCTCTCCTGCCGCCCGCTGCTTCCCTCAGCAGTGTGTTTCGTCATCTGCCTGTTCTGCTCCCCGCTCTGACTCTGATGAATTCTCTCACCCTCGCACGCGTCTGACTGTACCCAGTGCTTATATAAATAAATCAATCTTTAAAAAAATTTTTTTTTTCAAAAATTACTTTTTGCATAGAATTGGGGTGTAGGCCAGAGGTGGGGGGTGGTGGTGAGAGGATTCTCCAGAGACAGAGTAGGGAGCAGACCAGGAGTTTTTACTGAAATACACTGCTAAAGGGAGCAGCAGGTGAGACAGAAGAGGCCTGCTGCACCATATGTGGGTTAGCTCCCTGGCCAGGGATCAAAGTTAGACTGTAATGGTGATAGTGTGAGACTTAACTCCTAAGCTACCAAGGAGGCCCCAAGGATTTATTATTTCATAATAGTCAAGAAGAATCTATAAAATCTATCTTACAATTAACTTTTTCTAGTATTAATGTATATCCAAAGGAAAAAAATTAACACAATTATTACTTAAAAGAAAACATAACTGATAAAAGTTACTGATACAAACTTCTCAAAAATAAAAGTTACTGATACAACTTCTCAAAAATCTAAGTCCATCAATTTGAAAAAATACATTTATCAATAAAACAATTTATTTTAATAAATATGCAGAAAACATTTAGGCTATTCTCATTTATTTTGTGTTTATTTTCTTCTATCACACTGACAGTGTAACTTTACATTAACACATACTTTATCACTTATTAAACATTTTATGAGATTGGGCCTCCCTGGTGGCGCAGCAGGTTGATCGCAGAGCTGTGAAGCTGTCCACAGCCTCCGCAGTGTGGGTTCGATTCCCAGCTGGCCAGGGAGATACCCACAAGGCGTGACAGACCTCTCCTGTCTCGCCCGCTGCTCCCCTCAGCAGTGTTTTCGCTCTGTCTGCCTGTTGTGCTCCCCGCTCTGTCTCTGGTGAATCCTTTCACCCTCCAGTGCCTCTGGCCTGTACCCCAGTTCTTATATAAAAATAAATAAATCTTTAAAAAAAAACCATTTTATGAGATTAAAATATTGTCAAAGTAACTTAGGACCCTAAAGTCACCATTATTTTAAATATATATATGTACTTATTTCAACATCTGAAAAAGTATTTTTGCCTAAGGCAAAACCTCAGAGGAACATTAGGTTCTTATGGTTGATAATTAACATGCAGTTTTTTGCATGTTAATAACAACTGCCTAACTTTCTACCAATATGCTCTGGGGCCATTTAATTACCTAGTGTGTGATTTGGGAACATCCACTCATTTAAAAGATCAAAACATCTTTATAACATCACCTATTATTAATAGAATGAACTAGGACTCAAATCTAATCTTTCTAAAACCAAGCTATATATGACAAAAACCTCACAACTTCTTTGTTATATTGTTAGTTTTTTTCTGTAAGATATTACAATTTTCTCTTAGGACAAATAAGTCAAATTAAATAAATGTATGAGTCAACACCTAAAAGAAAGGTAAGTAGGTTTTTCTGTTTCTTATCAATATACACTAAAAAGTGAAAAATTACCTTTTAAGTAAGTACACCAGTGTACATGCAGTTGAACTAATAATTCAACAACAATAAAAGGGCTTGCGAATATTTCTAACTTACTTTTTCTCTAAAATGGTTGCATATACCCAACTACCACTTTTGATTTCTAATTTGGTATGAACCTAGGTTTATGTTTCCAACTGTTTTGGAAATAATTCTTAGTAAGTTTGAGGTAAATACCTAATCTCTGATGTTATTTCTAAGAACTCAAAGTCTAAAGCTCAACAAATTCTCCTGTTACAGACACTGCCTATCTCCAGATTCCATCTCCATCAAGTTCATTTACACTGGAGTACAGTAAGGGCAATAGAATAAATGCCTAAATAATGTTGTAAAGAAAAATCACAGTTAAAAAAATAAAATTTCTATCCTTAAAAGTCAAAGTATCCATAAGTTAGGGGGTTTAATTGCCACATACTGGAATACAGAAATATATGTCCCTCTGCAAATTATTAAAAACTTTCATAGAGGGATGTGAAAGGAACTAGACAGAGCCAGAGAAAAAAAGAATTCTTTTATTTAACATCTAAAATTCTATAATTATATGATATATCTAAGTCTGGAGTGCTGGTCAACTTATTTGTTCTTAAAGCTAGCCTGTCTTCACCCTGCTCTGCTCTATGCATTTCAGGAAATTACCCTTTGAATAACAAATGAGTTTGGTCAATAAGCCAGCCAGTATTACCAGTTTTTACTAAACAAACTTTTTCTCTGTGGCCCTAGCTCAACTGGAGAGCTTTACTTCAGGACTACAGTCACATCACTTCTTCCTGATATTGTTTCCCTAAGGATGTAGTGGGTCTCTGCTGATGATAAACTTCTGCATAGCCTCAGCATGCTGTGTGGCTTTGCCACTCTTCTATAGCATGTGTATGCAGTTCTCTGAATAATATATAAAAAGGCCATTTTAAAGATATAAAAGGTCTTCTGTTATCCTGGTTGGACCTTTCTGACAAATTCAACTCAATTTTGATGACCAATTGGGTACTATTTCTAAACATGAATATAAGGTTTTAAAACATATATCATAAATTCCAACAAAAAAATGGAGTTGTTCACTAAGATTATCATCATGAGCAAATATTTAGTGTGTTTCTACTTTATTGAAAGCAAAGTGATAGATACAACAAAGATAAGCGAAACAAATCAGTAAGTCTTCTATCTATTGATAGTATATGAGAAACTCATTTCAATAAAGAAAGCTGAATTTCTAAGACTAATTCTCAATCTTTCAGATATCTAAAAGGAACAAAAACAAAATGGAAAAAATTTAAAGAATTTTATACCTCCAAATATAAAACAATATTCTTTTTTTTTTTTTTTTTTTAAAGATTTATTTTTATTTATTTATACAAGCACTGTGTACAGTCAGAAGCGCAGGAGGGTGGGAGAATTCACCAGAGCCAGAGTGGGGAGCAGAGCAGGCAGAAGGACCGAAGTACACTGCTGAGGGGAGCAGCGGGCGGCAGGAGAGGTCTGCGCGCCATGTGGGACCCTCCTCTGGTGGCCGGGGAGCAGCCGGGAATCGAACCAGTGCTGCAGAGGCTGCGGGCAGCTTGGCAACCCAGCGCTCAACCACTGCGCCACCAGGGAGGCCCTAAAACAATATTCTAAGTATTATTCATTTTATGTTAAAATTGCCCTGTGATATTAATAACTTACTCATCTGATTTCCTAAAAATATATAAAAGAACGAGGAATTTAAGGTGTTATATGTTGTGTTGCATTGAAATAATGACTGTTTCTTAAGGAATATAAAATTGGAATTCATATATTATTGAAAAGATTTTTTACATCAGCTACATAAAGATGTACTTAAAAAATCACTTGAAAATAAAGAATACCTCAAAAAAAAAATCACTTGAAAAATATACTATGCTTAAACAAAATGTTTACTTACCTCTTCAGATTTCTTCTTCATCTGTTTTTCAAACTTTTCCTTATTACCTTCCAATTGATTTAAATGCAAGGCAAGTTCTTCCTTACAAATTTCTAATGCTGAATCCAGCTGTCTGACCTAAGCAGGAAAAAAAAAGAGAAAAAGGAAAAATCAACTAGCATTAATGAGTGCTTAATAGGTGCTCAGTATTTTAAAGATTTATTCTTAATTTTACCCTACTGCTTCAAACAGTGAATATACAGTCTAATTTAGGACATAAGATGCTATCAAAAAAGGAATTGATATTAATACTGCCAGTGCAGAGAACATGTTTAAGTTACAAGCCTATAAAGAACATTTTTAAATAATTGGTAAAATTTCAGTATGGTCTGTGTGTTAAATGATGTTATTAATGTTGATTTTCTCTGGTCTATAGATGTGATGTAGTCATACTGGAGACAGTCTCTATTCATAGGCGATACAAGTTTTGGGGTAAAAGATTGTTATTACCTTCTCTCAGGTAGTTTGGTAAAAAAGTAAGTATGTGGGGGAAAAAAGTATGTATGTGAGTGGTGGGGTAGGGACTGGGTCTGTGCAAATACAAGTGCGCATGTACACGTGGGTATAGAGAAAGATGGAGTTTATCTCACACAAATAAATGTTATATACTGGATATAAACCACTCACAAATATACATGTTCATATACATAGGAATAAATATATATGAATGAATGAAATAAAAGACAAAGATATTGCTTTGCTGAATCAAAGAAACTCTTCCTCAGGGGTACAGTCTGTAGTTAACCAGGTAGAGCTTCAGGTTAGCTATCTTCAACTAAAGTAGCTACGCTATTTTTTGTTTAGTCTTCTCTACTTATGATTTTCTTTGAGGGAGAAGAAAGGATCCATAGTGGGAAATAAAATCAAAAGAAAATGGGGCCTAATGGGCCCCTTTTCAACTCTCTTTTAATGTCAGGTAACATATTAATTTAATTTATTGATTTCTTATTAGGTTCAGAATTTTCCTATCAATCTTATAGTACCCATTAATCACTTTTATAAGTGATACAACTTTAAACTTATAAATCTCCTGCAGATGCAACAGTACTTTTTTATGCAAAGAACAAATTGAGGCATACAGGGGGTCATGGTGAAAAACTAGGAAAGGAATGTGATAATGACATTATTAGGAAAAGAGAATTAGATTTCCAATTTCCATTTTGTTGCTACAAATATCATATATGTTAGTACAACTTCAGTCACAGGTACTTCTGTATTTCTTATTTTGACTCCCCCCACAATCAAAAACATACCAAGGAACTAAAACTCAACATCATAATTCATATACCTTTTGTTCGTTTCTTTCTTGTCTTGTGGTTATTAACGTAAGGAAATAACTTACCAGATGACTGGCTAGATGTGTTCGGTCACTTATTGAAAAACAAAAGTTAAGTGGTACTCTGAATTTTATTTAATGAAATTATTTCATGCCTACAATCTTTGTATAGTAATGATTTCTTTAATGTCAATGATCTTAGAGGTGTTTTTATAGAAGGAAATGAACTGAAATGGCAATAAATGCTAAAAGTTTTGGAAAATGCTATAGGAAAGTTATGGATAAACTTATAATTGTGATTACTTGGGTATACATGGTCACAAAATGAGTTAAAAACAGTACGAGGCAAAATGTGAATAATACTGACTTTTTAAAAATCCTTTAAATTCAAGCCATATATGAAAAAATAAAGGTAGCAACACATTAGACCTATATTTAACACAAAAATGCAAAGAAAATATTGAATATATAGTAATTACTTATTGAACTTTGAGTAATTTAGCATATTTTGAGCATTTTATGTATCTCATTTCACTTAATTCTCACACTGACCTCTTTTAGAGTATTGTTAACCCTATTTTTCAGATGAAGAAATTAAAGTTCAGAGAATTTAAATAACCTAGCCAAGATTACAATCAGTAAACACTCAAGTCAGAAATGAAAACCAAATCTCATGCTTTTAAACATGAAGCTCCACTAGTCACAAAACTATACCTAGAAATTCTGGATTTAGCCCCTACTTAATCTTATAGCAGAACTATAAAAGGTAAAAAAGTAATAAAACTGAACTGCTTGTAGTTTTTCTCTCTCACTTCCTCTTTCCCCAATTAATAGTACAGCAGAACTATAAAAGGTAAAAAGAAGTAAAAGCAGTAGTTTCATCGCCCTTTATTTCCTCTTGTTAATTACTTACTAGTAATGTAAGCAAGTAGCTAAAATTTAAATACATTTATATTATTAAGTCTAAAAAACCTTTCTTAAGGCTAAAAAAGTCTAGAAAATCTATAACTACATCATCAACTATCAAGTAATTATGAACATAATTCACATTGAAGAAAATATATGTACAGAGACTAAGTTTACTGATTCAGGTGAAATCTTTAACTCTTGATTTTATGTAATAACTTTTACAGTTTGAAAAGTAAAAAAGCCACAGGAATGTCTCCATGAAGATAAAAAAAATTTTTAAGTATTGAATAATAAGTATACTAGCCTTGATTGTTTCTTCAGATACTTGGTTCTGTAATGTTTTCAAAGCTTCATCTTTCTTCATGTTTTCCTTTTCCATTTCCTGAAAACATATAGATTGGTAGAATAGTATGTGCAAAATATTTTAGCAGTAGTAAACTATTATGTTAAAAAACTTGATTTGATTAAAATTAAAGGTATGTCACAAAAACATAAGCTTAAAGTATTAGCCAACTTTTAAACAATACTTTTAAAAGGATGATTTACCCCTTTGCTTTCCGTCAAGAGTCTGTCTAGTGATTCAAGATGGTGTTGTTTACATACTATATCTTGCTGCAACATAGCCATAGTCTTTTCTTGTTCCTTAAATTGTTGGTCTTTTTTTTCTAGTTGGGATTCAAGCTAAACATAAAAACAGGATTTATTTCTTTTCATTTTAACGAATTTTTGAAATATTTTAAACAGAAAAGAATCAAATACTATGTTAAAATACCACAGAAATTACAGATTTTTGCATTTTGCCAAATTTCCCTCAGTTTCCCTCCTGTTAGAGAAGAAATGAAATCACATGCCCATGGTCTGTGTCTTTCTCCAGTGTGTTTTATATTCCGACATGTTTTTTTGTACTTTTACTACATGTGCAGATCCAAGAATATGTGAGGTAAAGTTGTTTTGAAAATTTACATAGATAGCAATATATCCACAAATTTGGCAACATTCTGTTGACTTAATACTGTTTTAGATATTCACCTGTGGATATAAATTTATGCATTTATCTATATGTGGCTGGATCTAGTTCATTTACATTTATGACAATACAGTTTTCTTTCTTTTCTTTTCTTTAAGATTTATTTTTATTTATACAAGAACTGGGATACAGGCCAGAGGTGCGGGGGATGAGAGGATCCACCAGAGACAGAGCGGGGAACAGAACAGGCAGATGCACCAAAGACACTGCTGAGCAGAGCAGCGGGAGAGATAGGTGAGGTCTGCTGTGCCATGTGGGAATCTTCCTGGCTGGGAATGGAACCTGCACTGCAGAGGTGGCGAACAGCTTCACAGCACTGCGCTCAACCCACTGCACCACCAGGGAGGCCCCTACAGTTTTCCATTATGACAACAAATTACAATTTGTCTATATTACTCATAAACAACTAGATATTCTGTGTTTTCACTATTATGACAATGATATCCCTTGTACATTTCTCTTTATATACATTTATAGAGTTCACACAGTTTTTTGGTTTTTTTTTTTTGCATAGAAGACTGGGGTATAGGCCAGCGGTGTGGTGGTGGGGGGTGTGAGAGGATTTACCAGAGACAGAGTGGGGAGCAGAATAGAAGGATTTACTGAAATATGCTGTTAAGGGGAGCAGCTGGCCAGATAGAAGAGGTTTGCTGTGCTATATGTGGGTTAGCTCCCTGGTGGGGGATCGAACTCAGGCCATAGAGGTGATAGTGCTGAGACTCAACCCCTGCCAGGCCAGGAGGCCCCTATAGAGTTTATTTAGAACAGTTCATCTAGAAGTAGACTTCTTAGTTCCAGAATATGCACATTTCCAACTTCATTAAGCATTTCCCTTCAAAGTATAGAAAAGTGTATCTTTTCATTCCCCCCTACAACATCACCAATAATTGAAATTCTCAAATTTCCAAAAGACAAAATATGAAATTATTGCTGTGTTTATGTGTACATATGTATCCAAATATGCAGTAGCAATATGTCCAAAAATTAATAATATATAATTTAATTAAAAACACATTATTGCTTCAGCTAAACATAATCCTCAGTGGAGGATCTTATCCTGAAGTTGATGACTACTGATTGATCAGGGTGGGGTCCCCTGAAGATTGGGATGACTCTGACAATTTCTTAAAATTAGACAAAATAAGATTCTTCCTTTCACAAATGAACTCTTGTAGCATGGGATGTTCTTTGAGGCATTTTATTCAGAGTAGAACTATTTTTCAAAACTGGAGTCAATTCTCTCAAACCCTGTCAACTGCTTTATCAAACTGACATTATGTGATATTCTATGTTCTTTGTTTTCATCTCAAGGATGTTCTTAGCATTCACATAGAGAGGAGATTCCATCTCACAAAACTACTTTCTTTGCTCATCAATAAGCAAGTCCTTATTCATTCCAATTTTATCAAGAGATAGCAACAATTCATGTCCTCATTTTCCACTTCTAGTTCTCTTGCTATTTCTACCAATCTACAGTTACTTCCTCCACTTGAACTTGAACCCCTCAACATCATCAATGAGGGTTGGAATCAATTTCTTCCAAACTATTGTTAATATTGATATTTTGACCTCTTTCCCTGAATCACAAATGTTCTTCATGGTATCTAGAAGGTTGAATTGTTTCCAGAAGGGATTGCAATTGACACAGCCTAGCTCCATCAGAGAAATCATTGTCTATGGCAAATATAGTCTTATGAAATGTATTACTTAAATCACAGGACTTGAAAATAGAAACAACTCCTTGATTTCTGGTTACAAAATACATGATGTGTCAGCAAGCATGAAACCAACAAGGATCTCTTTGTATATCTTCATCAGAGTTCTTGAGTGACCAGGTGCATTATCAATGAGCATCAATATTCTGAAAGGAATCATTTTTTCCTGAGCAGTAAGTCTCAACAGTGGGCTTAAAATATTCAGTAAAGCATGATGGAAAGAGATATGCTTTCATCTAGGCTTTATTGTTCCATTATATAACACAGGCAGAATGGAATCAGCATAATTCTTAGGGGCCCTAGGATTTTTGGAATGTGAATGAGCACTGGTTGCAAATTAAACTCACCGCTGCATTGGTCCCTAACAAAAGAGTCACTCTATCCTTTGACGCTTTAAAGCCCTACAATAACTTCTCCTCTTTAGCCATAAAGTCCTTGATGCCATCTGCCTCCAATATAACACTGTTTTGTTTATATTGAAAAATCTGTTGTTTTGTGTAGCCACCTTCTTCAATTAGCTTAGATCTGGATAACTTGCTACCACTTCTACATCAGCACTTCTTGCTTCACCCTTCACTATGATTTCATGGAAATGGCTTCTTTTCTAAAACCTCATGAACCAATATGTGATAGCTTTTGCAGCTTCCTCATCTTTCTCAATCTTCACAGAAGTGGAGAGAGTTTGGGTCTTGCTGTAGCCTAAGGGAGTGTTGTGGCTAGTTTGATCTTTTATCCAGACATTAAAACTTTCTCTGTATCAGTAACAAGGCTTTTGGCTTTCTCATCATTCATATGTTCACTGAAAAGTATTTTAATTTCCTTCAAGAACTTTTCCTTTTAGTTCACAATTTGACTGGCCCAAGAGACCTAGCTTTTGGCCTCTTGACTTTTGACATACCTTTTTCACTAAGCTTGATTGTTTCGAGCTTTTGATTTCAAGTGAGAGAATGAAAGACACACAAATCTTCCTTTTACTTGAGTACTTACAGGCCATCACAGGGTTATTACTTGATCTAGTTCTAAGATTGTTATTTCTCAGGAAATAGAGAGTCCCAAGGAGAGTGAGAGAGATGGGAGAATGGCCACTTGCTAGAGCAATCAGAACACATATGATTAAGTTCACTGGCTAATGTGGGTTCAGTTCTTGTTGCTCCAAATCAGTTATAATAGTAATATCAATGGTCACTGATCACAGATCACCATAATCAATAATGAGAAATTTGAAATTTTGCAAGAATTATCAAAATGTGACACAGAGACACACAGTGGACACATGCTTTTGAGGAAATGGCACTGATAAACCTATTGAATGCAGAGTTGTCATAAATCCTCAATTTGTGTAAAAAACATTATCTGTGAAGTACGATGTGAGTACAACTGTAATAAAATGAGGTAGACCTGTATACATATTTAACTTTTGATAATTTATTCAGAATTAAGATTTTGTCACTTGAAGTGGAATACAGAACCTTTTAACAACATAGGTTCCATTACTGCTTCATATTTATATTGTAGTAGTCTAATGTATTATACCAACATACATTGAAAACCTCATTAGACAATATAGTTTTTTTCAACTGTCAGATACTATACTATTCTATTGAGAAGAAAAGTATTCCATTATATTTGCCAAATATTTACAATTACAATACATTATTTATTTGTACAAATAAGTATTTGTACAAATATTTATTTTTTTGTCCTTCCTTCATTCTTTAGGTTTCAAATTTCCCTCTGAAATGATCTTTTGCCTTAAGAACTTTCTTTAGAATTTATTTTATTTATTTGTCTTTGCTGCCTCTCTAAACCTCATTCAGTGAAAGTTTCTTTTTTTTTTTTTTAAGATTTATTTATTTATTTATACAAGCACTGGGTAGAGTCAGAAAAGCAGGAGGGTGAGAGAATTCACCAGAGCCAGAGCGGGGAGCAGAGCAGGCAGAAGGACCAAAGTACACTGCTGAGGGGAGCAGCAGGGGGCAGGAGAGGTCTGCGCACGATGCAGGACCCTCCTCCAGTGGCCGGGGAGCAGCTGGGGATCGAACCTGCGCTGCAGAGGCTGCGGGCAGCTTCACAACCCAGCGCTCAACCGCTGTGCCACCGGGGAGGCCCAAGTGAAAGTTTCTTAAAGATTAGTTGCAGTGTGGATTCTGAAATCATATTCATGCATTTTTCTACTCTATGACAATAAAATCCACTGGTCTACCTTGTACTTTGAGTGGATCATTTACACATACAAGATTTTGTAGTATTATCCTTTGGTCATCTGGAAAATATGGGTTTCCTGAGTTATATATTCAATAGCTGTCCCAAAGGGTGACATAGTTCATATATAATGTAAAAAAAAATTTTTGTTAATGTCACCAATCTCATCAGAAAAGTCTGCAAGTATTAGAAAGCTGTCAAATTCCTAATGGTAAATATAGGTTTTCCAAAATTTTAATTTTCAATTAAAAATTTGAATTTTATCATTGGCAACAAATACTATCAGTTGTTTTCCTTGATGTAACTGGCTCACACTGTTTATACTTAAAAGAATGTCAACCAAATATTCAAATCTAAATAACTATACTTTGTCAGTCTTAAGTTCTTTCATGTAAAAATATTGTTGCAGGGAAAAAAGGGAATTCAATTAGCAACTCAATTTCTCAAATGCTTCCTCTAAGACAGTCACTCCTCAGTATTTAGCAGAAGTGCTTTATAGAATTTATTTTAGAACAAGTCTGTTGGTGACAAATTCTCTAAGTTGTCCTTCACTTAACAATGTTTTTATGTATCTTAAAGAATTTGCTTGTTAGGGGCCTCCCTGGTGGCGCAAGCAGTTTAGCGCAGCGCTGTGAAGCTGTCGGCAGCATGGCGAGCAGATCTCTCCTGTCTCGCCCACTGCTCCTCTCAGCAGTGTATTTCATTTGTCTGCCTGTTCTGTTCCCCGCTCCATCTCTGGTGAATCCTCTCACCCTCCCGCGCATCTGTACCCCGGTTCTTGTATAATTAAAATAAATCTTTAAAAAAAAAAATTTGCTTGCTGGCCATAGAATTCTATGATGACAGTTTGTTTTTTAGCACTAAAAAAAATTATTCTTTTGTCTTTTAACCTTCATGGTTTCTAAAGAGAAATTCACATTAAATGAAGATGGGTTAGTAATATTTAAGGTTGTTTTCAGCATTCCTATTCCAAATATGCATTATATCTACTTAAAAAAACAAATAATATCTTACTCTTTCAATCTGTTTTTCCATTTCTTTATGCTGCTCAAGATGAATTTTCTTTGCCTTTTCAAAAGCTAAACAAATTTTCTCATGCTCTGTATTGATATTGGTTTCTAGACTTCTTATCTTTTCATTCTTTTCCTAAAATACAAAAACATGTTAACAGAATTTAACTGAGAACTGGTTTTACAAAAAGGTACATTAGTAAAGAATTATACTTGTCCTACTCTAAAGAATCACAGTAATTAATATATCCAACTATCAAATATTCAAATGTTTATAAAAGCAAAAGTTAGAAAAATTGTATCAAAATGAGAAAAACTGGACCCCTACCTACCTCCATACACAAATATTAATTTAAAATGGATTAGAGATCTGGATATAAGAACTGAAACCATAGAGTACTTGAAAGAAAACATAGGGACACACAACAGGACACCTACCTGTATTATGTATTTGGGCACTCAACTCTAATGGCAAGAGAAACAAAAGCAAAAATGAACAGTGGGACTACATCAAACTAAAGAGCTTTTGTACCTCAAAAGAAACCATCACAAAACAAAAAGGTAACCAACAGAATGGGAAAAAATCTTTGTATATTAGATATCTGACAAGGAGCTATTTCCAAAATAAACAAAGTACTTAAATAGTCCAATAACAAAAAAACAGACCCTGGGCCTCCCTGGAGGCGCAGCAGGTTGAACGCAGTGCTGTGAAGCTGTCCGCAGCCTCTGCAGCACGGGTTCCATTCCCAGCCGGCCAGGGAGATACCCACATAGTGTGGCAGACCTCTCCTGTCTCGCCCGCTGCTCCGCTCAGTAGTGTGTATCGGTTGTTTGCCTGTTCTGCTCCCTGCTCTGTCTCTGGTGAATCCTCTCACCCTCCTGCGCCTCTGGCCTGTACCCCAGCTCTTGTATAAAAATAAATAAATCTTAAAAAAAAAACAAACAACAGATCCTCATCAAAAAATGGGCAAAGGACCTAAAATAGACACTTTCTTAAAGAAGATAGTCAACTCATAGCAGGAATTTAGAAAACCTAAATAAGGGACCAGGAAAAAGACTAATTATAATAAAGAAAAAATCAAAATCAACAAGTAACTGTAAATCAGAGATACTCTACAGGGGGCATGGGGGAGGAGAGGATGGATTAGGGCCAAAATAAGAGAGGTGGGAATTGTATGGGGAATATATCCAAAATGAAAATGCATACATTGTGCAAAAATGAAAAATGATGTAAGAATTATATAAAATAAAATATTAAAAAAGAAGATATTCAGATGGCCTTCAGACATGAACAATTGTACATGACTTATCATGAAGGAAATGCAAATCAAAAGCACAATGAGAGGCCTCCCTGGTGTCCTAGGGGGTAAATCGCATCACTACTACCTCAAAGACCTGAGTTTGATCCCTGGCCAGGGATTATGCTCTCTACTCTGTCTCTGGTGAATCCTTTCACCTCACCCGCCTTTACACCCCACCCCCCCAACCCCGGCCTGCACTCCAGTTCTTCTATGCAAAAATAAATAAATAAAATCTTAAAAAAAACAAAACAACACAATGAGATAGCACTTATCTCTGTGAAAATGGCTCATATCAAAAATAATGGAAACAACAAAAGTTGGCAAGGATGTGGTGTAAAAGGAACTCTCACCCAGTTTGATGGGTATGCAAGTTGGTGCAGTCTCTATGAAAAAACAGTATGGAGATATCATAAGAAAATAAAAATAGAAATTTCATATGATCCAGCAATACCTCTGTTAGGTATTTATTCTAAAATTATGAAAACTCTAATATGAAAAGATTGATTTACATCCATGTTTATTGCAGCATTGTCCACAATTAGCAAGTCAGGGAACCAAACTAAGTACTATTCAATAGTCAAATGGTTAAAGAAAATGGAATATTACATAGTTGTTAATAAAGATAAAACAGAAATCTTTGAGACAAAACTGATGGACATCAAAGAGATTATGTTACATGAAATAAACCAGAAAGTGAAAAACAGATACCGGATGGCTTCGCTCATCTGTGGAATATAAATAACCTAAAAACATACACAAGCAAAATACTGCAGAAATAAATCTTGGATTTAAAGAATTTAATGATTACCAAAGAGAATGGTGGCAGGGTGGGTTAGGAGTAACAGACCAAGATGGGGTATTGGCTTGGGTGGTTTGATGAAGAGTGAGTGGAACATGTGGACATAAGGAAGAACAAAAATATAACCCCAAAATTAAAAAAAAAAAAAAAAGAACCAAATAGTCAGTGGGAGTTTCAAAATAAAAAAAAAAAAAAGAAGATAAATTATTCAACAATACTGAGAAGTGTATCGAAGAACTAGTCTTGTTTCCTTCAATACTATTATAAAAAATTTAAAATTAGATAAAAAATTACCAAATGAATAAACAGAATGAATAAACATAAAGATTAGCAAAATATATATTTTTCCTCTTGGTGTATTTTATGATGATAATACTAAAACAAACATGGTGTCACAGTGAATTTGTAGCCAAAAAAGGTAATTTTTACCATAAGCTCCTGTTCTAGCTCTGCATTTTTTGCAGCAATAGAGGAATAGGCAACTATTTTTTCTTCCAGCTGTTTCTCTAGAGTTAAAAGTTGTGAACATTTCTTTGTCATCTGAAACATATTGGAAAAAATATTTTAAAAATAATGTTAAGAAAGTGACATTTCAGAAGAAAAACATAGTGAAGACTAGATATATGACATAACATGTTCATCTGTGTAACTCACATTAATTCAGGCCCCATGTCTAAATAAGACTGCACACTAGCCTATTTTTTAAAAGTTGCTATTAAGACTGAAATTAGTATAATAAAATATCAGCAGTAGATATTTTTGGTGGTAGAATTGCTAATGATTTGTTTTCTAGTGTCCCTTTCTGTATTTTCAACAAAACTACATTAAATTTGTAATTTAAAAGTTATTAATCATAGTACTTGACAATCTTCTAAGTAAGCTAAAAGCTATAATCACAGATTGGCTATATCTCCTTTCCCATTACTTACTTAAGTTCCTATCCTACAGTACTTTTTCTTAGTTTTAGCTATGGAGTTTAAGATGAGAAGTCAGACATTTAAAAAGTACCCTCAGAGTCAGCTGCAGTCTCTGGTTTGAACATTGAGTATTTTATATGTATGTGGTTCTGGTCCACAATTATCTGAGGTATCATAGTTTTCTCATCAGATAGTCACAAAACATATTTTAACTACTTTATAGAATATAATCCATAGCAGGGGCCTCGCTGGTGGCCAAAGGGTTAAGACGCAGCACTATGAAGCTACCCACAGCCACTGCAGCATGAGTTTGATCTCCAGCCAAGGCACATAGCACAGCAGATCTCTCCTGACTTGCCCACTGCTCCCATAAGCAGTGTATTTCAGTCAATAAATCTTTAAAAAATATATAATCCACAGCAGATATGCATAAGATTCATATGCAGGTATTTAAAAATGCAGATTCCACAGCATTATTCCATATCTACTGGATCTGAATTTCTAATACAATGTTTATTTATCTAATTTTTAAAAAGATTTATTTATTTATTTATGCAAACAAGAACTGGGGTACAGGCCACAGGTGGTGGGGGGTGAGAGGATTCACCAGAGACAGAGCAGAGAACAGAACAGGCAGGCTGACTGAAATACACTGCTGAGGGGAGCAGTGGGCGAGATAGGAGAGATCTGCTGGGTGAGACAGGAGAGGTCTGCTGCACCATGTGAGTAGCTCCCTGGCAAGCGGGGGACTGAACTTCTGATACAGAAGCTGTGGATAGCTTCATAGTGCTGTGCTTCACCTCCTGTACCCGCAGAGAGGCTCCAGTTTACAATGTTTAACAGGCTTCTTTACTTATAAAGATATATTAGTCAGACTAACTTATGTTTGGAAAAAACAATAAAGTACAATGTAGTGTAAGTTTCACCTAATTTGACACCTTATAGCACCTACAAAGTATTTTCCTACCTTTAACAGTTTAAAACACAAAAGTTAAAAAAAAATCCAAAGGTTTCCCAATATAATTTTTTAAAATTTATAACTTATATTGTACCATTAATTATTTCAAATGTATAAACCTGGAATTAAATATATAATTTTTACAAAACCCCTCAATACATTTTTTGTTTCAAAATTCAATACATATAAATAGCAAATTCAAGCTTACTTCACTTTCAAGTTTGCTAGAGTTTGAAGCTTTTTCTAGCAGCTCCTCTTGAATCAGCTGAAACTGACTAGTTCTGTGGGCCATATTAACTTTCAAATCAGAATTCTCAGCTTCTATTTCCATCAACTTAGTTCGTAGTTCTTCTATTCCAGAAACAAGTCTTTGCCTTTCTTTCTCATATTGCTTGTGTACAGTATGTTGATTTTGATTGTTTATACTTTCTGTAGATAAATATAAAATGGAAATTGTTCTGTAAAAACTTCAAGAATAAAAACCTATTTCAATGCTGAAAGATTTAATCATAAACAAGGATTAGTTTCTAATCTAAAGAAAGGATATAGCGAATAAGATATATTAAAGAAAAGAAAAGAAAGGTAAGTGGTAAGTAAGGTACCTTCAATTAATAAAGAGGGAATAAGTTCTTCTGAATCGCTTGCTTTTCTGGACTATTCCTTTGTACCAGAAGGACTATTCATTGTACCAAAAAAAGCCCTTCCTCACCTTTACAGAATCCCTTTTTTTAATAGAAATCATTATAAAAACAATAATTGTTAAAAAGATAAATCACTGTGTTTTTTTAAGTTCTGTCTTCTTAAACTTAAACTAGTCATAAAATTTATTTGGACATCCTGTGATCGTTAAGAACTCAGTAGAGCTAAGGCAGTGGGGAAAGAAGGGTGTGGCCATTCCACAGTGGGCTTGGACTGTGGCGCAGCTATGCAGTGAGCAGTTACTCAAGAAGGTCATTATTAAGTTTCTACAAGAGCAAAGTTCAGATTTGTTTCTTGCAGAACATAAGTTATTATGAAACATTTAAAATGTGGCAAAGACAGCTAACAAGGGCAATTTGGTTATAGCTTACAGAATTTTTTTGAAAGTAAGCTTTCATGGGTACTTAAAGTATGTGTCCAAGCAGGTAAAAAGTATATAACTTAATGAATATAAACACAAAGAAACTAACCCTGAAGAAACTCTGGATAAGGATCCATCAAAATACACAAAACTTGTTCGTTAAAAACAAGATAAAACCTACTTTACCAAAAAGGGAGATGTTGTTCAGTGCTAATATACAGAACACTACAGGACAGACTATATTTTTTTATAGATAATTATTTCTTAAGATTTATTTTATTTATTTATGCATACAAGAGCTAGGATGTGGGCCAGAGGTGCTGGGCGGGGAGAGAGGGGTGAGTGGATTCACCAGAGACAGAGTGGAGAGCAGAACAGCTGGACTGACTGAAATATACTGCTGAGGGGAGCAACAGGCGAGACAGGAGAGGTCTGCTCCACCATGTGGGTTATCTCCCTGGCCGGGGATGGAACTTGTGCTGTGGTGGTTGCAGATAGCTTCATAGTGCTGAGACTTAACCCCTTGTGTCACCAGGGAGGCCTAATTATTTCCTTTTTTTTTTTTTAACTTTTTATTCATTAAACTTTTTTTCTTATATTGTTGTAGTCCCCACAGCTCTCCTGCCACCAGCTCATCCATGAACCATCACCATATTCCCTCGTATTCTTCCCTCCCCTGTTTCGACCCCCTTCTGAGCGATTTGCCTTAGATCTATGGTCAACTTGCTAGTTTTGACTTTTTCTTGACCTCTTCTTTGGTTTGTCTATATTCCGCCAATAAGTGAGACCATCAGATCTTTATCTTTTTCCTTTAACTCATGCTATTTGCAGCAACATGGATGCAGCTGGAAGATTTTTTTAAATATTTTATTTTATATAATTCTTACATCATTTTTCATTTTTGCACAATGTGTGCATTTTCATTTTGGTTATATTCCCCATACAATTGCACCTCCCCCTTATTTTGACCCTAGTCCTTCCTCTCCCCGCCACTCCCTGCCCCCATAGTGTGTCTCTGGTTTACAGCTGTTTGTTGATTTTGATTTTTACTTTGTATTAATTAGTCTTTTTCCTGGTCCCTTATTTAGGTTTTCTAAATTCCTGCTATGAGTGAGATCATCTGGTATTTTTCTTTTTCTTTCTGACTTATTTCGCTGAGCATGATCCCTGGAAGGATTATTTTTGATACTAACAATAAACCAGTTCCAAGAAGAAAAATTCCAAGCCTTCAAATTTTAAGGTTAGGGATCTCCTTGGTGGCGCAGGAGTTAAAGACAGAGCTATCAAGCTATCACCAACCACCGCAGCATGAGTTCAATCCCCAGCCAGCCAGGGAGCAATCCACATGGTGTAGCAGACCTCTTCTGCCTCCCCTGCTGCTTCCCTCAGCAGTTTATTTCAGTAGCTCTGCATGTTCTGCTCCCCACTCTGTCTCTGGTGAATCTTCTCACCCCACCTCACCTCTGGTTTACACCCCAGTTCTTGTATGCATAAACAAATCTTTAAAAAAATAAAATAAAAGGCTTGATTGAACCACAATTGTGATATCATCTCACACCAGTAAGAATGGCCTACATTGAAAACACTAACAACAAATAATGCTGTTGAGGATGTGGAGAAAAAGGAACCCTTTTAACCATTGCTGGTGGGAATGGAAACTGGTCCAACCACTATGGAAAGCTATGTGGAAGACTCTCAAATTACTGAAAACAGATCTACTATATGACCCAGCAATTCTACTCCTAGGAATCTATCCAAAGGACACAAAATCATTAATTCTAAAGGAAACTTGGGGGCCTCCCTGGTGGTTCAAGGGGTTAAGATGCAGTACTATGAAGCTAACCACAGCCACTGCAGGACAAGTTTGATCCCCGGCCAGGGAGGTGACCCTTATGGCTCAGCAGACCTCTCCTGTCTAGCCCGCTGCTCCCCTCAGCAGTGTGTTTCAGTAGATCTGCCTGTTCTGTTCCCCGCTCTGTGTCTGCTGAACCCTCTAACCCACTGCATCTCTGGTCTGCACCCCAGCTCTTGTATGCATAAATAATCTTTAAAAGAAAACAAAACAAAGGAAACGTGCACCTCTATGTTCATTACAGCACTATTTATGATAGCTAAGATATGGAAACAACGTAAATGTCCAAAAACAGATGACTGGATTAAGAAGATGTAGCATATATTCACAATGGAATATTACTCAGCGATCAAAAAAGAAACTCATGCCATTCACAGCAACATGGATGGAGCCGGAAGGGATTATGCTCAGCAAAATAAGTCAGAAGGAGAAAGAAAAATATCGGATGATTTCACTTATAGGAGCTATATAGGGAAGCCAAACAAGGGGTAGGGGAAGAAAAAAAGAGAGAGAGACAAAACTATCAGGCAAACTATAAATCAGAGACCTACAGCAGGGGTGGGGGAAGGGATCAAAATAGGGGAGGGAAAAGCACAAGAGACTATGGTGACTGTGACTTGGTGGTGGAAATTTTATGGGGATTACACCTGAGAGGAAAAATCATGCATTACACGAAAATGAATAATGATGTAATATATATGTGTATATATATATATATATGTATATATATACACATATAAATACATATACATATAAATACATTTAATAATAGAAAAGGGCTTATTGGAAAAATAAAAGAAAAAGAAAATGAAAAAATTTAAAAAAAAAGAAAAAAAGAAAAGGCTTGATTGGAAATTGAACCAGAATGGGCTCATGGGAAGAAAGGACAACTTAAAGCCAAAATTCCACCAAATGCAAAACTCATTTTGAAATGCAATTAGTGGATACTGATTGAGATAGCAATAGTTCATCCAGATCTAAAGACATCAGCAACAATAAAACATGTCCTTGAAGAAATTTATGTAACTAATTAGAACTGATTACTATTTTAAAGAAATAGTCAACTAGAATATCAAGAAGTTGGGCTTCCCTGGTGGTGTAAGGGGTTAAGCACCGCACTATGAAGCAATCCATAGCCTCTGCAGCACGAGTTTGATCCCCGGCCGGCCAGGGAGCAACCCACATGGCAGACCTCTCCTGACTTGCCCATTGCTCCCCTCAGCAGTGTACTTCAGTCAATCTGCCTGTTCTGTTCCCCACTCAGTCTCTGGTGAATCCTCTCACCCCCCACATCTATGGCCTGTACCCCAGCGCTTGTATGTATAAATAAATAAATCTTTAAAAAAAAAAGAATATAAAGAAGTTAAGTCAGAACTTATTTACTTGATCCCCAACTTTTAAAAATTGTAATCCCTTATAAATCCCTTAAGTCTAAGATATTTCTCTGCAGCTATGTAAAACACTGGTTAAGGAGAATTGATTTTCCTCAAGCTTCATACAATAACCTAAAAAAGCTCATTAAAAATGAATCTAATGTAAAAAAAACATTTTGATATTACATTTGATATACACAAATGCAGGTTCAAAAGCTGAAAAGACTGAATCCTTCCTAGCCTAAAGTTGTAAATGAGAATTCAGTGATGTTTTTTAAAACTACTTAAGGTTATCAGAATTGTTTAAATATACTTTCTCCACTATAAACTTTATACTCACATACCCACCCCAAGTAACTGAGTTTTTAGGAGTATTTTAAAAAAGAATAATGTAAATGACTACATGAGAACACATAAAGATATAGAGACAGAAATGCACTATGCCTTCAAAGGTTGTATAAGTACTATTTCCCACATCCCTAATACTTCATTTCTAGGTTCTCATTAGCTCTGTTCTTCTTTTATGAATGATATATTACATCACCACCTCTAACAATTAGCATTCTCTCTCCTAATCTCATCAATCTCTTCCTTAGTCTCTCTAATCATTTAGATATCTAATTTTCTCTCATTTCTGCTGTTCTTAGTTCATCATATTTGAAGATAAACCATGACAAATTAAAAATGCATACGTTTAACTATCAAGGCAACCACTGAAAAAAGTAAAAGGTACACTTAATTGATCAATAGTGGAAATTAAAAAATGGAACAGTAAAACATACTTGATCCAAAAGAAAACAGGAAAGATGAACAAAGGTCAATAGAATAAATAGCAAACAAATAGCAAGATGGCAAATCTAAGCCAAAAAAAAAAAAAGAAAAGAAAAAGTGATTTAAACACTCCAACTGAAGAGCAAAAAAAGGTCTGACTGATGATAAAAGAACTAAAGTGTTCTTACAGAAAAGTTATGTTCTGGGGATTTAATGTACAACATGGTGGCTATGGTAAATATTGTATTGTACATTTAAATACTGCTAAGAGAATAGATTGTAAACATAAGAAAAAAATTTGCAGCTATGTGTGATGATGTATGGGAACTAAAATTCCATGGCAATCATTTCACACATATGCATATATTAATCATTATGCCATCACCTATAACTAATACAATGCTATATGTCAATAATGCCAATAAAAAGATGGCTGGAGTGGCTATGTTAATTTCTGCAAAGTAGGCCTCCTAACAAATAAGATATCAGAAGATAAAAAGAGACAGTTACTATAATAATGGGGTCCATTCAACAATACATAACCATCTTAAATGTGATATATAAATAACATGTTCAAAATGTCAAAGCAAAGACTAAATGAACTAAAAAGATAAATTAACAAACCTACATATAAAATGTATAAATGTAACAAACCTACATATAAATAAGATAGATATATTTGAAGATTATTTTTTGAACAATTGATAAAACAATTTCATTAAAAATCTTTAAGATATAAAGAAGGCAAATAGCACTACCAACCAATTAAATATGATTGACATTCAAAAACAATTTTTACAGAACACACAAAACACCCAATAATTACAGAACACACAGTATTTTCAAGTGTATCTGGAACATTCATCTACATCATATACTGGTCAATAAACCAAGTCTCAACACTTATAAAAATGATATCACTTGTGGGCCTCCCCAGTGGCTCAGCGGTTAAGTGCTGGGTTGCAAAGCTGCCCACAGCCTCTGCATCGCCAGTTCGGGCCCTGGCCACTGGCGAGGGTCCCACATGGCACGCATACCTCTCTTGTCTCGCCCCCGCTGCTCCCCTCAGCAGTGTACTTGTCAGTCTCCCTGTTCTGTTCCCCGCTCTGGCTCTGGTGAATTCTCTCACCCTACCATGCTTCTGACTGTACTCAGTACTTGTATAAATAAATGAATAAATCTTTAAAAAAAAATGATATCACTTGCATTCATGAATTAGGTAGTTTAATAAGGAAACAACTTCATGTCTACCACCATAACAAAAAGATCCGGAAAATTCCTAAAGATTTGAGAAAAAACACACATACACAGTCCATAAGTCAAAGAAGAAATCACAAATATTTAAGATCTCTGACCTGAACAAATGAAAATACAAAATATAAAAATTAATGGGATGCAGCTTAAGCACTGCCTAAAGCAAAGTTTATTCCCTTTAATATATTAGAAAAGAAGAAAGGTTTAAAATCAATAATCTAAGCTTTCACTTTAAAGAAATTAAAAAGAGAAAATTAAACTCAAAGTAAACTGGAAAGGAGAACAAGGACACTGCGAAATGTCTTAATTGTGGTAATAAGTATATAAACATGAAAAAATCAAATATGACAAAATATATGAAACTATATATTTTAGGGCCTCCCCGGTGGCGCAGCAGTTAAGCGCTGGGCTGCAAAACTGCCCACAGCCTCTGCAGCACCGGTTCAATCCCTGGCTGCAGGGGAGGGTCCTACATGGCACGCAGACCTCACCTGCCGCGCCTGCTGCTGCCCTCAGCAGTGTCCTCCGTCTGTCTGCCTGTTCTAGCTCTGGTGAATTCTCTCACCCTCCGGCGCTTCTGACTATACCCAGTGCTTATATAAATAAATTAATTAATTTTTAAAAAACTATGTATTTTAAATGGGTATATTTTATAAATTTTACCTTGATAAAGTGCATTTTCAAAGAATGATGTGAAGTTTGAGAATTGAAATAATTTGTGCTTTTATCAACCGACAGCTAGTAGTAAAATAATATCAACGGTTTGATAATAGAAATCAGAGTTGAAAATCCATTTTTTTAAAAACTATCATAAAGTTTATCATTTATTTAAAAAATTTAATATACTTACCTACTTGATTACCTCCTAGTTTTACAGGTTCTGTTTCTAAAATATTTAATTTGCCACTTTCTTGGTTTTCTTTACAAGAAATTATATTCTGAGGTAACTGATTCACAGTCAGGTCTGCATGAAGTTTTTGAATTTCTGCCTCTTTTATTGCAAGTTTAACCCTGGTACAAGAGAAAAGAAGACAAAAAATGGAATGATTACATAAAAATATCTCAAACTATCTTTATCTTTTAAGTTAATAAAAATTTTAAAATTCTAATTAATCAGTCAACTGTTGGGGAGGATATGGAAACATATAACACTCACTGAACCATAAACTAGATTAGCTACTTTAGGAATTTGACTGTACCTAGTAAAATAAAAAATGTGCATATCCTATGACCCAGCAATTTCACTTTTAGGAATATACAATAGAGAAACTCTCCCATATTTCACAAGGAAATATATGTTCTTTGGAGCACTCTTTATAACAGAAGAAAGCCAGAAGTAAAGTAACTATCAGTAAAGGAATAAATTGTGACATATAGTACAGACTCTTAGGCAGTTATTAAAATCATACTAATCCACCCATTGATCAATCACTCTACCTAGCCACCTCAACATGGATAAATTTAAGATGATGCTGAGTGAAAAAAGCAAAATTACAAACAATGTAGACATATAGTATATTTGTATATGGGGGGTGTGTGTAAAAATGCAGAAAATAGATTGGAGAATATATACTCAATTTATGATGATGGATACTTAGGAAGAGAATGGGACAAGCGGTAAGGATTGAAAGGTTTTATCTATTCTATAATGCTTGATTTTGTATTTAAAGAAACAAACTTGGAAACAATTATCACAAAATATTAAAAAGAAACAACTGGATTATGGATTTGTTATGACACTCTGGACTTTTCTGTTTATTTTTTTACTTCTCCACTAAAGATTTTAATTTAATTACCAATATAAGAAAATATTTTCTGTAACTTCAAGATCTGAAAACCATACCTCAATTCTGATATCACCATTTTATTTGCCTCACAGCAGTCAATGTAACTGTCTTCTTTGTTTGACAAACTATTCATCTGGTGCTTAGAAAGTGATGATTTAAAACCAAACATTTCTCTCTTTAACTGCAAGTTAAAAAAAAATAATATATAAACTAATAATATCTATGATGAATTTTTTTTAATCCAGAACCCCATGTTTGATAAATTGTATGAATTTAAATAGAAACATCTTAATGTACATCAATAGGAGAATGTATAAATACATTATAAGATACCAAGAATGGGAAAACTACAATAGTTAAAATAAACCTGTTTTGTATAAATCATTGTGGAGATATCACATAATATTGAATGAAAAACAACAGAGGCATGGGTAATATTTTAAAAAACACTAAACTACCATTTATTCACTTCTACATGTACATATAAGTGGTAATATTTAAAATATGGGTGAAGAGACATCAATTTCAGAATAGTGGCTACATCTGAGGAGAGAGGGAAAGAACTGGATATGAAAAATTATTTTAAGCTGATTTATTTACCCGTAGAATTTTATTCTGAAAACATTTGGAGATTGCAATGTTACCCATATTTAGCAAATACTGTGCTACACTGATCTCTATACTTTTCTGCATGTTTGAATAATGCAGAATTTTTTAAATTAGTTGTAAAAGGGGTAAGGTAAGCACTTAATCATTACTACCTTCAAATTATAACCAAATCATACTTTATGGAAATCAAAAATATTTTCATTTTTTCAAACCATGTTATTCTTAACACTGCATCAAACACAGGTATAGATTACTACTCCAACTTCAGAAATACACATCAAGTAATTCTTGATACTGAGTTCAAGTGAGAATATCAATTTAATATGAATGTTATTTGCATGTGATTACATAAAATTTTCAAAAGTAAACAGTACATTAAAATTCTAAGCAAATAGCATCCTAGGAAAACAGATGCAAGTAAGGGCTGGGAACCCTCGGAAACATATTAGCTACTAACTTAGTAGCTATTTCTATATTTCTTCTCCAGTAAAATGATGGTGGTTGAATTAGATGATTTATAAGGTCCCTATCAGCTTCCTGACTCCATGACAGTTAAAAATTTTGATGTGTATGTATGTCATCTATTGTTAAACCAAATACAACACATTTACCTAAAGCCTTCTCCTGACACCAAACTTATTTTACATCTATCCATAACAAATTTTTGATATAAGTATACTTACCTTCTTCTTAATCTCATTTACAAATATGGTCATACATATAAAAATCAAAGGAAAAAAAGGCAGCCACCTGCTATCATAAAAACAATATAAAAGTTCTATTTCATTTTAACAAGTAGCTCAACATAATTAGTCATTAGGGAAATAAACCAAATATACCACATTTATCTATTTGTTGAGAAAGAAATTGTTGACTGAAAGTATTGACATGTGAGGAAAAAGAGAAGATAATAAAGCAATCACAAAATGATCTCTTATTAAAAACTTAAGTAAAGGGCCTCCCTGGTGGTGCAAGTGGTCAAGCTGCAGCACTATGAAACTATCAGCAGCCTCTGCAGAACGAGTTCGATAGCCGGCCAGGGAGCTAACCGACATGGTGCAGCAGACCTCTCCTGTCTAGTCAGCTGCTCAGCAGTGTATTTCAATCAATCCACCTGTTCTGTTCCCCACTCTGTCTCTGGTGAATCCGCTCACCCCCGCACCTCTGGCCTATACCCCAGTTCTTGTATGCATAAATAAATCTTTTTTTTAAAAAAAAGAGCTTAAGTAAAATTTTCTTTTTCACACATACTTACTGGCAACTGGGATATAATTTTTTCCAAACTTTTCAGTTCCACCCTTGAACTTTCTATTTCTTGCTGACACAAATCCAGTCGCTCATTCTGCGTTGCAACACGGACCTTTAATTCTCGGTTTTCATTCATTAGAGAAAATTTTTCTCTAAGTATTTCATTTTTGTCCTCTAACTCATTGTCTAGTTTCAGAATAGTTTGTCTAGATTCAGTGAGTTGTGCCATGACTTCTGAATTTTTCACTGCCATGACTCTTAATTTTTCTTTTCCAATATTATTTTCTTCTTTTAACTGCCTGTAAAGAAGCATTAAAATGAAAATAAAATATGCACTCATTTTCAATAAGCATATTTAGTTAATCTCACTTTCAAAATATTTTTAAAAAATTCAGAAATAATAATGCCACACACAGTTATTGGGTGCTATGTCTGTTTGCCAAGCACTTTTAACTTTATGTGGCTAATACATGTTTATACATGAGGAAATTGAGGCACAGAAAGGTTATGAAACTTGCCCAATGTCTCACAGTTAATTAGTAGGGAAGAATAAAGATAACCCCCCATCCTGGAAATATTTCCGCACCCTTTATAAAAGTTTAAGACAGGAGCTCTAACTTTAAAATCCTCACACAACACTTTGAAGTATCAAGTAAGTTTTAGATTTTATTAAAGAAAATCATGAATTGCTAGCCAAAATCTAGAAAACAAAGCCTAATCAACCATCAACAGATTACTAGGCGGCAATATTTTAAAATATTTCAAATATATATATACACACAGATATATATATGTATATATAAATAAATGTTAAACAGAACAATCTAATGTTTAGAACTGTTATTGTATTTCACTACTTCTTTTCACATTTTTATTAAACACCTCTAAAGTGAGGTAAACTAGGTGATTCTTCATAATTTGAAGAATGTTTTACTAACTAGCTAATATGGTCACACTGTAAGGGCTCTAGAAAATTTCTAATTTTCTCTAAATATATGCAAAGCAAATAGTTTATTATATTATTCTACATACTTAAAGCCATACTTACAATAACAAAATATTCTATTTTTAGATGTTTCAGGGTTTTTTCATTTATACATGAAAATCATTTTTCACAACAGGATACTGTACCTTAACTTATCTTTCAGTATTTCAAGTTCACTTTTATATAGACCACACTTTTCTTGTAGCCTTTTATTTTCTTTTTCACAATTAGTTAGATTTTTCTCTAATATTTCTTCTTCAGCTTGGACCTAAAACAATAATTTAAGTGGACACACAATTATGGTCATTATGTGGTCATAAGTTTTAGGTGTTTCAAATTAAAAAACAGTGATTCCAGAATTAAGTAAAAAGTGTGGAATAATTATTCCATACGCTAAAGTGACCAGCCTTGTGGTGGAAGGAACAAGGTGAACTTCCTGAGCACTAACCACTGACAGAGAGGGAAAGGCTATGACCTGCCCAGAAATCCTTAGGAGTCAAAGAGAAAGGAGCAAAAGCACTATCATCTGAAAACAAGAGCACTATCACACGGCTTCAAGTGGACAAGGCAAGCAACTCATGTAGGGATGCTATATCAAGTTAGCAAAGACTAATTTTAAGGCAAATGTTCCAGAGAAATAATTTTTGAAATCTTAGCTACAAAATACTCCCACTAGAATCAGCCCCAAACATAACAGATGAAAGTACCCAGTTTGGAGGGGTGGAGTAGAGAATTTGACAAATTTGCCCCCTTTCCTTTGTTACATCTACTTAACTATAAGGCTCTGCTTAGTACAGTTTGAAATTGATAAACTTAGGGAGACATATGAAAAAATCATCTTCTATTTTCCTCTTCTAAAAAGTCCTTCCTCTTCCCAAGGATAGTTCCCTACTAAGTACTCTCCTTTCACCTATAGATTACTTTATTTAAAATCCCTTCCATGGATCATGCTCAGCAAAATAAACCAGAAAGAAAAAGACAAATACCGGATGGTCTCACTCATAGCAGGAATTTAGAAAAGCCTAAATAAGGGACCAGGAAAAAGACTAATCGCAATAAAGTAAAAATCTAAATCAACAAGCAACTATAGACCAGAGACACACTACAGTGGGGAGTGGAGGGAGAAGAAAAGGGATTAGAGTCAGAAAAAGGGGGTGGGAATTGTATGGGGAATATAATCAAAATGAAAATGCACACATTATGCAAAAACAAAAAATGATGTAAGAATTATATAAAATAAAATAATTCATTAAAAAAATTCTGAACAAAAAAATAAATAAATAAAATCCCTTCTATGATACTTTATTGCCTTGGTTTTCAAAACAGCTATCTGATTAGTCACACTCAAAACTTCAGTGTCTAATGGATGTTGATTTTTAATTTTTAATAATAATATTTTTCTTCTACCCTTCATCTTTCCTTGAACAAACTCATGAACTTGCTCTGCTTCAATTATTATCTCAAGATAGAAGTAATCCACATCAGTAGCTCTGGACCAGATCTCTTGTCTAAGAATATCTGTGCATCTGACATGTGGTTTTCTTCTAATCAGATTTTATTACAATGTTTTATTATTTAAACATATTAAATGAATGTAATAAAAACACTATATTATTACTGTATTGATTTAGTTCGAGGAAATGTCTCTGTAAGAGGAAGGAATGAGGTCCTCTCAGGGTTATAGGTCCAGGAGACCAGCTGAAGGTTACATAGTCTACGCGGCCTTCATGTTCATTGAGGTGATCAGAACAAATTTTCTGCTTTATTCCATAACTCCAACCTCTACTCATTCACTCCATCTTTCTCTATAAACTTTGTTTCTTCTCTTGTCTCTACCTGCACTATTTGTTTTCAAAAGTTTCTGCTCATCATCTCTAACAAGTACCAATTTTTATTTCAATGATTTCATTATGAATGAGATCATAAAAGTTATTACCCACCTTAACTACCATAAAAATATTATATTTTGTCTACTTTTATTTCTAGAATTGGACAGAAATAGTAAATACTGAATTTGCACAACTGCCTCTTACCTTTTCCAGTTTTTCAGCAACTTTTTCTTTATAATGTTGAAAGGCTTTACTCAGCTCTTCAGCATTAAATAGGGCTTCATTCCTTTGTCGTTCAGCTCTGAAATTTAGAAAGGGCTAATTAATAAAAGAAAGAATACTCTGTAGTGCTATAGTAAGCAAAACAAAACTTATATTTAACTGTAAGGAATAATTAAAATGAAGAAAATTTCCCTATACTAAAAAAGAGCATTACACTTAAATGACAAAACAGAAAATAAGGATTGGACTACGGTAGTTTCCTTACTATGAAATATCAATATGAAAAATAAAATATAACATGAAGAACTTATAAAATAAACTTTACACATTGACAATTTTTTTCTCTGTCTGAAAGAGATTAGGGAAGTAGCCTGAGGCTATATAATAATTTTCCAAAGAGAGGTATTATAAAATCAATTCACTACCTAGAATGTTAAAAATATTCAGTAAATTCTGTGACCTTTGCACAAGTTCAGTATATCTACAAAAAGATATTTACAAAAAACAGTAACTACGGGGCCTCTCCGGCAGCACAGTGGGTTGAGTGCTGTGCTGTGAAGCAATCCAGCTCTTGTATAAAAATAAATAAATCTTTAAAAAAAAAAAAACAAAACAGTAACTACAAACAACAAAGTCTTAACTACACCACTAGCATTGTCTTAAATCCAACCATGGTGCCTCACCTCTTAGTTAACCCTGACCTTTCCTCAGACTTTTTACATGGAATTGAGACAATTGGGCTGGAATTGAGTTAATTCCGTACCTACATCTAAGAACCTTTCTATATTTAAACCTCTTCTCACCACCTTCTTCTCAGAGTGAGGGAAATTAGTAATTTTTCTCATCAAAAGTGATTTCCTTTAGCTATACTCTGGATCTTAGTTCTTCTCCCTCAGGAACTTATTCTTTCATCTATATTTTCAGTCTCTTCTTTTTTTTTTTGTGGGACCCTCGCCGCTGGCCAAGGAACGAACTGGCGCTGCAGAGGCTGCGGGCAGCCTCACAGCCCAGCGCTCAACCGCTGCGCCACCAGAGGAGTCCTGGGTCTCTTCTATTTTGACTTAATAAATTCAAGTAAAAGTATCCCTTACTTCCTGAGCACCCTTCCAGGTAATAGTAGTAGATCACTTCAGCATCAGATAAATATCAAAGATTTCATTCATTTGTGGAATATAAAGAAACAAAACAAAGGAACAGGCAATAATAAACAAAACAAATCCTAGAAATCTGATTGTAGAATTGAGGCAACCAGAGAGAGGAGGTGGAGTATAGAGGGGGGACGGGATCCAAAGGATTACAGTAGAGGATTATAGGTGATTTGATGTTGGCTATGGTTTGGAAACATACATCTTAGTCTATATCCCTAAAATATATAGTGTTGTAGATGGATATTAATGCAATAAAAAATAAATAGACATTTTTAACTCCATTTATGCTTCTTGCACTTAAATCTATTCTGTGTGATATTAATATAGCTGTATCTACTTTCACTTTGTTGACTATTTTTTTTTTTTTTAAAGATTTATTTATTTATTTATACAAGCACTGGGTACAGTCAGAAGCGCAGGAGGGTGAGAGAATTCACCAGAGCCAGAGCAGGGAGCAAAGCAGGCAGAAGGACGGAAGTACACTGCTGAGGGGAGCAGCGGGCAGCAGGAGAGGTCAGCGCGCCAGGGATTGAACCGGCGCTGCAGAGGCCGCGGGCAGCTTCACAACCCAGCGCTCAACCGCTGCGCCACCAGGGAGGCCCACTTTCTTGACTATTTGCTTGAAATATTTCATCCCATCTCTTTGCCTTCAACTTTTCTGTGTCCTTACATTTTAGGTCTGTCTCTTATATACTGATATAACATAAAGTTAAATCATATCTGCTTTTTTTCCCAATCAACTGTTAATCTTCTGCACCCAGAAAAAGCCTTTGCGAAATTAACAGTTTTTCAATTTCAGAATGCCAATACTCATTCTAGTTCGCAAAAAGCTCTAAGAGTTTTCATGTCACACCTCTAGCTAAAATGTCAATGGCCTATTTACATTCTCCAGGTTAAAATACAAATCTTTTGGCACGACACAAAGCCATTTATACTCTGGACCAAGCCTGTCTTCCTTGCCTCATTTGCTTCTACACCTATCCATTATAAGTACATAAAACTCCTTAATGTTCTTTAGCAGTGATGTTCTTTTTATACTTTATGCCTGTGCACATGCAGTTTAGAATGTGTCCATGACCACATATTCATTGTGTGAAAGCAGAGTCAATATGCTATCTGAAAAGTCATTTTGAGTTCTACTAGAGAACTAGCTGCTGGAAAACTAGCTGTTCTTCCTCTGTCCTTTTTCTTAGCTATATTATGAAACTAGTTTTTATATATTATTACCTCACTACTTTTAATAACTATGTACAAAGCATATTTGATTAAGTCTGAACTTAATCACACAGTTTAACAATAACTACATTTGTTAGTATTTATTATTTACGAGGCACCTTACATTCCTTTTTCATTTAATCCCCAACTAAACAATATTATCTTGACCTGACAGATGAACAAAATGAGGTTCAAGAAGGTTAGTTTGCACAAGGTAATAAAGTCACTAAGAGGTAAAAATCTGGCTGTTTGACTTAAAAACCTAAATATTTCTACTAAGTAATATTGTCTACCAAATACGTTATAACTTCAACTGGACTAATCAAATACCTCGGGGAAAATTTTCTAAACTGTTTTTTTTTTTTTTTAATTTCTTTTAAAAGATTTATTTATTTATGCATACAAGAACTGGGGCACAGGCCAGAGATGCTGGGGGTAAGAAGATTCACCAGAGACAGAGTGGGGAGCAGAACAGGCAGGCTGACTGAAATACACTGCTGAGGAGAGCAGCAGGCAAGGCAGGAGAGGTCTGCTGTGCCATGTGGGTTGCGCCCTGGACGGCCGGGGATCGAACTTGTGCTGCAGAGGCTGCGGATTGCATCATAGTATGGTGCTTAACCCTTGTGCCAATGATGTAGAGATAGATTTTGGCGCAGGCAGTTGAGCACAGCGCTAGGAAGCTGTGCGCAGCCTCTGCAGTGTCAGTTTGATCCCCGCTGGCTGGCGAGGGTCCCACATGGCGCGGCAGACCTCTCCTGTTGCGCCTGCTGCTCCCCTCAGCAGTATATTTCGTCAGTCGGCTTGTTCTGTTCCCCTCTCTGTCTCTGGTGAATCCTCTCACCCTCCCACGCATCTGGCCTGTACCCCGGTTCTTGTATAAATAATAATAAATAAATCCTTAAAAAAAAGAGATTTCGAGCAGTTTTAGGATTTTAAATGCACATGCAAACAAATATGTAACCTACTTATGACAACTTTTCAAAAATGTTTTCTTTTTTTTTTTTTTTTTTAAACATTTTTTTTTTTTTTAAAGATTTATTTATTTATTTATACAAGCACTGGGTACAGTCAGAAGCGCGGGAGGGTGAGAGAATTCACCAGAGCCAGAGCGGGGAGCAGAGCAGGCAGAAGGACCGAAGTACACTGCTGAGGGGAGCAGCGGGCGGCAGGAGAGGTCTGCGCGCCATGTGGGACCCTCCTCTGGTGGCCGGGGAGCAGCTGGGGATCGAACTGGTGCTGCAGAGGCTGAGGGCAGCTTCGCAACCCAGCGCTCAACCGCTGCGCCACCGGGGAGGCCCTCAAAAATGTTTTCTTTGTAACATTTTCTCATAGTATAAATACTATAGATGGCAGCACTCCATCTGCCCATCTGTGACTATGCGGGTGCTTCCTTTTACCAAATCTCTCCTGTAGGGAAGCAGCTTCCTGCCCGCCCATGACTTGTACCTCCCGGGACTTCTCTTCACTGACCTCCCTCAGTGGAGGCCGCTCTCCTCAGTGCCACCCGCCTGCAACCATGCAGGCCTGTCTTAGCAAACCTGTGCCTTTCAGTGCAGCTCTTCCTGCCCGCTTGTGTCTATGCAAGTGTCTTTTACTATCCTATCCCTTTTCTAATAAACCTGCTCTTTAAATATAAAAAAAATAATAATAATAAATACTATAACTATTTTGCCAACTTAAATGTACAGATTGATTTTATATTGTTTAAACACTATTATATTATAAAATCTCTTTAATTTAAGGGAAAGAGCTTTATCTTTATTAGTTTAAAAGTTAACTGACTTTCAAAGTGAAAGGTTCCTTGGTCAAGCCTACCTGTAACACTTTACCTTAAGACAGAGTTTACACAAAATAGACATTTTTTGCATTACTACTATATTCCTACAGGAAGACCCAAACACACTTTCTCCTGAATTTTATGTAATACAACTTAATTTCAGAAATAAAGAAATATCATTTTTTAAAAGATTTATTTACTTATTTATACAAGAACCGGGGCACAGTCAAAAGCGCAGGAGGGTGAGAGGATTCACCAGTGACAGAGCAGGGAACAGAACATGCAGACTGACAAAATACACTGCTGAGGGGAGCAGCAGGTGCGACAGGGTAGGTCTGTGCCATGTGGGACCCTCTCTTGCGGCCGGGGATCAAACCAGCGCTGCAGAGGCTGTGGGCAGCTTCGCAGACCAGCGCTCAACCGCTGCGCCACCAGGGGAGGCCTCAGAAATATCATTATATTGGCAATGATATCGGGCTTATAGGAATGAATGCCAATTCAGTGTACTACTAACATAAAACCGACACATGATATTTTTAATAGAACATGAAAACGTTTAAAGAACAAAAAGAACATCAGGTTAATCTACTACCAAATTTCTGAAGTATTTTCAATTCAAAAATTAGTTAGAATTTTAAATTGGTGATAAGATCACCAATTGTTTGCTTTAAAAAACACATACCTCTTTCCTTGCTTACTTTGTTCAAGTAAATCCACCTTCAATTTTATACATTCCTCTTGGGACCTCTGCAAACTCTGATCCTTTTCAATTACCATTTTCTGGCTCTGCTCTAATTTATTTTCTGCCTCTCTGTAAAATAAAGAATATTTTTAAAAGGTTATTAAAGAGATTAATTCTAGGAATGCAAGAATAATTCAATATTACAAATTCTATTAGTTAAAAGCACTGAGTTTAGATAAATCATTTTTTTTAATATTTTACATCATTGTTCATTTTGTAACATTTGCTTTCTTTTCTCAGGTGTAGTTTCCATAGAATTTCCACCATCAATGCACCTTTGCACCATCACCACAGTCCCCTGTGCTCTTTCCTCCCTTGTTCCCTTCCCTTTTCCTCCCCCTCTCCTGAAGAATGTCTCTGGTTTAGAGTTGTCTGTTTATTTTTGTTTTGTTTTGTTTTTTATTGTTACTATTTCCCCCCTTATTTGGGATCCCCTATATTCTTCCTATAAATGAAACCATCTGATATTTTTCTTTTTCCTTCTGATTTATTTCACTGAGTATAATTCCTTCTAGCTCCATCCATGTTGCTGCAAATGGCATTAGTTTACCTTTTTGATAGCTGAATAGTATTCCATTGTATATATATATCCCATCTTCTTGACCCAGTCATCTATTTTTGGACATTTAGGTTGTTTCCAAGTCTTACCTACTACAAATAGTGCTGCAATAAACAGAGGAATACAGGTATTCTTTTGAATCAATGTTTTCATGTCCTTTGGGTAGATCCCTAGGAGTGGAATTGCTGTATCATGTGGTAGCTTCATTTTTAGTAGTCTGAGGAACCTCCAGTCTTTTCATTGTGGTTGGACGAGTTTGCACTCCTACCAGCAATGTAGGAGAGTTCCTTTTGCACCACATCCTTGCCAACATTTGTTGTTGCTAGTTTTTTTGATATGTGCTAGTTTTTTTGATATGTGTAAGGTGGTATCTCATTGTGGTTTTGATTTACATTTCCCTGATTATGAGGGATGTTGAACATTTTTTCATATGCCTGTTGGCCATTTGCATTTCCTCTTTGGAGAAGTGTCTTTTAAGTTTTTCTGCCCATTTCTTGACTGGATTGTTTACTTTGTTTTTGTTGAGTCATGTGAGTTCTTTGTAAATCCTTGTGATAAGTCTCTTATCAGTTGTATGGAGTGCAAAAATTATTCCCCAATCAGTAGGGTGTCTTTTTGTTTTGGTTAATGTCTCTTTTGCTGTGCAGAAACTTTTCAGTTTGATGTAATCCCAGGTGTTTATCTTTTCCTTTACTTTCTTTGCTTTGGGTGATGAGTCTTTAAAGATGTTACTGAGATGTATGTCTTGTAGTGTTTTACCTATATTTTCTTCTATATATTTTATGGTTTCAGATCTTATGTTCAGATCTTTTATCCATTTTGAGTTGGTTTTTGTGCATGGTGTGAGGTAATGGTCTAGTTACATTCTTTTGCTTATGTTGGTCCAGTTTTCCGAGCACCATTTATTGAACAAGCTGTCCTTGTTCCATTGCATATTCTTTATTCCTTTGTCAAAGGTTAGTTGTCTGTATACATGAGGCTTTATTTCTGGGCTTTCTATTGGTTCTATTGGTCTGTGTGTCTGTTTTTGTTCCAGTATTTGTTTTAAATATTATGGCTTTGTAGTATAGTTTGAAGTCTGGGAGTATGATACCTCCATAGAGAAACCATTTTTTAATGAGATGCAGAAAGAGCATATCTATATCACTGTCAAGTGGTGTTAATTTTTTATAAGGAATAAAAGAATACTTCCATGAAAGGATAAAAATATCTGAAATAATAATTTATAATCTATGTCATGGTCAGATACTATAAATAGTATGAAGCATGACTGGATGGTTTAGATTTTTTGACAATTACAAAAAGGGAAAAGTAATAAATAGTATAAATTTTGGAAAGAAAAAACAAAAGGTTCTTTTTTTTGCTCACAATATCATTATCTACCTGGAAAATCAAGGAGAAACAAAATGAAAAACTATTAGATGAGTATGACATACTGCCCATTAGAAAATAATATAAAGTTCTCCTGTGTACTATCAATAAACCAATGCAAATAAATTCACAACAACCAAAAAATATAAAGTACCTAGGAATAAACTTAAAATAAAATATGCATTATAAAGAAAAGTACAAAATTCTGACAATCATGAAAGATGATTAATATGCATCAGAATCGTCTGCAATATTTGTTAAAACATAAATTGCTGGATCCCACATCCTAAACTTTGTGAGTCAGTTAAGTCTGAAACAAGACTTGAGATTTATATTTCTAACAAGTCCCCAGATTATGCTAATACTATTATTGCCAGAACTACATTTATCACTAAAATGGAGTAATATGTTATTTAGGTGTATTTTATTCAAAGTAGAAGAGGGTGAAAAATTATGAAGTGCTTAATTTCTTGTATTTTATTTCTTGAACTCCCACTGAAGCACTGAGTATATATTGCTAAGTATGGCAAGAAATGAACTAGTTTGTTTTTAATAAAAGCACAGAAATAAGAATCTCAGGTTAGAGTCAGTCTTTTTTAGCACCCATGTATTTTATGCATCCTGTGGCCACAAGTGATCATGACAGACTGAAAACATATTCAATGAGTTATGCAACAGTATGTAGATCACTACACACTTACAGGGACAAAAGGAGGATTTACTAAGATAAAACAAAAAGGAGGCGCAGGAAATAAAAGGCTTAAAGTAATAAAAAGTATGTTTAGGGCCTCCCCGGTGGCTCAGTGGTTGAGCGCCGGGTTGTGAAGCTGCCAGCAGCCTCTGCAGCACCGGTTTGATCCCCATCCTCGGGGTGAGGGTCCCACATGGCACGCAGACCTCTCCTGCCGCCCACTGCTCCCCTCAGCAGTGTACTTCGTCACTCTGCCTGTTCTGCTCTCCACTCTGGCTCTGGTGAATTCTCTCACCCTCCCATGCTTCTGACTGTACCCCAGTGCTTGTATAAATAAATAAATAAAATCTTTAAAAAAAAAAAAAGTATGTTTACCTCAAAACTTTATCTTGGGCTGAAACTTCTGCTTCCAAATTTATAATCTGTTCTTCTAAGATTGGTACACTGGCTGCCTGTTGTTGAGCAGATTCAAGCATAGAAACCTAAAACGAAAACAACTTTTAGAACACTTCCTTCCAGAAAATAAATCAATTTCTACTTGGTCCTGTTCCTTCTACTAATGCTGAGGGGGTTCAAAAATTCCCCAGTCAGAATAGAGGCATCACACTCCCAGACTTCAAACTATACTACAAAGCCATAATCATCAAAACTGCATGGTATTGGAACAAGAACAGACACACAGACCAATGGAATCGAATAGAAAATCCAGAAATAAACCCACAGATTTATGGTCAACTAATCTTTGACAAAGGAGCAAAGACTATGCATTGGAGCAAAGAAAGTTTGTTCAATAAATGGTGCTGGGAAAACTGGGTCGCTACATGCAAAAGAATGAAGCTTGACCTCTACCTCACACCATACACAAAAATCAACTCAAAATGGATTAAAGAACTTGACATAAGACCTGAAACCATAAAATACATAGAAGGAAATATAGGCAAAACATTACGTGATATGCACATCAAAGACATCTTTACAGACACATCATCCAAAGCAGTGATAGTGAAGGCAAAGATAAACAGCTGGGACTACATCAAATTAAAGAGCTTCTGCACAGCTAAAGAGACAATAACAAAAACAAAGAGAAACCCCACCAACTGGGAGAACATTTTTGCACACAACACTAATGATAAAGGACTGATCACAAAAATCTGCAAAGAGCTGATGAGACTCAACAACAACAAAGAAAATAATCCAGTGAAAAAATGGGCAGAAGAGCTAAAAAGAAACTTCTCTAAGAGGAAATGCAAATGGCCAACAGGCATATGAAAAAATGTTCAACATCACTTGTAATCAGGGAAATGCAAATTAAAACTACCATGAGATACCATCTTACACCAGTGAGAATGGCACATATTAAAAAAACTAGCAACAACAAATGTTGGCGAGGATGTGGAGAAAAAGGAACTCTCCTGCACTGTTGGTGGGAGTGCAAACTGGTCCAACCACTATGGAGAGCTGTGTGGAGATTTCTGGACCTACTAAACATAGAGCTTCCATATGATCCAGCAATTCCACTCCTAGGTATTTACCCAAAGGACACAGAAACATCAATTCCAAAGAGCACCTGTACCCCTATGTTTATAGCAGCACTATTTACAATAGCTAAGCTTTGGAAACAACCCAAATGCCCAAAAATAGATGACTGGATCAAGAAGATGTGGTACATATACACCATGGAATATTACTCAGCATTCAAAAAAGATAAACACATGCAATTTGCAGCAACATGGATGGCGCTGGAAGGGATCATGCTCAGCGAAATAAGCCAGAAAGAAAAAGAAAAATACCAGATGGTCTCACTCATAGCAGGAATCTAGAAAACTTAAATAAGGGACCAGGAAAGTAAATAACTATAAGAAAGTGAAAATCAAAATCAACAAACAACTATGAACCAGAGACACTCTATGGGTGGTGGGGGGCGGGGAGGGGAGGGATTGGGGTCAAAATAAGGGGATTGCAATTGTATGGGGAATATAAAAATAAAATTTATTTTAAAAAATAAATAAATAAAAATAAAAACTAAAAAAAAAAAAAAAAAATTCCCCAGTCACTGGTGAAATGTAAAGCTCATCCTATCTAAAGCTTTAATCAACATTTACATTAACAAGCCAGTTTTAGCATATAAATTCCTGCCATTACTCTTACTCTCAAATTAATATCACAAGATTACTGGTTTGTTTTTTAGGGGGGGAAATGAAATTGCTACTATTACCATGTAGGAAGACTAATTTTCACAAGTTAGAAAACTAAAAACCAAACCATAAAAAAGTAAGAAACTAGGGGATCCCTAGTGGCATAAGGGGTTAAGTCACAGTACTGTGAAGCTATCGGCAGCCACTGCAGCACGAGTTTGATCCCCTGGTCAGGGAGCTACCCACATGGCGCAGACCTCTCCTACCTTGCCCACTGCTCCCCTCAGCAGTGTATTTCAGTAAATCCACCTGTTCTGTTTCCCATTCTGTCTCTGGTGAATCCTCTTACCTCCCGCATCTCTGGCCTGCACCCAGTACTTGTATGCATAAATAAATCAATCATTAAAAAAAAAAAACTTATTGAAACATTTTGCAATTTAAGAAATGATTTTAGAATAAACGCTAACAAGTGAAAACCAAGATAATGCAGAAAAGCATAGCAATCCTACAACCTGGAAGACAGTGCAGTAGGCTAGGAATCTATGACCTAAAGAGTATATAAAAGAGAAAACCGATAATAATTACTGAAAAGTAAGCTTAGAATACGGAGACATGAGGTACAGTAAAAGGCAAGAATAAAGTCTAAAATAGAAAACCCACTGGATAGCTCAAAATCTGTTTGTAAGTCAACACTTCTTTTCCTACTCTATGAATATCAACATTCAGATCATGACCTACCAGGAAGCGATAGGAAGTTTATTATCTGGAAATACTGAATAGGAAAGGTTTGGTACTTTGGACATTATGTAGAATGAGTTGGGGTGCGGTAGACTTATAGACAAAGGGATCAATGTAAAAGCCATGTTCCAGTTTCCAACTCCATCTTATTTAAGATTATCGCACAGTGGGAAATCAAAGGATTATTTGCTGGAGAAACCTTACAATACTGATTGGGAAGATAAACTGATTGAGAAGGTAAAGGAGAAGAGTGTCTCCTCATTAAAGAACCATCTCCCCAAATATCACCAACAAATGAAGTCCACTGGAGAAGAAACTTTACCACTACATAGAACTTCCAAACATCACTTAAGTGCCTTTCTTTTAGATATAAATAGCCAAAATACTAACAGCTGAAAAAAAGTTCATGAAAGTCAAAGTGGCAGGAAGCAAGACAAACACTCATACAAAAATAATCAAATCTTCAGAGAGCTAACAAAGGTTACTGCATCAGGATGTTACAAAATACAAAACAATTCACAAAACATGAAAAAGCTCTGAAAAAATAAATAATAGACAAAAGACTCAATAGAAATGTGGACAAAAATGTTGACGAAATTACCTAAAAATTATCAAGGTAAGAGATGGAAAATGCCAGAAAAAAATTTAAAAGATTTAGAAGACCAGTGCAAGTGATCCAATAGTCACATAATAGCAAAGATGGAAGGAAAAAAACAGAAGGAAGAAATGTATCAAAAAGATTACATTAGAAAAATTTCAGGGCCAAAAAGAACAAGATCCCAGAATGAAAGGGTCCTCACATATCTAACACAACGAATAACTGATATCTATTCAAACACATGTCATTATGAAATTTTAAAACACAAAGGGAAAACTATCACAAAGGGAAATACAAATGGAAAAAAAAAGATTCACAATGGCATCAGACCTTTGAGAGAAACACGGGAGGGTAGAAGAGAGTAGAAGTATCTCAGACAACTCTGAGATAAAATAATTTTTAACCTAGAATTCAATCAAATGCAGGGAAGAAATTAAGACATTTCAGAGTCAAGGAAGCTAATGGAAATCATGTTCCAATTAAAGAAAGAATAAACCAACAAAGATGACATGGAATCCAAGAAACAACAACTTCAACTAAATTTCATAAAGACTCAGGATGGCAGCTGAGAGGGCAATAAGCTCAGAAAGAACAGAACACCAGTCTCCAGAGGTTTATCTAAATTTTGCCAAAAGATGAGTTATGAATATACTGCTTGGTACAGTGGGGAATTTCAACAGATTTCCAATAGTAGCATATATGCAGCATTGAAAGCTTAGAGCTACCATGGAAAAAGCAGCCTCTCTGAAAAACATTTTACTAAGCCATTTAGAAAAAGCTGAGATAGGAAGTAAACTACTGCTTAGAAATAAGTAATCACTAGCATACCTTTATGCTAAAATAAAGGAACAAAATGGTATATTTACATAGTTATTAGTAAAACTCTACCACTCTTTGGCTTCAAATAATTAAGCCTCTAGACTTTATTTTTTTATTTATTTAGATTTATTTATTTATTTATACAAGCCCTGGGTACAGTCAGAAGTGCAGGAGGGTGAGAGAATTCACCAGAGCCAGAGCAGGGAGCAGAGCAGGCAGAAGGACTGAAGTACATTGCTGAGGGGAGCAGCGGGCGGCTGGGGAGGTCTGCAGGCCATGTGGGACCCTCCTCTGGTGGCTGGGGAGCAGCCGGGGATCGAACTGGCTCTGCAAAGGCTGCGGGCAGCTTCGCATCCCAGCGCTCAACCGCTGTGCCACCGGGGAGGCCCAAGCCTCTAGACTTTAAAAGGAGATCTATAGTTGATCAAAAAATTTTAAATATAATTAACTAAATGTCATCAGACAAATCACAAAGGTAAACACAATGAAAAGGTAAGTTCATGAGAAAGCTCATGAGAAATCAAGAAAAACAGTATTTTTCCTTTAAAATAATAAAAGTAAAACAAAAAATCTTGGCCTCCCTGGTGACCTAGCACTATCACCACTATGGATTGAGTTCCATCCCCAGCCAGGGAGCTAACCCACACATGGCACAACAGACCTCTCCTGTCTAGCCTGCTGCTCCCCTTAGAAGTGTATTTCAGTAGATCTGCCTGTTCTGCTCCCCACTCTGTCTCTGGTAAACTCTCTCACCCCCTACCCCTCTGGCCTACACTACACCCCAGTTCTTCTATGCAAAAAAAAATTTTTTTTTAAATCAGTAACTACTGAATATGGAGAGTGCAGCAATGCCTGAAAAACATCGTTTCCCTGAGTGTTACAGGGGAAATCTATCTTAGAAATAATCCAAACATCAAGTTTTATGAACACTGCAGCATTTTTTTCTATTTTAGACTGGACTTATCCCCAACAGCGCTTTGTTCTATTCAAAAAACACAACTCTCCCATAACTCCACTACTGAAAACAGTCTATAATAGTTAACATTGAAAGCCTCACCAAGAACGTCCAATTCTCGTCAAAGTTAACAATAGTGTGAATAATCTGTCCTTGTAGATAGTATGTATACTGATATATCTTTATACATACAAACACATAAACAAACGAACATGCGCTCTTTTTATAGAATGTAAAACTGGATCATTGTATATGTTTGTGTTGCTCTGTAATGTTTTTCTACCACTAAATATATTGGGTAATGGCTTTTGATGGCTGTGAAGATACTGTTCTAAGGGCCTTAACACATATCATTTAAATCTTACAATGTTTCACAGAGGTCAAACAATTTCGCATCTTACTACTGATTTACTTTTTTAAAAAAACCTTTATAGCATTACATTATGTGGATCTATCATAATTTACTTTACTTTACCATGCTGCTAATATTATTAGACATTTTGGTCTCTTCTAATTTTTTTTTGTTAAGATTTATTTATTTATGCATATAAGAGCTGGGGTGTAGGCCAGATGTGGGGGGTAGGAGGGGTGAGAGGATTTACCACAGAGTGGGGAGCAGAACAGGTGACTGACTGAAATTCAGTTTGGGGGAGCCGCAGGAGAGACTGGAGAGGTCTGCTGTGCCATATGGGTTAGCTCCCTCATTGGGGATCGAACTTGTACTGCAGTGGCTGCCAACAGCTTCTTAGTGTTGAGACATAACCTCTTGCAGCCCCAAGGAGGCCCCTAATTTTTTTATAATAACAATCATACAACAGAAAAATCGGAAACCACTTATATAGGGAGCTATTAATTAAATTATGGAATAACTACATAAGGAAAAAGAAAGCCCACTAAAATGATCATTGGAAAGTTAAGTAAAATCATCACAAAATGCTTAAGACTCAGTACAAAATAAAAAAACAGGAAAAAAGAAAACCATTCAGTCTAGATTCAACTATGAATAAATCAATAAGGTAGTTTCTAGATGGTAGAAAGTGATGGTCTCCCTTTTTTCCATTTTTAGTTTTCAACAATGAGAATGTATTATTTTAAAAGGAAAAATGAATAACCCATATTTCTTTTGTATAAGAAATAAAATTGGTGATCTTAAGCTCTGACTAGGGCCTCCCTGGTGGCACAGTGGGTTGAGCATAGAGCTATGAAGCTGAACGCAGCCTCTGTAGCATGGGTTTGATTGCCAGCTGGCCAGGGAGATACCCAGATGGCGTGGCAGACCTCTCCTGTGTCGCCCACTGCTCCCCTCAGCAGTGCTTTCGGTCAGTCTGCCTGTTCTGGTCCCCGCTCTGTCTCTGGTGAATCCTCTCACTCTCCCACACCTCTGGCCTATACCCCAGCTCTTGCATAAATAAATCTTTAAAAAAAAAAAAAAAGTTCTGACTTATCTAAATGCATAGACTATACAAGTTCCCCTAAATCATTTTCAGATATTAAAATTTTATGAAGTTGATTACACAAGATTTTGCAGCAATACAAGGAATGTTTTTATAATTATAAATTCTAAAATGATCACAATTATTTTGTTGGCATAGTCACCACTTCAAGAAACATACTTTTGCTCTTGACTGTGTTAATTCAAAGTGGACAGATTCTATTTTAGTCATTAATGAATGATTCTGTGAGACCAAGCAAGCATTCTGTTGCCTAAGTTTATTAAGTTTCTCTCGAAGATTTTTGATCTCCTGATCAATGGAAGCAGAAGATGAAAAAGACACCTGAAAAATGAAAAAGAAAAAGCTATTTTGGATTATGCCATTAAGCATAACAATTAATAGACAATAATGAAATAATAAAGAAAATAATGAATCAATTTAAATGACTAAAGGGAATCAGAAAATGAGTTGAGATATTTAGTGACTGTTGGCAAGAAGACGTGGGACTATCAGCGCTGTTTCCTACACTGCTGCAGGCATGCACATAAACAAGTATCACTTAGAAAACAATGGTGCACTTTGGAAAAGCCCATGGTATTATGCAGCAAAGCTGAACATGCTAAGACCCAACAAAATTACTTTCTGGTATAAATCTGATAGAAACTTTTGTACTTTTGCCCCAAAGATATGAAAATATTTATAGCTACAATGTCCCTGAAAATAGTCAGTATATGGAAAGAACCTAATATCCATCAACAATAAAATAGATAATGGATAAATTATCTTTGAAATATATATTTCTATTAGACACTGTTGAACTTACATTTTACAATAAGTTATTTTAATTTTCATGAGTTGAGTTTTAAAACATGATTTTTTTTAATAACCAATATATACATACAATTCAAAAGAATAAACTATATTAAATCTCATTCTATCAGTAGTAGGTAGGCAACAATTTCTTTCTATAAGCTTGTTGTTTTATAAACAAATTTATAACATCAATCATAGAGCAAACAAAGGAAATCACTTACAAGAGTAAATAAGTTACAGACTTTATTAAACCTCACTTTCTAGTGTTTCCACCTGCATATACAAATGATACAAATTACCCATTACTCACACTTACTCAAAAACAAGTATACTCTATTGCTCTGCATCCTGCATTTTATACTTGAACAATATCTTGGCAATCTCTCCATAGTCAACCAGGTGAGACTCTGAAGCTTTTCTTTTTCTTTTCCCTCACCTGCACTTCCCATTGCATGTTTATTCAACCAATCTGTGTTACTGAACACAATTTTCAGTTATGACAAAAAATGCCTCATTTTATATTTATGAAGGTGTACCCATAGTGCAGATTTCTACAAATAGATTTCCAAGTAAAGGATAAACACATTCATGACTTTGGTAAAGATTACCAAATGTCTCGGCATAGTGGCTGGATCATTTTACATTCCTATCAGCAATGTTTGAGCATGCCTACTTCCCCCAATTTCTTTATTTTTTTTAAGATTTATTTTTTTTATTTATGCATACAAGAGCTGGGGTGTAGGCCAGAGGTGTGTGGGGGAAAGGATTCACCAGAAACAGAATGGGGAGCAGAACAGGGGTATCTACTGAAATATATTACTGAGAGGAGCAGTGGAGTAAACGGGAGAGGTCTGCTGTACCTGGCCAGGGAGCTAACCCCATGGTGCAGCAGACCTCTCCTGTCTCGCCTGCTGCTCCCCTCAGTAATGTATTTCGGTCAGTCTGCCTGTTTTGTTCCCCAATCTGCCTCTGGCCTATACCCCAGTTTTTTTTGTTTTTTTTTTTAAATAGAGGCATGTTTTATTTATTTGTTTGTTTGTTTTGTTTATACATGCATTGGGTACAGTCAGAAGCGCAGGAGGGTGAGAGAATTCACCAGAGCCAGAGCAGGGAGCAGAGCAGGCAGATCGACGAAATACACTGCTGAGGGGAGCAGCGGGCGGCAGGAGAGGTCTGCGCGCCATGTGGGACCCTCCTCCGGTGGCCGGGGAGCAGCCGGGGATCGAACCAGAGCCGCAGAGGCTGCGGGCAGCTTCGCAACCCAGCGCTCAACCGCTGCGCCACCGGGGAGGCCTATACCCCAGTTCTTGCATGCATAAATAAATAAATCTTTAAAAAAAAATAAAATAAGAAGGATCATCAATTTGAATGACGACAGAGAACAAATTTTCAAATTTCCCAGAATAATATAATCTCTATAGACATGGAATTTAATTTTCTAATATGTAGGCACAGACAGCCTCATCAAGCAACTTCCTTACACAATGACAATTTCTCAATTTTTGGTTTTTATGAAGTGAGAGGGCAAATTTTTATCAAAAAAGATTATGATGTTCATAAGCGCCCATATGTGTATCTATGTGGTAGTGATGGGGTAAGGAAGAAAAGAGTTGAAAGGGAGATAACAGACTTGAGTAAGGAAAAGGGACAAACATCAGGCGATACATATGACAGAATAAGAAAGGGTAGGGAACAAGAGAGGTAGAGAAGGAGAAGGGAGGGAAAGAGGTAGGGAGAGATGGGGGTGGAGAGAGAAAAAGAACGAGAGAAAGTGAGAAAGCTCATTCATTCCTGACCAGGAAGGAGGTCCAGCATCATTCACAAAACTTAGAGACAATGAAAGGAGAACAGTGCGGCGCTATCACATAGCCCTGGATGCAGGCTAAACTGTAAGTACAATCTAAACAATTTATTACATAGTATACATGGTACAGTGCTAATCAAGGAGGTTATAATTTACTTATGAAAAGAAGACTGAATTGTAAAAAGGAAATAGATATAGAAGTTTAAAAATACAATAGCACATCAAATTAACTACTTTTTTGTTGAGTCATAATAAGAACCATTATACTTGAATTCAACAATTCTTGAGCACCATAGTAAAAGACTGTGGGAAACAAAAGTAAGACATTTAAAGAAAAAAACTCAAAGAAAAAGTATTTTAAGTAGACAGATCTAAAAGCAAAGCTACTTCTAAATAGACAGGTCTAAAAACAATAACCTTATCTCTTGACTTTTTTTGACAATCAGAACTGCTATTGGACATCTTACAAACTTTGTTATAAGGTGAGTAATTCAAAAGTCCACGGTGCCTAAGGTGAGCAAGATCTTCGAGAACAAGTCTTTCAGACCTTGAAGGATTAGAGGCATAATCAGAATTTTCACTTGGACTAACACTAGAGATAAAAGAAAAAATACATTTTAGTTTTTAGATCCTATAAGTATTCACTCTAAATTTCGATGCATAAAATAAGAAAACAGACTAACTTCTGAAATACTGCTGGTAATCAGATTCAGTTATGAACTTAAGGCAATCTTCAACTAAAGTTTTAAATAAACTTAGTCTTAAACTAACGATCTATGTCTATCTAGAGTCTCTCTACACAAGGGTTCCTAAAGATTCAAAAAGATATAATAGTAAAAGATTAAGCCTAAAACATGTATTTTTATAGTGAGCCTTAATATATTAAAAAGGCGTTTTCTTAACAAGTAGATAACCTAATATTCTATTTTTTCCCTAAACTATGAGCTATACGCAAAATTATAATAAATTATAACAATGAAATTCATAATTTTACATTTATAAATTAATGTCATAAATTAAATTGTACATGTGATTTTACTTACTTACCTGAACAACGCTTCTCCTAAATTCTGCAAACTCCATTCTGTTAACTTCAGTTCATGTCTTAAGGAAGCAACATTTGCAAGCAAACTTTCTTCTTCATTGTCTTTATTACAGAAGTCTGACAAACTAGATTCCATTTCTTAAAAAAAAGAAATGAATTTCTCATACCTTGCCTGAAACAATCTGTGGGGTCAGTCAAAATACTCACACACTAAACGAATTTAACCCATTATTTTCCTTTTTCAAGTGTGAAATTGCTCATGTTGACTTAAAACAAAATAAAACAAAACCTGTTAACATTAATTTCTCTGTAGTATAAAGCCATAATGGAAGTTTTAATGAGTCAAGTTTTCAGTAAAGCCAGGGTCTAGTTAACAATTTTGTTAACCCAGTAATTTTATTCCAAGTCAAAGACTAAGAAACTAAGAATAAGGCAAGTTAAATAACTTGCTTAAGGTCACATAAAGTGTAAATAGCAGAACCAAGATTTGAACCTAGGTCATCAGGATCCAAACACATTTTTGAATTTACATAATCACATTACAAGGTCTGTGTATCTGATAAAATTGGCATAGTTACTGTCATTCATATTTTCTTAGAGGCAATTTATCACCTTTACCTGGTAATGTCTCATTCACAAGAGCTAAAATTTTAAAAAACACATACATTCACATCACAACTACAGAGATTAAATTGACATTTGTGAGGTTAATTTAGAAATGTTAAGAAGTTTTTGTCTTTCAACTGATTAATAACTCGGGTTGTGAAACTCTCTACTGAGTACCTTTGCACATAAAAATTCTGATAAAGTACATTTTATTATCACCAATACATGTAATTATGTATTAAATATGTATTAATAATGAATGAATACAACAGAAACTAAAATTTTATCATCTCTTCTACTCCCATAGATATGCCTTCATAATCTTAAAATTCCATTCCTTTTTTCAGATCCCATATACCTTTGTCATTGTAGCTTCTCTTTCATCAGCCTTCTAGAATTCTGACATCTCAGGCTCCAAAAGATTAGGAGTCCTGTGTATTAAGCTCAGGACTAAGGCACTTGGAGAAGCTCAGTATTTTCAGGCAATAAACTATCATTACTGAACTGGCCTTCCTTTCTTTCATTCAGCTAAAAGCAGTAAGATTTTTATACCTCACTCAAAATCTTTCAGATGTTAAGAAGATTTAAAACTCTCACCTTAACAAAAGAAACTGTGTTTGGAAATTAAATGAGACGCTGTGCGTGCTTAGTAGAGAAACTGTTTTTATCCTTTTTCCCCCCTTTTGTTTCACAAATTTGCTTCTGTGTAAGAACACTCCGACAGAAGGCAATGGATCAGGTCCCCATTCTGCTTTATCTCTTCAACATCTCCAGCTCCCTACACGCTGGTGAAGGGGAAAAAAAAAAAAGAAAAAGAAAAATCGGGCAAATTCTAAAATGCTATCCAATGTTATGCTTCAACTGAATTATGCTTTTTATCCAACACCTCCTGAGTATTTTGCTGTAATTTAATGCTCTCACTTCCGAAGTATCCATGCATATGTTCGAAACCCCAATATTTTCATTTCCTAGTGGCTCATTTAAAGTCAAATATTCCTCCTCCCTTCAACCTGCAGTGGTTACACACGGTCCGTGCACAGGGGAGCAAGCCCGCCATGCAACCCACAGGCCCTGATAACGTCATCTTTGGACCTATTAACGCGCCCTCAGGAGTTCACAGACACACCCATCACGTCGAAAAACAGGCGTTCCTTGTACCCCCGGGCATGCAACGGGATGGGCTGTCGAAGGAGAGAGTCCTCTTTTGGCAAAGAGAGCGTAGCTTTCTCCTGAGAAAGCTCAATTTGACAGAACCGTTCCTAAGTCATCTGCGAGAAGCTGAGGAAAACATGCCATCTTCCTTTCTGATCTCTCTCCACCTAACACACAACCTGCAGAGCAGCGCGCGCGAGGAGACGACGCGGGCAGCGCGTCCGCCCCAACGGAACCAAACTCCAGGCTGGCCCGTTTTTACCGTCCAAGAGGCAGTCGCTCCCCACCCAGGCCGTGCTGGGGTGAAAGACCCACCCGCCGGCGGCGCAGGCCGCGCTCTCGTCTGCGCTCGGAAGCCTCGGACACCGTGGCGGGCCTCGGGCGTGGAAGCATCAGACACACCACGCGGAGGCACGGAGAACCCCGACGCGGAGTTCGAACGGCCGCGGGAGCCGTTAAGGAGGAGCCTCCGCTGCCGTGGCCCCGCCCCGCGCGCAAGCTCGGCGTGTGGCGACGCCAGAGTCGCGGGGCCTGTCGGGAATCGTAGTCTGAGCGCGTCCGAGCCCGCTCACCCGGAACTACATTTCCCATAACCACCGCCACGACGCCCATTGGTGTGGGACAAGCCAAGGGAACGCGCGGCCGTCAGTGTGGGAGGCGGGCCCTGCCGGACCTGAAACGCCGCAGACCTAGGAAGATGCGGAAAGAGGCGACTGGCCCCGCCCTCGGTGCCTACCCTTTGGGGGCCGGCCTTTCGCGGCAGAGCGAGCGGCCGCCTCAGGTAGTCTCCTCAGACTCCCGGTCTCCCTGCCAACCACGAGGAGCGAAGAGGAGCAAAGCGGAGCCTGGGAGCCTCTAACCCACGCCTCCTTTCGACGCGAAACCTCCTCGGCAGGGATGGGCGTCAGGCTCGGGCGGCCCTTCCCGGTGCTCCTCCTGGCCGCGCTGTCCCCGGGGCTCCTACTGGGGGCGGCCGGCTTCACGCCCTCCTTGGACAGCGACTTCACGTTCACGCTTCCGGCCGGCCAGAAGGAGTGTTTCTACCAGCCCATGCCCCTGAAGGCCTCGCTGGAGATCGAGTACCAGGTGAGCGTGGCGGGTGAGTCAGCCCCTGCCCGGAGCGCAGCTGCACCGCGGCGTCGCCCTCGCTCTCGTAGGAACTTACCGCGGACGGCGGGGGCCGCGGGGGGACCCGGCCAGTTCCGCGCAGGCGCGCGAGCGGCGCCCGCGTTGCCAGGGGGACCCAGCGCCGAGGCGGGTCCCCCGGGACTGCCCGCTGGCTTCCCCTTTCCTCGGGTCGGAAGCAGGCCAGCTTTCGTGATGTCGGTGCTTTTCCTCTTTGTGTCATAGTTCGCCCATCTCTTTTCTGCCCAGCGGACGCTCCCAGGCTGAGAATTTCACAATACGGACTCGTACACGTTCTCCTCCTTCATTGGACGAGATGATGACACTAGTCTAAATTCCGCCCCCCCCCCACCTCCTGCACCCAATTCTGATCAATCTTCATTGTCATAACTTCAGTTAAGGATCTTTGGGTTGTGACCAGTGTGACTAAAATGATCCGATTTGGGTATAGGTCGAAATGGTACTTTTTTTTTTTCTAGGTTATAGATCATTTTTAAGTAAATATATAATTGCATGCTAAAACTTTATAACTTTGTGCATTTTAAGCATTTCTCCCTTATCGGTTTTCTTTAGGATCTGCATCATGTTAATATAGGGGTTGCCTTAATTTGTCTAGTCATTCTGGTGGAGGGTCATTTAGAAGTCTCATTGGTTCCACACATCTGTTTCCTGGTAGCGCTGCAATAATAATAACGATAATAATAAATAACAGATGCATTGATGCGGTTCATCTTTTAATTTTTTTACAAGTTAATCAGAATTTAATTTTTTAAAAGTTGATGTATAGAATCTTTTTCAATAACAGATACTGTCACATAGAGGGCAAAATTAAAAGTTTCTGTACAATACTCATCAGAAGAAACTTACAGAATTTGATTATTTGTGGATGCAAAAGGTAAGAGTATACACTGAATTATCTAAAGTCACAGTTAATGAACAAAATTGAGTTTAGAACTCAACATTTTTTGATTTCTAATCCAGTTCAAAAGCACAGATCAGTTAGCACAAATCCCATGAGCTAATAATTCCAGAGGGGGAGAAGATCACATAAACGTAAAGATTCCTAGTTTTCAAAGACCCTTATATTTAAGGGGTACTGGCTTCTAAGTAGGTAATTTCAATAAAGTATGATTAAGTGCTCTAAAGGACCACTTTTCTGGGGTTTCAGAAGAGGATTCCTGGAGAAAATTTGAATCTAGAAAGATGCTTAAGTGATACAGGAATACCATGAAGGAGGGACATTTCAGAAAGAGGAATAAAATGAATACAAAGTTCCAAAAATGTATAATGTGTTTTGCTAGTGGGCAGTATGGCGAGGACACTACTAGCACAGAATTTTTATTAGACTGTAAGTCTAGGGTGGGAGTAAGGAGAAGAGTTTGGCTCCAATGATTAGGAGGTAAAATCATGGATAATGAAGCTTAGCCATTTGTGCTTTGTTCTTATTTTATACAAGGACCATTTAAGTAATGTGGTAAAATAGTGAAAAATGTTTTTCAGTTAGGTCACCGGATGGATATAACAAGTTTGGAAGTTGGATTTAAGGAGGGCAAAATTACAGGCAAGAAAACCAACTAGAGGATTAGTGAAATAGTCTAGGTAAGAAAATAATTTATATTAATTCAGAAATGCACCATTATTAACACAGGAATTAGGAAGGAAATATGTTTTCACTGCTGATCACTCTTTGTTTTTTAAAAAATAATTCATTATTTTTGTGTAGAAGACCTCTGGGGTATAGGCCAGAGTGACAGAGAGGTGAGAGGATTCACCAGAGTGGGGAGCAGAACATGCAGATTGACTGACATACACTGATGAGGGGCGCAGTGGGCATAGCAGGAGAGGTCTGCTGTGCCATGTGGGTTAGCTCTCTGGCCAGGGATGGAACTCCTGCTGTGATCACTTTATAGTGCTGGGATTTAACCCCTTGCGCCACCAGGGAGACCCTCTTTCCATTTTTTTTTTTAATTAATAAACTTTATTTTTGGAAGAGATGTAGATTTGTAGAATAATTGAACACGTACTAAAAAGTTCTCACATGCCCCATTACACCTATACACAGGTCCCTCTCTTACATCTTGCATTAGTGTGTTACATTGTTGGAATTATTGAACCAACTTTGATACATTATTAACTAAAATTCATAACACAATAAGGTTCATTATTTGTCTTGTATAATTTGTGTTTTAATAAATGCAAAATTGTTACTTACATATCATATACATCATTACAAGATCATACAAGAGTTTCACCAATTTAAAATTCCATGTTAGATCTGTTCTTCTCTCCCTGACCCTCCCCTCCCTTCATCCCTACACCAAACTCCTTGCAACCAGTTATTTTGTGTCCATATTTTGCTTTTTTCAGAATGTCATATGGTTGGAATCATAAAGTATGTAACCATTTCACACTGGCTTCTTTCAGTTAACACTGTGCTTTAAGATTCTTCCTTATCTTTATAGGACTTGGTAACTCATGGCTAAATAATACTCCATTATATGGACTAACTGAAGTTTATCTGTTTACTTATTGAAAAATACCTGGAGGGCTTCCAAGTTTTCCTAATTATGAGTAACATATGTGCAGGTGTTTGTGTAAGAATGTTTTCAGTTCAACTGGGCAGATACCTAGGGACTTTACATTGTCTTATAAGACTGTTACTTTTGTGGAAAATGACAAACTGGTTTCCAAAATGGCTGTATTTTGAATTCCAGTAACAATGAATTCAAGTTCCTATTTCATATTCTTACCAGCATTTGGTTGTCCCAGTTTGGAGATTTTTGCCATTCTAATAGGTAATATCTTTTTTTTTTAATAATTTTTTAAAAAAATTATTTATTTATGCATACAAGAACTGGGGTACAGGCCAGAGGTTCAGAGAATTCACCAGAGACAGAGTAGGGAGCAGAACAGGCAGATCAACTAAAATAGACTGCTGAGGGGAGCAGCGGGCGAGACAGGAGAGGTCTGCTGCGCCATGTGGGTTGCTTCCTGGCTGCCTGAGGGTTCGAACTCATGGCTGCAGTGGCTGCGGATAGCTTCATAGGTTGCATCTTAACCCTTTGCGCCCAGTAAGGAGGCCCGGTAATATCATTATTGTTTTAATTTGTAATTCAAATGGTGAACATCTTTTCATATTTATTTGACATCTGTGTCTTTATGAAGTATCCAGGTTTTTTGCCCATTTTTAAAATGGGATGTTTGTTTTCTTCTTGAGTTGAAAGAGTTGTGTATTTTAGTTGCAAATCCTTTGTAATATTAGTTTTGCAAATATTTTCTCCCAGTCTGCTTTTATCTGCTTTAAAAATAAAAAATACTTAGTAGAAGTACTGGGGTATAAGCCTGAGAGGATTCACCAGAGACCAAGTGGGGAGCAGAACAGGCAGATCTACTGAAATACACTGCTAAGGGAAGCAGTGGGCTAGACAGGAGTGATAGGTAGGCTAGCTGTCTGGCCAAGGGTTGAACTCAGGCCACAGTGGTGATAGTGCTGAGACTTAACCCCTAGGCCTCCAGGGAGGCCCTGCCTGTTTATTTTCTTAGCTGTTTTTTGCAAAAAAAACAGATGTTTTTCAATTTTAATGAAATCCTTTTCATTAAATTTTTCATTAAATCCATTTCATTCAAATTTTTTCCTCTACAGAGGTTGCTTCAGGTTACCTATCTATAAACTCATCACCAGGCCAGTAGTCACCTGGGTTTTCCCTTTGGTTGCCTTCTAGAAACTTTAGTCTGTAACATTTTACATTTAGAGTTAATGTTTGTGAAAAGTTAAGGCCTGCCTGTACCCTGGGTTGACATTTTTTTGATTGTGTATGTCCAGTTCCAGAACCATTTGTATAAAAAGACTTTCTCCATCTTCTGTGAAAGATCAGTTGATGTATTTGTGTGAGTCTATTTCTGGGCTTTCTATTCTGGTCCATTGAACTATTTGCTCTTTTGCCAATACAACACTGTCTTGACTACTGACTTTGTAAAGTCTTGAACTTGGTGGTGACCACCCTCTGACTTTGTTGTTCTTTTTCATTATTGTGTTGAGTAATCTTATACCTTTCCGTGTAAATTTTAGAATTAGTTTGTTGAAATCCAAAAAGGAACTTGCTGGAATTCTCATTGGTATTCTGTTGAATCTTAGGGACAAATTGGGAATAATTGGCATCTTAACAATTTGAGACTTCCTTTCCATGAACATAAAATATCTCTCCATATATTTAGATTATCTTTTCTTTCTTTCCATCACTTTTTTTTTTTTTTTTTTTTTTTTTTATTTTATTTATTTATTTGTTTGTTTGTACAAGCACTGGGTACAGTCAGAAGCGCGGGAGGGTGAGAGAATTCACCAGAGCCAGAGCGGAGAGCAGAGCAGGCAGAAGGACCGAAGCACACTGCTGAGGGGAGCAGCGGGCGGCAGGAGAGGTCTGCACGCCATGTGGGACCCTCCTCTGGTGGCCGGGGAACAGCCGGGGATCGAACCGGCGCCGCAGAAGCTGCGGGCAGCTTCGCAACCCAGCGCTCAACCGCTGCGCCACCTGGGAGGCCCTCTTTCCATCACTTTTTGTGGTTAACATGACTTTTCTGTATTAACATTATATCCTAAGACTTGGCTGTTACCACAAAATAGTTTATGTTTTTGTTTTGTCTTATCTTTTGGAATTTCTACACAATTATCTGTGAATAAAAAGTTTTAATTCTTCCTTCCCAATATGTACACCTTTTTCTTGCCTGCCTTCTTGCATTTTCTGGTGCTTCCAGTATAATGTTGAATAGGAGTAGTGAGTGAGGATGTTGTTTCATTCCTGATTATTAGGGAAAAGCATCTAGTTTCTTGCCATTTTAGTATGATGTTAGCTAATGGTTTTTTTGTAGCTGTTTCTTATCAATTGGGGAGCATTCCTCTGTATTGGTAGTTTGGTCTGTTTGTTGTATGTGTATTGAATTTTACCAAATGATTTTCTGCATCTTATTAAGCATACCATTGATTTTTCTTTAGCCTATTGATGTGATGGATATTAATTGATTTTTGAATGTATATGAGTGATCATGAGATTTTTTTTATACATTGCTGGATTTTTTGGAGAATTTTTGTATTTATGTTCATGAAAAATTAATGATCTGTGACTTTCTTTTTTTTGTAATTGTCTTCATTTGTTTTATGGTATTAGGGTAATGTCCTCATAGAATGAGTTGGGAAGTGTTCGCTCTAGTTCCATTTTCTGGAAGAGATAATTAAGAATTGGTATTGTTTTGTCTGTATGTTTGGTAAGACTTACTATTGAAACCATCTAGGCCTGATGTTTTTTCTTTGGGGGAGGTTTTGCACTTACTAATTCACAGGCATTCTGTACATATTAATTTCTCAACTCAGATCTTTGTACATGGTAGTGAAATTTTGAACTGTAAATTTGCTTGATATGTAATACTGTAGATTATTTGCTGAGCTTTGTATTATTTTAATCTATATGACTTGTGGCAAAGATCAACAAGCTCTTTTGTGGTCTCTATATGCCAGTGCGCTTTTTTTTTTTTTTAAGTTCATTGAAGATGTGACCATTCAAAAGTCCTACTTTTAAGTATAAGTCTCAGTTTGTGCTCTGCATTTTGCAGCCTCAAAACCTCATCCCCTGTCATTATGGGGGCATTGAACCCCCATACATTTAGGTATTAAATAACAAAAATCCAAAATTTAAAAATCTAATTGCTTAATTGAGAAAGTTTGAGATCAAGTCGTGGTCGCTAAATGTTTTTGTTCAGTTGACTATCTTCCAGAAATTTTTTACTCGAGTCTGTTAAGTCTTCTTAGATTTCCAGTGTTGTTATGGATTATTTGCATATGTTTTGTTCATTTCATTGGGATTTAAAGAAGAAAAAACATATATGTATATAGCTAACCATTTGAAACTAGTTCTGTTGATTAGTAAGATTATATCATTCCATTAAAACCACCAAGGAAAATAAAATGGAGTGTTATATAGGGAAAATGAGTAGCCATTGGAGGCAGATTGCTGAGTTCACATATTGACCATGGCCCTTATACTTATTGTAGCTTCTTAGAAAATTACTTCTCTGTGCCAGTGTCTTCCATTTTAACAAAAATGAGAATTGGTAAGACCTTTCTTTCAGAGTTGTTTTGAGGAATAAATTAATGTACATAAAGCACTTAAACAATGTGTGGCATAACTCTAATTGTAAACTGCTACCATTATCATCATCATCATGACATCTTGAAACTGTAAAAGAATAGGTCATGTTCACTGACCAGTAAGTTAACAGCCTACTTGGAACACATGGTTCACATTGAGGACTAATGGGTGAATGCATTGAAGAAATCAGTTGGAGTTAAGACCATGGAGGCCTTGAGTTCCAGGTTAGGAAGTAGTTAATTATTCTTACTTTATTGAAGAGGTGAAAAGATCCTCCATTTGAACTCCTTCTTTACTTCTACTTTACAGAGCTTCTCAATGACAACAGTTTTAGGAAGATTATTGCAGTAATTACCTATAATGCCTAAATTTATGTGATAGCATCAGGAGTTGGAAATTCCAGAAATGAATGGAATTTAACTAGATGATCTTTCTGCTCATTTCTAGCTTGAGTATGAGTCTGTTGATTTTCTTACCCTTCTCAGTTAAAAAAAAAAAAGTTTTCATATGTTTCAAGTAATTTTTAATTTTCAGAATTTGTTATGTGTTCTTTTCTGTGCTTTTCTATAGGTTTTAGATGGAGCAGGATTAGATATTGATTTCCATCTTGCCTCTCCAGAAGGAAGAACCTTAGTTTTTGAACAAAGAAAATCAGATGGCGTTCATACGTAAGTAATCTCTTAGTTGAGTTCCTTGAGTTGAATGCCAATAGGCTATCTGCAGGGAAGGAAATTTAGTACGTTTGATACTGATATCATTATTAAAGATTGTGTATGAACTTTTTAACCAGTCCTTGATAGGCGTCTATCTTAAACTGCCTACCATTAACTTTTTTTTTTGTTGTTCAGATATTTTGTTTTTGATGCTAGTTAAAATTTTTCATTGCTTTAAAGAAGTAAGTGTTCCCTCGGCATTGTGTTCACATTATTAGGGCATTTCAAACTTGCCTTTCTGGCTGGCACAGGCTTTACATTTAACTGTAAGCTAGTGTTCCAGTTTCTTAAACTGCTGACTGTATCATCTTTGCCCATTGTTTTGTTTCTTAAAATAACAGTGTATCTGTGTGTATGTAAATTGTTTTGTCCAATTTTTTACTCAGACAATTTACTCTTAGATAATTAGAAGACCTGAAAGTAAAAGATCCAATCTTAGGAAAGCACACAGAAGGGAAATACTCTCGAGTCTAGAGTTTGAGAAAGGCCCTATATTCTCTTACTACATCTCATGTCCCTTTTCCATATCTCACTGGTGTTTGTTTCATCATTCCATTTAATTATTTTACTACAGTACTTGGTATCATTATTGTGTTAAAACTAAACTAAGTTTATAGGAAGAAGAGCAAATGCATAGCGTCACATATTTGCCATAAACTAGGCTTTGTTTCTAAATTAATCATTCCAGCCCACTGTAAGATAGATTCTTTGATTCCCCAATTCCCATTTTACAGACAAGGAATCTTTACAGACAAGGAGACTCAGAGAAGTTAAATAAGTCTGCAGGGATACACATTTTATTAAGAGGAGGAGGCAGTATGGACCAAAATTCTTGCTTTCTACCATGTGCTGCTTAGAACATCCCTGGCACATAGCACTATGTAAGTACTAGCTGTTATTGTAATTATTGGTCTTTGTTAACCAAAGTACCTGTCATTGATACTCAGTAAATAACTTAGTATATATATGAATGAGGGGGGGAAAGTATCTCAACAATAATTTTTTAAGATATCCCTTTCAGGGCCTCCCCGGTGGCGCAGCGGTTGAGCGCTGGGTTGCGAAGCTGCCCACGGCCTCTGCAGCGCCGGTTCGATCCCCGGCTGCTCCCCGGCCACCGGAGGAGGGTCCCACATGGCGCGCAGACCTCTCCTGCCGCCCGCTGCTCCCCTCAGCAGTGTCCTTCGGTCCTTCTGCCTGCTCTGCTCCCCGCTCTGGCTCTGGTGAATTCTCTCACCCTCCCGCGCTTCTGACTGTACCCAGTGCATGTATAAATAAATAAATAAATAAATCTTTAAAAAAAAAAAAAAAAAAAAGATATCCCTTTCAGTGTTCTTTTTAAAATAGCATTTTACCTATGTAGAGTTCAGGGGGAAAAAAATGCATAAACTATAAATAAGAGATATAGTCAATTTAAAAGACAGTTAGATTAATATGCTTGGAATTAGCTATACTTTCTCTTTGATATATAGAGTAAGAACTACATTTTTAGTTCATCTTTAAATTTCAGATTATAGAAAATGTGTAGACTTTTTCAATTTTCACTTCTCTCCAATTTTCTTGCTTTCATTTAGAGATAAGTTAAAAATAACTGTTAGGAAAAGGGTATCTTCTTTCTTACATAGAATTACCTCATTAAGCATTGGGAGAAAATTTAGTTTTATAAGAGTTCACATTTATTGAGTTCTTTTGATGTGCCAGGCCACTGTTCTAAGCACTTTACATGCATTAGTTTTTTAAGTCTTCACTACAATCTTGTGAAATACATGATATTATCATTTTACCTAGGAGGAATGTGAGCCATAGGACAGTTAAGTTGCTAAAGGATATGCAGGTAATGAGCAGTAAAGTCAGGATTTAAAACTAGGCAGTTCAACTTGTTCCTAATCACTATGCCAGATTTACAGACTCACTTTTTCAAAATTAGATTTAAACAGAAATTTTATCTGTTCCTCCAGAAATCAGGTTTAGTAAAAATGGAGCCTTAAACATCGTAATACATAATAACACTGTCTGGAATGATAAGTCATATGTAACTTTTTCAAGATAACTAAATTAAGTACTACCATAATTCACCAGAACCTATACATCTTGAATTACTCACTAGCTCTATTTCTAGTTGAAAGGAGTATTTTACTCACATTTTTATTTGGATGGTATTTTGTCCCATTTGTAGTAAGAAAATCCCATTCCACACAAATTTAGAGGCATTAATACAAGAATAACTACAAAATATAAAGCATCTTTGTTTTTTATATACATAGCGGAGCTCATCATACATCTGACTCAGTGCTTAAACTGTATTCATATTTGCCCCTGTTCCAGTATAACCTTTTTAGATTTTTTTGCTTTAATCATAATCCCATGAAATTTTAATACCACAGATAGGGTACATACTCATTTTTAAACTGTTTACATCTTCTTCATACATGAAGAGTATGTACAAAAGCTTATTACCCTTTCTATCTGGTGCACTTAAGAATGGTTAAATAAAGCAGAGTAAGATAAAATTAAAAGTTGAAAGTTAAATAAAGCTAGTAACATTAAATTTAACTGTATTTAATTTACTTATATATTATAGTGTCGGTCACATGCAAAATTAGCACTATATAAAACTACGTATTAATAGCAATGTAGTTAAGTTTTAAATCATTTAAAACATTTTCCTGAGAAGTTAATTTCTTAAAAGTACTTTTAGTTAATCTTTTTTTTTTTGCTTGAAATGGAAAAATAACTTTAGCTATGAGTCTATTGTTGGCCTTTTCATCAGCATTTGGCATAATTAATGATGTTGAATAACCTTTGTAGAATTAAATAATAGCTTTATTTAAGGCTCCAAAAAGCATTGAGGATGAAATACAGCTATCTACCAGGAGAGCCTGGAGGCATGAATAGGCACTCGCAGGCCACTTTTTGTTATACTACTTTTAGATCAAGCAGTTGATCAATACAAAGTCTTCTCATCACAGCTTTTCAATTTGCTATAACTTGGTAGCACTGTTCTTACATACATTTTGTGTCTACAATTCATGCTGTTTGTGATATAACCCAGGAAAGCCCAAAGACTGAAATTAAATACTAAATCATAAAGATTTTGTCAGGTAGGATTGATCTTTGGAGGGCCACAAACTGTTGTAGTCCTAATTTTTTTTGCTCCTCTTGAGTAATTTTCAACCCTTTATTGGCAATTTCTTCCTCTCCCCCTGAGAATGCATAATTCAACTAAATGCTATCCTTCAGCATAGTCATGTTGTGATGACATTAATCAGAATATAGTGGAAAGTTTTTCTTAGGAAGTGCCCCAATCTAGGTCATATTACATAATAAAGACATTTTTCTGTTTTTTCTTCTTTAAAAATTTTCTCCACCATATTCAGCAGCATTTGCTTCAGGCTCCTTCTGAAGGTTAAATAAAATCTCAAAAGACAAAAGGCGTGTCATGTTGAGGTTGAGAAGAATGCAGCCAAGCTGTACAGTATTGTAGAAACATCAATTTACTTGACAATCAGAAAACCAAGCTTTGTCTATCCCTATATTAAACTATATAAGCATGGGCAAGTATCTATATGGAAAATTTTACTTACCTTGAGAAGGTCAATTATATCTCCTGATGAGTAAGGATTAAAAGAGAAAATATGAGAAAACTGTGTAAGTTACGAAGTTACACAAGTGTTGGCTAGATTTAAAGTATGTATGTTAACTACTCAGCAGTATGATTGGATTTATAAAAAATAAGCCAGAAATACAGGGAAAAAGATGTTGATTGGTTATAAAGATGAAAATCACATATATCAAATGTTATATTCAGAGAGCTATAGAAAATACAACCTTCTTCAAAATTTAAGTGATTCATTATACTACAGATAAGAAAATTTTAAAACCATTCAGACCAACCTTCCATGAATAGTCAACAAAAACTAGTTTCCATCAAAAAATCATCAGAAAATCACTTTGCTAAATTAGCTCTGCCCAAATCCAGTATCCTCAATATAAAAATGAGATCATCAGTATATTTTGTGTGTTTAGTCAGTAAAAGAAATGCCACTGAGATCAAGCTCTAGTTGGCCACTGGCCTTATCCTAACCTACATTGCAGAGGTACTTAATTGGTAGGAGGCCTGGAAGAAGCATTTAGGAATATCCATTACCGCTTTTAAAAATCAAAATTAACTTTACAGACTAGCCTCAATTGAAGGGCGGTTTGTAGTCATATTTGCATATGAAATGATTTACATTTTAATACTGTAGAAGTATTAATCTTAATTGTGAGGTGTCAGTTTTTAATTGTATCCTTTTACAAAAATGAGATTTACCATAATTTGCTGAGTAAATGCCAATTACACCTAAGTTTTAAGTACTTGATTATGTTCCCAGGTTGCTGTTTCCCCAAGAAATTGTAAATTATCTTTCAATAAATATTAAGTAACTGTCATATCAGTAAGCTGTTCAGTTATTATAAGCCATGTTATTTATCGATAGTTTTTCTTTTTATCCCAAATAATAATATAGAAAACTAAAGATTTGTACTTTTTTAAATACAGGATAGAGACTGAAGTTGGTGATTACATGTTCTGTTTTGATAATACATTCAGCACCATTTCTGAGAAGGTGATTTTCTTTGAATTAATCCTGGATAATATGGGAGAACAGGGGCAAGACCAAGAGGATTGGAAGAAATATATTACTGGCACAGATATGTTGGAGATGAAACTGGAAGACATCCTGGTCAGTATGGTTTTTTAATAAAACCTAACATCAAGAAGCCTTATTGTATCATAGGCTCTAAGCTATGAGCATTTTATGTGCATTATCTCATCTAATCCTTATATAACTCAGAATTATAATCTTCGTCTTTCCAATGAGGACATTGTATTTAGGGAGGTAAGGTAATGTTTCAGTCACAAAGAAAGAGGAAGAACTAGGCTTGGAAGATAGACTCTCACTTAACTATAGAATTCCCTTAGAATGTTTACAAGCAGAAGATGTATTTGAATTCTAGTATACTTGGACATAGGGGAAAAAAACGAAGTTATTTATAAACACTTATGACGTACATTTTTCCCATAGCATACTTACGAAGTTTGATAGTTCTTAATTTGGAGCATTGTTTACATTACACAGACCAGACTTCATGTTACCAGAAACTAGCACTATAGTCAAGTATAAAATCTCTTTAAATACAGCTTTGCTGCTTAAACTTGCCTGAATTATCATAAACATTATAAAGAAATATGAGTGATTGGAATCTCTTTGCGAATAGTATATAGTACTGCCAGAATGGAGGGGAAGCTGATTCTGTTCAGCCACAATTAGATGTAATCAGATGACAGAATTTACTCAGTGATATTTGTAAATAATCTATATTGATTACTGGCAGGAGAAGTAACATGGTTATTGTACATATGAAATTTTTATAGCTTCTAGTATTCTTACAAGTTGGACTTTTTGGTAATAATGTGCTATTTTGATCATGAGGTTTCTTAGGAAAGCAACTATCAAATTACAGGAGACATAGATTAGCTTAAATTTGAATCATATCAGCAGTTATAAATCTTATTAGTACTTCACTGCATTCTCAAGATTCAATTTGTTATGACCATTTAAATATGGCTAAATACCCCTCCAAATTAGTATCACAACAGCAAACTTGAATAATTTTTATTAGCTATCATCCTTACAAATTTAAAAAGAAATGTGCATGGTCTTTAGTTTTTATATGGGAATCTGAATCCCACATTTTTGTTGAAAATATTTGCATTACTAAGTTACCATTGCTTTACAAATATACCCATATGATAAATAACTACACTTCATAGTTTTGTAAGTTTATCAGAACAGTGTGAAATTTTGAATATATTTTTTGCTAAAATGAGGATTTTAAACAGGTAAATGTTTCTAGTGTTTTACTTTAAGCATTAGCACTCTGAGATTTCAAATCTCAACTTCACATAAAATAGCTTACAAGTCACTTCTCACCGGAACTTTATAGTATAGTTTTTACAGAAGATAAGCAATTTAGAATGCTATTAATGAGTAAACTTGTGATCTTGCAACAGGTTTGTATTAAAAACAGTATGGCTATCTAAAATTGAAATACTTTGTAATTTCACTATTTTGAGATAAAAATACAGGTTGTTTTGCTAGATACTAAATTATGCCAGACTAAAATATATTTTCATTATTTTCAAATCACATAGCTTTGCTCCTTTGTTAAGGAACCTACTTATAAATTTAAATATATCAGAACTATTATATCACCTTACAGAAAATATTTAGGTAATCCAAGTAGTAGTACTTTTCCCTTATGAAAATTGCACTTAGATATAAAATTAAAATGATTATCAGTGTACTGTGAAGCACATTTTTAAAGTTGCTAAACATTCTTTTACAGTAAAATTTTTTTATCTACCTCCAGGATTCCATCAGCAGTATCAAGTCCAGACTAAGCAAAAGTGGTCATATCCAAACTTTGCTTAGAGCATTTGAAGCTCGTGATCGGAACATACAAGAAAGCAACTTTGATAGAGTCAATTTCTGGTCTATGGTTAATTTAGTGGTCATGGTGTTGGTGTCCGCTATTCAGGTTTATATGCTGAAGAGTCTATTTGAAGATAAGAGGAAAAGTAGAACTTAAATCTCCAAACTAGAGTATTAAAGTTGAGAGACAAAAAAATGCAATAAGCTGTTACAGACAAGACCATTAATCTTTTCCAAAATGTTTTCAGGCATTACTGTTTAAAACAATTTTAATTTTAATGTGAAAGAAAAATCTTTACTTTTGTCTGTGCAAATACTCTTGTTGCTCCATTTGTACTTAAGAGTATAACAAATATTTTGCAAAGTATACACACATTGAATGTATCCTTATTAATAACCACACTTTCCTAAGTTTGAAAAATAATTTGCAAGTGCCATGGGCCTAATGCAACAGCAAACTACATTCTTTAAGATTGTCTTTCCTAGAAGTTTCTTTATAAATGCAGTATTACAAATTAATTGTACAAGTTTTCAATATATTAAATTAGAAATTATCTGAGAATTACCTAACTATGGGTTTTATATGTATCTTTAGCAGACAAAGACTGAACTTTTCTCTTTTTACACTTGCACCTCTAACATTAGGAGCATAGCTATGAAAAATAGATTAGTGAGATTTTATAAACAAATGTTTCAACATAAAATACTAGCAAAAAGTATTAGTTTTATATATTTTTAGCCTACATCCCCAAGAGCTGACATTTTGATAATTCTTAAAAATGCAAAGTCATACTTCTTAAAATTAGGAAAAATGGGTAAAGATTGCTCAATCTCTGTAGCGATAACATTCTAATTCTCAACTGAAGTGTAATGTGTTAAACTTAAATATAAGGAAAATTTAGGATAATACATTATTACCAGGAGTTGTGAAGGAAATATTGCTAAAAGATCTAGGCCTAACATAAATATCTCCTTTTCTCAATTATAAAAATCAGTGAAAAAGAATTTAGGTCAACTCGGAAATATCTGATTAAAATATAGTTCACTTAAACTACATGTCTAAAATATGTTTGGCTTATCATTGATAACCAATCCTAATATAAACCATGAGGTAATTTCCAATTAAAGTTGTGGTTTTTATTTTTTACAATTGTTTTCAATTATCTTTTATATATATTCAGGTACATCATAAGACCTATTCTAAGGTTAAGCACCAACTATTACAATCTTATCGTAAGTTCTTAAAATGACCTTTCTGATGACTTCATTTATTGGCATTCAAGTAAAGACTGAAAATCACCCACTGAATTCCAAGTTATGAACACTTAATAATTAAGTCTGTAATTTATTGCAGTCGTTGGATTCTTGATTCAAGTACTAGTAATTTAGTTATATCAAAAATAGAATTTTTAAGTTACACCATTTGTAACAGGTGAGTTATAAACAATCAACTTACACATTTGAGTATAGAAGCTCTCTTAGGTTAGTTATTACTGGTATTACTACTAAGCACTAATCCAGAGAGAATGGTTTCATTTATACTCAAAATGGTAAAAAAAAAAAAAGATTTCTCCTTATGCCTGTTGGAGAAGAACAGTATAATCAAAACTACTCTGAAACCTTTAAAAATGAAATAAATGCCATTTATAATCAAGTACCTTAATTGGCCAAGAAAATGATTTCCATGTCTAGGAGTAGCCCCTGTAGCACATACAAACAAAAGGTCAGTAAGATCACTGCCTATTCCTCTTACTCCCTATCCCCTCTTGTGTTAAACTCAAAGAGAAGCAAACTCATAGTACATAAGTAATAAGATTACAGATATAAACTACTGCACCTTTTCTATAAAACTGTGATTAAGAATTCTACCTCTTATGTACGGCTGGTTATTTGTACTGTACTCGGATTCCTTTCCTCACACTGAATTTTTTGTATTTACATACATAATTTGTGCCACTGATTTAAAACCTACGATGCAGTAACTTCTTATATAATGACCTTATTTGGAAAAAGAATTTAGGAGTATTAAGGACAATTTTATTTTTATAGCCACAAAGTGAGATTATTTAAAAAGCAGGTGTTACCTGTATTAACCAAAAAAGTAAAATTTGTTAATATTTAATATTCTGTAATATTTCTAAAGGCATGTTTACCTGTCTTTTTTTTTAAATGTCAGTATTCAATTTCAAACTTAAAATTATGATAAAACTTGAGTAAACTCACTTAACAGCTGATTTTTAATTATATAAACTTATAGTACTGTAATTTAAGGCCTAGAGTTTTACTCTGATTTGCAATTATATCATCAATGTTGTTATTCATGTGACTATCAAGACATGGTGGGTAATAAGTTGTTAAAAAGCACTGAATTACAAATTTACCTGTAATTTTGTTATCTATCCCTAAGCATTGTCATTATGTTGTAAAGTTGACAAAAATTGAATACCTATAATTTGTATAATTGTATGCCTACCCAAACAAAAATTCTTTATCTGAAAGCTTAAAACAAATTGATTTAGCATGTAATGGTTTTTTATCTGAAATGTAACATACTGTCGCTCAAACTGCTTTTATACTGTGGACAGCCATATTAAATGAGTAATGAATACTGAGCTTAGTATATATAATAAAAATTACAATCAAAAATTTACTGATCCTTAAAGACTCATTGTTCTTTAGCCAAGTGTATGTTCCCATCTGAAATTCCATACTTCTCTGCACTTACATTGTGCCTTGCATTTGTTTGTGTATTCACATTGCCTAAACATGCATTGTACTTTAATGGTGATCAAAATACAGACACAAAGATCATCAGTTCTGAAAATAAACACAAGGAGCTTGTCCTACTTCTCTACGCCTGATTTAGTTATAGAATATGGCTCCAACACAATTTGTGATTCTGGTGTCCGTTATGTATCCCTGGCCGATTTGCTACCTGGGTGATCTTAAAATAGCCTATGAGTACCAGTGTTTGGTGGAGGTTGATGTATTATTGGTCATTTCCTTCATACTATCTAGACAAGCCACTCTTACCCACAAACTGGTAGGATTACTCTTAGGTACTTTTGTGTTTCTGTATCCCTATCACTTTCAGATTTCTGGGCTTCCGGAAGGCTTGTGCCATTAGAAACCGGAGCCATATTATACTTAATGTATGTCTGGGGAAAAGGCACAGAATAAGGAATCCAGACTAAGAAAAAATTATGGATGAAAAGGCACATTAACCAGGATTTTGGACCCCTACATGTGGAATCAAAAGGCAGAGCACGGGGAAAACTGAAGGCTTTTCAATGACTGAAGGCTTTTTAATGACCTTTGAGTCAATAGCAAAGTGAACAATGAAAATCAGTTACCCAACATTGAAGTGAACTCCCTTATATGTAAAGAGACTGCCCCCCAATCCTGGAATATTTTAAGTGGCAGTAAGATGTTTCTGACTCTACATCCAGTATCAAAAGGGAGGATAGACCAATTAGCCTTTCTATCCTTAATTCAACTCTAAAAGGATTAGTACTATTAATATCATGCCTAGCTGAGAGAAGAGACCAGGACCTCAAAAGACACATTATAAAGTTCTTTTTCACTGAAAACTTAATTTTCAAATGACAAATATAAAGCTACCAAAGCATGTACAGGATCTGTATGCTGCTAATTTCAAAGAAGTGAAAGAATCAAAGACCAAATAAAAGAAACATATTTTTGGATTGGGACGATCAATTCTTCCCCAATAATCTACAAATTTAATATAATTCTATCAAAATCCAGCAAAGTTTTTTAGGAGACAGAGACAAATTTACTCTAAAATGGAAAGGCTAAGGATGTAAGAACTCTCCTGCCCACCTGTGCTGTGACTAGCAGGCAGGCAACTCTTCTTTCCCTAATAAAACTGTCCTCAAAAAATGTTAAAAAAAAAAATAGGTAAGGCAATTCTGAAAAATAAAGTTAAAGACTTACTATATACTACAGTAATCAAGACTATGGTATTGGTGGAGGGAGGACACAGATCAATAGATCAGAAATTCTAGAAATAAAACAACACAAGTCCAACTGACTTCAGACAAAGATCAAAAGCAATTCAATTGGAAACAGTCTTTTAAACAAATGGTGCTGGAGCAACTGGGACAAACATGATAAAAACATAACTGTAAAAGTTTTCACGCAAAAAATCTTCAGGCCTTAGGGCTAGGCAAAGATTTTGTCATGCATTTACCCCAATGCATGACTCATGAAAGGAAAAACTAGTAAGAGTGGACTTTATCAAAAGTAAAAACATGTTCTCTACAACAGACCCTATTTAAAAAGGATGAAAAAAAATAAGCTACAGATGGGAAGAAAATATATGTAAATTACATATTCAAAGATGGACTTGAATAATGAATTCTGAAATCTCTTTAAACAGGTAAACAATTCAATTAGAAAATATATGCTAACACCACAATCATTTCACCAAACATATGTGGGTGACAAGCACACGAAAAGATGTTCAACATCATTAGCCCTTATGGAAATTCAAGTAAAAACCGTAAGAAAAGAGCCACACGATTACCAAAAAGGCTAAAATTAAGAAGTTACAGAACCAGAGGCCTCCCTTGTGACACAAGGGGTTAAAAACAACCTATGAAGCTGTCCGCAGCCAATGTAGCATGAGTTCAATCCCCAGCCAGGGAGCTGACCCACGTGGCACAACAGACCTCTCCTGACTCACCCGCTGCTCCCCTTAGCAGTTATTTCAGTCGACCTGCTGTTCTATTCCCCACTGTCTTGGTGATTCCTCTCACCCCCCCACACCTCTGGCCTGTACCCCAGTTCTTGTATGCATAAATAATCTTTTTAAAAAAAGTTACAGAACTAAATACACCAAATGATGGCACAGCTGCAAGAGAAATCTGATCATACTTTGTGTGATATGAACAATAAAATCACTATGGAAAATATTTTGGCAATTTCTTACAAAACTAAACGTACTTACTATGCAACCCAGGATTTTACACTTGGAATCTTATCCCTGGTAAATGAATATATTGTTAAAATAAAAATGTATAACCAGTTTCATTTGTAATAGCTAGAAACTGGAAACCTCCCAATGTTCTATTAAAAGGAATGGTTAAACACTGGTACATTCATGCCATGGAATATTATGCAGCAGTAAAAAGAAAACTATTGATAGAATAATCTGAATGGACCTCAAGGGACTAGTGATTGATGGGCAAAAATTTTTGAAAAGCTAGACGCTATAAACCCTTTAACCAATATTCTTGAAATAAAATTATAGAGAAAGAAAACAAATTAGTGATTGCAGGGTGTTAGGAATGGAAAGAATTAAGGGAATATGGCTATGAAGGCAGGCTTGTGGGTAAATCTTGTGTCTTAACTAACGGGCAAATGAACCTACACAATAAATTAACATGTAACTATACAAATGGGTACTTGTAAAACACGAAATCTGAATAAACTGGATTGTATTAATATCAGTTTTCTGGACTTGATATGCAAAATATTACCACTGGGAGAAAACATGTACATGAGACCTCCAAACTTTTTGGGGGCAACTCCTTATGAACATATGCAAATTTCAAACTAGAAATTAATTTATTTATTTTTAAAGATTTATTTATTTATTTATACAAGCACTGGGTACAGTCAGAAGCGCGGGAGGGTGAGAGAATTCACCAGAGCCAGAGCGGGGAGCAGAGCAGGCAGAAGGACCGAAGTACACTGCTGAGGGGAGCAGCGGGCGGCAGGAGAGGTCTGCGCGCCATGTGGGACCCTCCTCCGGTGGCCGGGAGCAACCGGGGATCGAACTGGTGCTGCAGAGGCTGCGGGCAGCTTCGCAAGCCAGCGATCAACTGCTGCGCCACCGGGGAGGCCCCCAAACTAGAAATTTAAAACGAAGGTGGGTCAGATACTGGAAGGGTGGCCAAAATGGGTGATGTGAATAAAAATGTACAGCCTTCCAGTTATAAAATATACCATTTCTGGATTATACAACTGGGATTTAAAAATCGTCTACATTGGGCCTCCCAGTGGCACAGCAGGTTGAGCACAGCACTGTGAAGCTGTCCGTTGCTTCTGCTGCGCAGGTTCGATTCCCAGCCGGCCAGGGAAATTCTCACATGACACGGCAGACCTCTCCTGTCTTGCACGCTGCTCCCCCCCAGCAGTACTTTCAGTCCGTCTGCCTGTTCTGCTCCCCACTCAGTCTCTTCTGGTGAATCCTCTCAACCTCCTGCGCCTCTGGCCTGTACCCCGGCTATTGTATAAATAAAAAAATAAATCTCTTAAAAAATCGTCTGCATTATCTGTATTTCCCACTAGCAACAGTTTAAAGTTTTTTCACTTTGGGATAAAGTGACAGTTGATAAAAGATATCCTGTTTGTCTCTTCTACCCGTTTTTCCCTACCATTGCTCCTTCTAAATTTTACTTTAGTCAGAATCACTTCATTACTTTATTGCCAATTAAGATACAATTCAGGGTTAACCAGAGAGGAATACATTAGGATACAGATTAACAATTTTCTCCAAACCAGGTTTAGATGAGAAAAAGTACTTTTAATGGCAGATGTGAATTATTTCTAGTACAAGAAAATCCAGAACTGGGGACTATGGCAGTTTCCTTATGAAGAGAATTAAGTACTTGACTATATTCTGTAAATAATTTTTAAATTTCCCTATTACTGTATTATAGCAGATGCTTATCATTTTCTAAACCTAATTCCCAATACCAAGGAAATATAGTGTACTTTTGTAGAAGTCTATTCAGTAATTACTCAAAATACTTTAATGTTGCTTTCCGCCATTCTGCCATTTACTCACCACTCTGGATGTATTTTGATTATTCTTCATAGGGAGATCTTTTCCTCACTTATTTTAAAACTATTTGCACATTAGTTTTTAGTATTTCTTTTAAAAATTATTCCCAGGCTTGACTTACTGCAACCTGCTTTTGCTGCAATGCCACTGGAGTACACATAAAGACTTTTGAATTGACAGCAGAGTATCCACCTGGGAAGCCCCACAAATATTCTCATGGAAAGACTCCCAAGTGCTTTTACTTCGAATAAACTTTTGAATAAAACATAGTGCTTGCCCACTACAAATATAGGCATTACATGGTTCAACAAAACCAACACTTTTTTGGTTCAGCTAATACCTTAAATCTACTCTAATCATTTCTTTACTAACAGTAGGTAGTAAAGAAAACCCCCACATTCTTTAGAAAAATTTTACATACTTGCCACCATACCATCAAACACTGAGTGGGAAATATCTGCTTACATTCTACGAATAGTGTTAATAACAAATATGTAAGATGTCAATTTTTGGCCAAAATAACACTAATTATAATGAAGTATACATTAATAATGGATTATGCTATTAACAATTAAATTTACAACCTCACAGAGTAACTTAATTTACTCATGTAAATAGTACAATATCTATAATTACATAAGCAAATATCTGTGAATACATAAAAGAATTTGATTTTAAACGTTTCTCCACCAAAAATAGAACATTTGAAAAACTTAATTTTTAAATTTGTTTTTGATATGGTTACTTTTAATTTGTTTGATATGAAAAAAAATTACTCAACTATAATAGTGGCTAGGTATTTATGCAAACGTCAGTTATTTTCTCTTTTCAGTACTTGACATTAATGAAGAGGCTGAATAACCTTGGAAGAACTAAATAACTAAATATAAACTAATTTTATTTAATTCTACAAGACCAGGTCACACACATAAGCATCAATAATCAAACAAATAAAATCCTCAAAAAGTCAGTGGAAGCCAGTAGGCATACAAAGACCACCTCTCTCCCAGTAAGATTTCAAGACTGAATAAAGTGCTCCAAATCAGATATCTATTTTTTTGCCAGTTTCTAACATGGCTCTTGCAAATAGTTTGTGTATGTTCCATGAACTCAATGCTGCTCTTACAGTATTCAAGAAAACTCACCAAGAGCAATTAAATACTAAAGAATAAAAAATTACTGGGTAGAATTGAGTATTGTAGGGCCACAAACCATCATGTAAGTTTTTGTCCTCCCCCCTCAACTAACTGGTGTTCTTTGGGGAACTACATTCCCTACCACCACCACCACGGAAAAAGCAACATTGCAGGGTTTTAAAAAAAAAAACACCAAAAACAGAATTGAGTGTCTTTTGGTAAATATGAGGGACAGTAATTAGGCAAATTACTTTGAACGGTATATATTTTTACTTTATGCTTTAAATTCACTGGAAAATTTTCTCAAATGAGACATAGTCCTTAAAGATGCTGCCAAAAGGAGCAATTACTAAGCATTCAGTAATCATCAGTAATCATCTCCAACAAAGAAAAAATGCAAGGGGAATTAGCTAGCACAAAGAAATTTTGTTGGGTAGAAGTGAGAGGAGGGGAGAAAAAAAAAAATGAGTTGGTTAATTACAATAGTAACTATAAAGGCAGCACAATATTTTGATCTAGCTATTATTCCAAGACATTTTGATATCATGCTGTTAAAAATTATAAACATTCTACTTACTCTCACCTACTTATATTTCAGAGAGCCAGTTAGCTTTCATACCTTTTCCCATTTCCAAATTTGTATCAGATGCCTAAACTGTTATTTAGTACAAAGAATCATAACTGATTATGATTAAAATCCACATGATAAATTATGATAAAAAAATTATGATAAAATCCACATGTACATTTAACTGTCAAGGTTATCCCATGCCATCCCCATTCCCCCAAGAAAGAACATGACTACTCAATTGCCATAGAAGTAATCAAAACTTTTGGTAGTGTGTGTTCCTTGAGGTACCAAATCATAATTAAAGAGGGAAACAGGGGCCTCCCTGGTGGCACAAGGGATTAAGTCTCAGCACTATGAAGCTATCAGTTGCGACTGCAACATGAATTCGATCCCTAGCCAAGGAGCTACCCACATGGTGGTGCAGCAGACCTCTCCTGACGCGCCTGCTGCTCCCCTCCCTCCCAAGTGTGTTTCAGTAGATCTGTCTTTTCTGCTTCCCACTCTGTTTCTGGTGAATCCTCTCACCCCCTTAGCACTTCTGGCCTACACCCCAGCTCTTGTATGCATAAATAAATGAAATAAATCTTTAAAAAAAAAATAGAGGAAAACATCCCCTCACAAACAGGACACATTTTACTGTTTCTCAAAGTTGCACAGACATCTTCCTTTGTCATCACATCCTCATCCAAACAACTCTAGAACTACACTATGAAACAGCTTTCATGTTCCATCCAAAAGTTACTAGTACCTAGTGGAAAGGCAATTCAGTGGCTCAAAACAGAATTAGGTCTGCCCTCAACACTAATAACATAAACCTGCTAAATATATACACAACAGAAAGCACACATGCATACTGAAAATATCTTGTAAAATAAGGAAGGGGGAGTGAGAAGTTACCTTTCAACTCATACACCAGTGAACATTTCTGTTAAACAATTAATAACAAAATATGTCTAACAGGATCTGACCTTCATATTCTCTACATTAGAATTTATACACTAACTCTCTCAGTTCTTATTCTGATCTAGTTTATCACCTAAGGCCTAAGAATACATATTTATCATTTATATAAGGGTACTTATAAAAATTTATTTGTTTTGAATAGAAATGGAATTAAAATGAGCAAGGTATATCATTTTGACATTTTTTGGAGTCTAGGGCAAAGTTTTTTAAAGGAAAAAATTGGAAATCCTTTTATGTGAACCCTGGTACCTTTTACATAAAGAGAAAATAAAACATAGTTGAGAAGTCTGAACTTTTTTAGTCTGGGGACAGGGTAGTTCTGCTGTCTTTCAAGTATAAAGTGTATATAACTTGGCTAACAGATTTTTTTTTTTTTAAAGGATCAATTAAGATGAACATGCAGTGATTATTATTTGGGGGAAAAGGGGAAAATAAATGAATTTTTATAAAGATTAATTGAAGTGACAATATTTACAATGGAATTGGAAAACTCTTTCCTCACTGGCTAAATAAAAGCAGTTAGCTACTGCACCAGTGTGTATTTTCAAGCAAATACAGAAGCAAAACTCATTAGCTCTTTAAAAAATACACACATTTAATGTTGGTCTGTTTTAATTCTAAGTAAAGCAATTCCAAAAATACAAACTGAACATCAGAGCCATGTGAACCACCATAATAAAATAAAACAGACATTCACAATAATTACGTCTAAAGACAGTTCAGCTTAATAAATCATCTTCCAAGTATTCTAAAGAAAGTTACTAAAAATACTGCTGGTGTTCAGTTAGAATTAAAGGACTTTAGGGGAAAACGAAATAATATGATACAGGTGGAGTGAATAAGGTTACACGGGATTTACATTTCCATTACCCCTAGATATAAACAAACATTCAAAATCAACACAAACTCTGTGTGTTATTCAAAATATTGCAGCTGCAGGAAAGGCAACTTTAAATTAATAGCTAGGGGAAAATCAAGTTTTGGTGGAGGTAAACAGAAGTGACTTTTTAATTTGCACTTTTGTAAAGCTCATTTATACCTGGCCAACCAGGAACCAAATGCAGGACAACAACGTTCTCTGCTTCTTTTGGCTATAATGTGACAAAAAAAGGTCATCTTTTGAAGATGTTTAAAGAAATAAAGCAACTTTCTTTATAAACAGTCAAATAATCAATCAATGGAATAAATAAGTACTAACCCACATTTTTACCACTCTGTAATCACTACACTTTACATATTTTTCATTTTGGCAGCAAATTCCCCAATTTCCAGGCTAAAGTCCACCAATCACTTTTAAGAGTAAAATGAATAGCCACCAAAAATAAGAATATTCTTCTGTTTACTCTTTGGCTAAAAAGGAAAACAAACAAAACAAAACAAAAAGAAACAGAAGACAACTCTAACACTGGTGATAAAAGAAACTGTTTTTTTTTTTAACATGTAAAATAAAGTTATCAATTTAAATCTTGGTACATTTTATAAAAACAAGAGGTAATGTTGTAATAAAACAGCAGTAGCCTCCACAGGCAACATACTGCTTTTTAACCCTGTGCAATAAAATACTTTGTTCATACTACACTTATTCAACATGACTAACAGTTACTACAGACATTTCAGGAATCTTCATGGGACTCCTTATAAGACTTACTGTTAAAACTGAGAGACATTTACAATCATAATGTGCCATGAAAACTTGAAAAAGCTACTTTTAGTAGGAGATAATGTTCATATTATTTGTATTTGTTTTTAGGTACTGAACAGCTGAGTGACAAGGACTAAAAGTGAAAAGCATTCTAAAAGCCCATGAACACTGTTGTTCACACCCTCTTCAGAACACACTAAACTTGTTTGACACATTTCTCTTCATACATAGCAAGCAACAGCACCCAATAAAAGCCTGAGAAGAAATGCTGCTGTGTAAATACTGCAACTATTCCTGAAAAAAGAATTATGGGATATATACTCCAAAGCTGCCCATTCCCATAATTTGTATTGCATAGGTCACATAATCACACACATATATATACACCCGTGTGTATATATATGCACATGCAAAGAATATATTAAGACGACAATGAAGTCTAGTCACAGAGCAATTTACAGGCTCAATATATTTTTTACACTTTGTTTGAAAGAAAATTTCAATATTTTACAGTCTTTTAGTAGGCATTATATACACTGCACTTTATGAAATCTAAAAGGTATTGAAATAAATTTTTCCAACATTTTGGTAATAACAACAGACATTTCTCCAAATACTTGTGCTATCTATCTACATGATCCGTTTGCTCTGATAACCACTAATCACAAAAACTGACTCAATGGAATAATTAGAAAAATTATCTAACACCATGCATGGGTTTGAATCATTTTTAATACCCTATCCTAGAAACATTCTACAAATCTTAAGATTTAAAAAATTAAGTCTCTGTTCTGATTTTTAAAAGATATCTTTTTATGACAATATCCGTAACATTGACAGGTACATGTTAAGGCTAGTATCATCTCCTTTTGTGAATTTGACTTTTTTTTTTTTTTTAAAGGAAAGACAGTAAAAGCCAGACTCCGTTAGGGCTTTGAACTGTACCTACAGAAAATGAGTGCAGTGAACATAATGTTCAGTCCTACAGTCAGGATGCAGTTGCTCCTTCCCATTCCACAAGATACTGCACCTTTCCATCAAGCGTCACCCGACGAGCCAATACTCGGTATTTTTCGCCACATGCTATTCTACCTGCAGCACCAAAATAACTGGTAATGGAGTTTTTTAGATGATTGAGTTGTAACTCCTGATCTGCTAAATTATTCAGAATCTCTGTGTTGAGTTCATCAAACTGGTAATCTTCTTTGCCTTCATCATCCTTTACAATTTCTGAGTTCTGGGTCTGGAGTGCTCTTCTTGGAAGACGACCCCTTCTCCTCCGTAAATGTGGTATTGCAGCAGGCCAAGATCTTCCTGTACGAGTTCTTTTTCTGGAGTCAGATAGTCTATGAAACGAAAAGGGCCACAATTGTCTACTAAACTTATAAAGCACCCTTTGAGCATACAATATGTTCTCTGATTTTCTTTCTATCATTCTAAGTTTATACCCTTGCTGACATAAAAATCGGCCAAAGCAAAAACAATAAAAGCTATATAAATGGACTATAGCTCCCCCTCATTAGATTCCATTACCTTCTGGGGATAATCTTTGAAGAGTTTTTTCTTTCTTTATTATCTTTAATAGCTTAAATTGAACTATGAGATCAGTCAAAAAAGGCAAATTCTTACTAAGAGGCTCTATTAATAGTAAGGTCTTATCAACAGTCTTATTTTTTTAAAAAGTGCATTCACTTATTCATTCAATACAGTAAATATTTAATAACCATTACATGTAAAACATTGTCCCCATGCTTAAACAGACAGCAGAATGCATAAAAGTTCTCGTTACCAGTTCTAGGCCTAGTAACGAAACATAATGAACTGGAGTAGCATGAATCAGCTTACCCTGGATCTAGTACTATATGATATTAGCCATATTCAAATTTCTTTTGGGGGTGAGAAGATTCACCAGAGACAGAGTGGGGAACAGAACAGGCAGACTGACCGCAGTACACTGCTAAGGGGAGCAGCTGGGGAATTGAACTCATGCTGCAGAGGTTGTTGACAGCTTCAAAGGCTGCATCTTAACCCCTTGCACTACCAGGGAGCCCCATATTCAAATTTCTCCTATTCTCTCTCTCTTTTTTTAAAGATTTATTTATTTATGCATACAAGATCTGGGGTACAAGCCAGAGGTGTGTGGTGGGTGAGGATTCACCAGAGACAGAGTGGGGAGCTAATAAACAGGCAGACTGACCAAAGTACACTACTGAAGAGAGTAGCAGGCAAGACAGCAGAGGTCTGCTGTGCCATGTGGTTTGCTCCCTGGCTGGCTGGGGATCGAACTCGTGCTACAGAGGTTGCGGACAGCTTCACAGGTTGCGTCTTAACCCCTTGTGCCACCAGGGAGGCCCAAATTTCTTCTATTCTCTTACATGAAGGCATTAAGTAAAGGTTTTAAACTTTGAGTTCCTTTTCAGCTCAGATATGTAATGATTTTACAATCTTGTATGAAGGGGAGAATATAGCAAAACAGTCAATTTCAAAGACTTTACAATCATACTGCCCTGCAGTTAACATTCCAGCTCTGTTATAACTGCAAGACATGCTATTGATATCTTGGGCTTATTATTCAAAACCCTGTAAGTCTCATTTTCCTCATCTGTAAAGTAAGAGTAACAATCAATTCAAAAGATTATTTTAAAAATTAAAGGATAAAAATTAAATTTCATAATGTATATGAAAGCACCAGGTAAGTTTCTATTACTCATGAGTCATTAATAAATAAATTACATTTTAAACCTTTAAATACTTAGAATTTTGTATAAGAGCAGTGCTTGAATTAGAAACAAAAGTTAAACAAAAGCTGAAGCATAAAATTTGCAAGCCCAATGTTGTGATCCCCCCCAAGTAAACTAAATTTTTCATACCTAATCTATCGTACTTTAGTAAAAAGTTGTCCATCAGTAGAGTCAGAATAAATAAAATGTTATAACGGGAAAGTTATCTTTTTTTTTTTTTTAAAGATTTATTTATTTATTTATTTATTTATTTATTTATGCATGCATGCAAGCACTGGGTACATTCAGAAGCACGGGAGGATGAGAGAATTCACCAGAGCCAGAGCAGGGAACAGAACAGGCAGACTGACAAAATATACTGCTGAGGGGAGCAGAGGGTCACAGGGAGCAGAGGGCACACCATGTGGGACCCTCACCCGGCGGCTGGGAATCGAATTGGCACTGCAGAGGCTGTGGGCAGCTTCGCAACCCAGGGTTCAACCGCTGCGCCTCTAGGGAGGCCCCGGAGAAGTTACCTATTGATGCAAATCCTGTGTTGTAAATCCTTTCACTGACAAGAATTATGTCCCTGATTCAGATTTATAAATGAAAAATACCAAGTAGTCCCAAAGCAAGGCATATTTGTATGTTAGAAGCATAAAATTGTCTAGCAGAAAAAAGCATAGCCTAACAACACAAGTGTACTTCTCTGTGCACACAGCAAATTCCCTAACAAATCTGAATTAAAAAAAAAATATTTCCAGGGCCTCCCCGGTGGCGCAGCGGTTGAGCACTGGGTTGCGAAGCTGCCCACAGCCTCTGCAGTGCCGGTTCAATCCCCGGCTGCTCCCCGGCTAGTTGAGGTGGGTCCCGCATGGCACGTAGACCTCTCCTGCCGCCCGCTGCTCCCCTCAGCAGTGTACCTCAGTCCTTCTGCCTGCTCTGCTCCCTGCTCTGGCTCTGATGAATTCTCTCACCCGCATGCACTTCTGACTGTACCCAGTGCTTGTATAAATAAATAATCTTTAAAAAATATATGTATATTTCCAAAGTATTTTAATTTTGTATGTGTTATTCATATTCTTATTTTTACTTATATTTACTTGAGGTAAATCTGGTTTACAAAACTGTGTGTGTTTTAGGGGTATAGGTTCACACCTCTTCAAGCAAATTTAAAATGTTTAATACTTGTGCTCTAAAAATCAAATATATTCAGATGAATATTAACAACCCAGGAAGTCTACATATGGATTGCTTCTTAAAAACTAAAAGTAGGGGCTTCCCTGGTGGCACAAGGGTTTAAGACGCAGCACTATGAAGCTATTCACAGCCACTGCAGCAGGAGTTTGATCCCCAGCCAGGGAGCTACCCACATGGCACAGCAGACCTCTCCTGTCTCGCCCGCTGCTCCCTTCAACAGTGCATTTCAGTGGATTTGCCTGTTCTGCTCCCTACTCTCTCTCTAGTGAATCCTCTCACCCCTCTGCATCTCTGGCCTGCACCCCAGCTCTTGTATACATAAATAAATAAATCTTAAAAAAAAAAAAAAAGTAAAAGTATACTTGTATAACTTCCTAATTGCTAACACTTTACTTATTTTACAAAGAGGCTAGAGGAAAATTAATAGAGAATAAGAACATAAAATATCTACCCAAAATGCCTGGAAATGCTAGACGAGGTAGTTTCTTTTGCACTGGAAGCACCCGTGAAATCCACATCTGAGGTATTAGATGAATGTGCAGTTCCCTCAGTTCTCCTGAGACGAAAGAATTTAAATAGTATAAAAACTATCATTACTTAACAATAGAAATACTAATTTTCCCCAAAAAGAAAATTCTCAGGAAAGGAAGAAATAACTTTCTATTTACCCTATAGAACAAGGTAAATCCAAGGTGGGATTCTCTGAAACTGATTCCTTATCCTGGAAAATTAAAAAAACAGGATACTTAAAGCATGGTTCTAAAGTAAGCTGAAAAAAATATGAGTTCCTCAGTAATTGCAATCATCCTTCCACTCTGAGAACATATACCAGCATATCCTCTTACCAAAGATGGCTCAGCAGTTTTCTGAATCATTTTTCTTGTATATGGGCCAGGTGGACGACCTACAGATTTTTTCTTTCCTTTTTTTTCTATGCCATTGCTTACTTCCCTGAAACATAAAAACCATTATACATTTAATCTCTGCATAAAGAAAACAAAAAGGCAATGGACAATATACACTCATAGCTCCACTTATGTAATAATTAGATTGTACTTACTATATTCTTATTACATTTTTATATTATGGCAATATAAAAACAAAATTAAGTTTAATCTACAAGTTGTCAAGTGCATATTCTAACTTGAATAGCTATTACTGACTTTAGAGATATTTACATATGAAATGTTTAAGAAAAAATTCTCTTTAATACAAATCTGAAAAAAATATATATATATCACCTAAAACTTAAAAAGACAAAACAAAAACAGATTACTATACTGAATAAAGGGTTTCAAAACTCCTAAAAGTTCAATTACTTAGTTAGGGTTGTTACTACTACATGCGTACTTAGGGGATGTTTCAAAATTTACTATTGAAAATGAGTATGAATCTAGTTTGTTAACCCCATGAGTCCAGCAAGTGTCTATGTTAAAATATAGTGGTATCAATAGCGATTGCCTTTAGAGTTAAATACACATGGATTCTTGAATGATGCTAATCAGAAAAAGAATGAAGCCCAGGGTGGCAGAACATAAAGGAGAAAGGAGGAAGGAATCCTTCATATTGGGCAAGGAATCACTCTAAGAGCAAAATTAGAAAGATTTAGAAAGCTGTTTTTGAGACATAAGGGCAAATATCAAACAACGGGAAGGAAACAAAGTAACAAGTACATCTCTGATTAACAGAAGGGAAGAAGAAAGAGGGCAAATATTAACAGAATATCTACTTTTTACTGACCAAACATGTCGTATAAAAGGGGTATTCGGTAAGGGGGGGGGGCACAAAGATATAATCTCTGTGCTAGGAGATTCACAGTATAGTTAGAAAGTAACAAATGTGTGCACAGAAGCAGGTTAATAAAATGGGTCAGGTGGCATAAATCCAGGAAAATTCATTTTAAAAACAAGGAAAGGGAAAAATACTATATAATAGATGGAAAAGATGAATGAAGAAAACTAGGCAAGACTACTACCTCTATCCTTCCAGAATCAAAACTAAAACTGGCAAATAAAGGTGAAAGGACCAGGAAAGAAAAAGAAGGGGTGCAGAATAACAAAGCGTTAACTAGAACTACAATCAAAAGTCTCAAGGATAAGAAAGATGGGAATACACTTTTTTTTGGGGGGTGGAGGGGAGATATCAACCTCACAGTTATAAAGGATCCCCAGAATAAAGAAAATACTTTCAGGGCCTTCCTGGTGGCGCACAGGGTTAACATGCAACCTATGAAGCTGTCCACTACCTCTGCAGCATGAGTTTGCTCCCCCGGCCCGCCAAGGAGCAACCCACATGGTGCAGCAGACCTCTCCTGACTTGCCTGCTGCTCCCCTTAGCAGTGTACTGCGGTCAGTCTGCCTGTTCTGTTCCCCACTCTGTCTCTGGTAAAGCCTCTCACCACCACCCCCCACGCCTCTGGCCTGTATCCCAGCTCTTGTATGCATAAATAAATAAATCTTAAAAAAAAAAAAAAGAAAAAAGGAAAATACTTTCAGATTGTAAGACCAATTCAGAATGCCTTCAAAGAACGTTGAACCTTTACCTGGTAGCATCAAATAAAAACATGGAAGCTACCACAGATGGAGTGTTCTATCAAAATTATGACAGGAATCAGAAAGTTGAAGAAATAACCTTTTTCTTCTATCTTATGGGCAATTGCTAGCAAGGATTAATGATACAACTTGAAGAGGGAAAGGAGTGCTAGGGAGACAGTGACCTTCAAATATTATCTAAAATATGTATTATAATTATTCATTGCAAACACAAATGCTTCTATGAAGCATAAACCACTGTAATTATATTTTCTTATCCTCCCACATGACTGATTCATTTTTATACTTCTTCAATTTCTTCCCTTTCTGCACACCCCTCTCAGCTATCTCCATCTCATGTATCACTGTGAACATATAAATTACCAGTCAATAACTTTAGTCATCTTCCAAATGCCAAATCTACAAACAGAACCAGCATTTATACCCATCTTCTCTTTTCACCCCATTTCAATAGAAGGTGTAGATCCTTTTGTCAAATGTCACTCCTACTTTTCAGCTCTAAATCTGTTCCCCTTTTGGTTTCTCAAACTTTGTATCATATTACCTCCCCTCTCTCATATACTCATCTCTTCTTCACTGCAACATTCCCACTAGCATATAAAACATACAAAAACAAGTTTCAAACATCTTGCTTCTTATTAAAAACCATCTCTTGACTACTCTTTTACCCTCTTCAACTTCCATTCCATTTGTCTACTTCCCTTCACAATTTAACTTCTGAGAGATGACACATACCCTTGCCACTTTTTCCCTTCTCATCAGAATTCTAAAAGATTTCCTATTTTCTGTTTTTTTCTTTATTAGTATTATCACCATTATTTTGAATCTGCTTATGTCCCTTATTTGAAGAAAAAGTCCAGTTGTGACATGTAAATTGGACAGTGCTGGATTCAATCACATTTTGACCAACTCCAATCTGACTTCTATCTTCACCTCTCAAAAAAAACAAAACAAAAAAAACTTTTTGTTAAGGTAACAAATAACAAAATGTTATCCAATAAACATTTTCCCCTCATCTTAAACCCACCTCTCAGCAGCATTCATTATTTAATGTACTCATCTTTCTTGAAAAACTCCCCTCTTCCCTTTCTTTTCATGCTATCAAACTTTCTAGGTTTTCCCCTACCTCACTAATCTTTTTTTTTGTTCTCCTTTGTTTACTTTGCCTCTTCCAAAACTCTAAATAATATCAGGGCATCATTATAGGTCACATTCTCTTTTCTCTCTATATATGGTTCTCAGGTAATTCACGTAATCTCACAGTTTTATAAATCAACTTCAAAATTTATGTCACTGTATAACATACTCAACTGCCTGTATCTTAACATAATCATCATTTAGATATTTCCTACCAAGAATCTCAAACTAATTGAGTATGAAATAGAAGAATGCTTCATTCAGTTTGCCAAAATCTGTTCTTCCAAATCCTGGTAACAAATAGTACCAAGTCAGAAATCTTCGCATTATTAAACTTATTTCTTCCTTTCTTCCATAAATTTAGCAAAACCAAAAAATTCCACCTCCAATAAAGATCTTAAATCTTTTTCTCTCCATTTGAACCAACCAACCCTATACAAGCAACCTCCTCTATCTCTCACCTAGACAACTTCAATCTCAATTTTCTCTTGCTTCTATTCTCATCTCTACACCTATCCCTTCTCAAATTGTATCCAAAGAATTTTTAAAGGATAATTCAATACACTGACATCTTTAAATATATTTTCCCCCCTCCTCCCGCCCAGTATTCTTAGAAAACCACCCAAACTCCTGACTAGACCTATTAAGACTCTAATGATCAAGCTCCACCCAACCTTTCCAAGACCTGATGCTACTCTCTTATTCCTATCACACTAGCCTTAGGGAACTCCTAGAACATACCTCACAGCTGTCATACTTATGATTTCAACTACCTAGTCTTTGTTCCTCACATTAGGTCATTCTCATTCTTTCAAGTTCATCTTAAGTATTATCTTAATTAGGCCTTCCTTAAGCTTCCTTCTTAAAGTAGGCCCTCCTCCCTCATCCTTGTCCATCCCAGTATAGCTTAAAATTGTAAGTTATTTCCCAAAATCAGTAACGTGGTACACAAATACATATTTTATTTGCTTTATCACCCTTCTTCCCCACTATAATGTAAACATCATCAGGGCAGAAAGAAAGTCTGTCTTGTTTATTATTGTATCCCCAGCACTTAGATAGTAAAGTGCTTGATAAATGGAAGAAATGAATAAATGAAAGAATGTAAAATGAACACACAAACAAATGAACAGGCCGAAACTTAAGCTGTTTGCTAACAAATTACATAAGGGCCTATTCCTGGAAGTGCTAAGATCTAAAATAAACAGATATCTAGCATAAACTCTTTTGCAACTTGTCTAAGCAAGAAATTATAAACAGGAAAACAAATCAAGGTAACTGCCACTTATACTTTCAAATATACTAATGAGACTAAACACACAATTTTTAGTTACAAATAAGCTAAAGAGAAAAACTAAGCCACAGATCAACTTTTACCTTGAATCAGATATAGGTTTGGATGCCTTTCTGCCTTTAATTTTAAATTCATGGGATGTTCCTTCAGGTTCTTTCTCTGCTTTGAAAGCCACATTTGGTGGCACAGGAGGAACACGTATTCGCAACCCAAACAAATGCTTCTTCTTCTTTATTTCTTTCCCAGACATAAACCTAAATTTTTAAAAAAATTAACTAAAAATTTAAAAACTGAACACATATACATGGCAGACCCTAACTCATAACTTTCATATATAATGCCTTAATACATGAAAGTCTACCCAATACTATAAAAACTTGCTCTTTCCCCGATTCTTATCTGCCCAGTCCACAGTAGGATATAAGCGAGTAGGAAGGGAAGAACAGTTATTTGAAGGAAGGGTGAAGACCACGTCTACTTTTCTTTTTAAACATGGCGTCTAACTTTTTAAAGGCAGAAAGAAGAGTATGGAGTGGTGTCTTTCTAAACTCAGTTTGTTTTACCATACTTTAATATCATCTGTGAAAAATATCTCCAAAAAGGTTTAGAAAAAGATTTCTATTTCAGAGTAGATCTGTAAGGAGAGAAACCCTGGTGAGAAGTCACAGGTGACAGCACTGAAAAGGAAAATAGGAGACCAATCCTAGAGGCCCAGAAAATAAAAGAAAGAAAAGGAGTGTCTAGTGTGTCAGATTTGGAATTGGAAATAACCTACAGCAAAGAAGTGTTATTCCAATGTGGGCTTGGGTGTCTGAAAAATATACTTCTTAATTCTTTCCCAAAGTCCTTAGGGCCCTTTTTCCAAAACACTCCCATCAATCTCAGCTCTAGTAGAGCCTGCCTGACCACAAAAACCACTACCAAATGCTTGAATTAGTCTTCGATTTTTATGTAGGTTTGAGTAAAGGGAGCCCCCATTCCAACCATAATAGGAACAGATGTGTTTCTGGCACCCTAAAATGGATTACGGAATTTACTGTTCCATAGTTTTCACCAGTATAGTAAATGCTCAAGTGCTTTATAGACCTATTGAGACAGCCTAAAGATCTAGACACTACTAATTGTAACGTTTTTTAATGAGGAAGCACTGTGAAGTCACAAAAAAAGCAACTTGTTACAAAGAAAAATTTTCTAACTCAATAGTTGGTTACAATCAGAGACATGTTTACAAAAATTATTTCTACTTATTGTGAAAACATTAATAAATATAGATATACTGGCTTTTAACAAAGACCTATATAATAAGATATTAAACTATATTATATAATTATAAAAAATTTAGATCACTAATACCTCTTTTTTATAAGTGATGACATTAATCTTAAAACCATAAATTTCATCATAAAAACCCATTTTCTCTACAATATACTCCTTTAGCTTTTACATATTCCCACCAGCAAGATTTTACTTTTAGTAAACTGCATTATAAAAATAGGTTATTACTGAATTAAGCTTTTTTATTTTAACAGAGTAAACTGTTCTCAGACATTAATATTCCCCCCCATCCACCATTCCCAGGATTGTTCTTTCCTTCTCCAATCCTTGAGAATCACTGCTACACTCTGAGTGAAATAGGAGATTAAAAAGCTTAAAATGGTATACAATAATTCTATAAAACAATCCTACAATTCCTAAGCAATGCCGTTATTCCTTATACTTACTAAATGTCTCCCTCATAGGGATACATAAAATAAATCAACTTACATGGTCTTGTAATCATTTAATGCCTCCAGAACATGCTCATATCTTTCAGATTTTGGTGTGTCTGCGAGCTGTGAAGTATCAAGAAACAATTTAAAGCACTATAATTTAATCAGTTAGTAATATACCTGCTAGACAGAGGCAATTAGCACTAGCACCTGGTAGGGGCAATGTGCTACAGAGGAAAAGCATACTGACTGGTAGTCAGAAAATCAAATTTATAATTCCAGGTCCTCAATGACTAGCTGTGTGATATAAGACCCTTTACCCTCTTAAGGTTTGTTTCTTACCTATAAAAAAGTGAGTATAAATCCTGCAGTAACTTTACTAGCAACTGCATGGATCAAATAAATGATATGTCTGAAATAACTATAAGCTACAGAACCTACAAAAATGGGATTTTATTAGTTATTAAATTTATGTTAATTCTATAATTTGGGAAAATAATACCTTAGAATTATTTTTATATCAACCATAAAAGTGTCTAAAAAGAATATAAATAATAAGAACCATACCACTTTATTTCCCAATACTTCTAACAACAGCACAGACCAATCATCTCTATACTTTTTTTAAATGTGAAATTAGAGGAGCTATTTTAATAACAATTACAGGCTTTACCCAGCTCCAAAACCCAAAGTGCCTGAGAAATTTTTTATTATCACAAATTATATTCAATTCTAGAAAGTATTCTATATTGTTACAAAAGGGCTTCCTTCAGTCATTTCTACCTCTTCTTCAAAGACAGAGGCCAATACTAAAAAATTCTAGATTATAGAAAGTATCATCCTCAAAAATGTTACAACTTTAAAAATAAAAACTTCCAAAATATCACAGTTAACTTTCAAAATTAATGCCACTATGTTCTTTACCATTAGGATTCCTAAACCTTAAGTAAAAAGAACAAATCAGTCACGAAAAATGTTGGGAGGACCCACTTTAACTATTTTATAGATTAATTAACAGGATATAAAGGCCAAATAAACTATTCAAAATCACATGGGCAGTTAAGTGAGAGAGCTAGATTCTAAACCCTAGTGGCAATGCATTCACTTAACATTTACTGAGAGCCCGTTATGTGCCAATGTATTGGATATTTTTTTTAAAAAAATGCAATAGGACACTTTGGTACTCATTCCTATGTACCATGCCATCTCCTCCTACTGTAATTTCTGAATTGTCCAATAATAGAGACATTCTATTAAAGGATAAACAATAGAATCAAACTTTAAAGGTTGACAAAGAACTTAGATGTCCATCTAATTTAAACATACATTGATACTGCGATCCCTTTTACAGTACAGTCATTCAACCTTGGTTCAAATATGACCATTGATGAAAGCTGATGAGGCACCTACTGCCATTTTATAGCTGGGCAAAATCATCTTTCCTGGATCTATTCTATTTCCTCAAATAATTAACAGCAGCTATCATGCCTATGTAATAAGATCAGGTTAAAATTCTTAACATCAATACCACATGATTTGTGTTAATCCTTAAGTTACTAATTCCATCCTTTTCCTTGTTCCCTCACCAACTCTACAATTTTATCAGATGTACTATCAAGTGTCCCCTTTACCATATGCATATACTGTTATATGTGGATTTAAGGCTAAAAGACGAACTTCATAACTTGTTAATTTGATTTGATTATCAGCTCACTCTATCTTTTCACTTGCCCTGCCATCCTTCTTGAATTGAGAGGAGATACAGAGCCCTGGGCTCTTCATTAGTATCTCTCTTAAGAATAGTTCTAAGCTACTGACTTCTGTTGTTACTGTTTACAAATTCATTATAGTTTTACTTAACCAATTCACATTTTGATACCTTACCTTAAAATGAAGTTATACTATGGCTACATCATATGCAATGCATTTCATACATCTGTGTTGCTAATCATATCTATAGAGAAGCCAGAGTATTTAACGTGATTTGTTCTAACAATTTAGTGTTTTTCTCCTACTATCTTTTAAATCCTCACAAAACATGTATTTGAAAAATCTGCTCTATCGTTTTGCTAAAAAAAATCAACAACAAAACTGATCTCCTAATTTCTCAAATCCACTCTTACTGTTTTAAAAATCACAACATAAGGTTATTCTCTATGGTTTCTCAAGAAATTTTATCTGTGAGTTTTAGAGCATTCCAGGGCTATTTTGCACAGGGATGTATATTTTAACTTACATAATGGGGCCAGGAGCAGTATCCTTTGTGTATTTTGAAAACTATGAATGCAAATATTAAAATGTGAATCATATAATCTGTATTAGAAGAGTATCAAATTGTTGGACTTTCATCTGACCATGAGCCTTTAATAATAAATACCTTCAGCAGAATTATTTTTGTTTTTCTCTCTACTGACACTAAGCTCATTAAGCTTTTATATTTATGGGTGTTACTTCTATACAGACATAAATGCTACCATGTATAGTATTAACTCTTCCCTGCAGTAAAACATGGGTTTGCCCCACTATCTGAAAATAGAAGATTCCTATGAAAACTTTCATAAGCTTAAATGGCGTAAAGGGAACAATACATTACTATTAATTTAAATGAGAAAAATTTTGAGCATTCCCAGACCCCAAAAGCAACCCATCAAGTAACACTAACATAAGATGTTAACATAACATAATAAAAACTAACATAAGATGTAATACAAAGTAGCTTCCAGGAATGGAGCTTAGCATTGCCACTGCCACTCTCATGGCAAAGGGAGAAACACTGTTCCATAACAGCTAACTACAAATTACAAAAGCTGAATGCTATTTCTACACTTCATCTTTTGTCATAAAAATGAAAATCCTCTTCAGATTTCTTTCAGTTAGCAAACCAAAAAACAAAAAACCAGGGCCCCCCCTGATGGCCTAGGGGTTAAGTCTCAGCGCTATCGCAGCTGTATCCTGAGTTCCCTCCCCTGGCCAGGGAGCTACGCACATATGGCACAGCAGACCTCTCCTGTCTCGACCGCTGCTCCCCTTCGCAGTATATTTCAGCCAATCCACCTGTTCTACTCCCCACTCTGTCTCTGATGCATCCTCTCACCGCCCCCCCCGCAACAACAACAAAAAACAGGTACTAATGTAGGTCTTTCTTAAAAGCAAAGTGGCTCAACAGAGATTTTCAAAAAGTGGGGGTATATCTGTACACCCCTTAATTACAAATAGTGAATGCCATGCCATTTTGGTCTAAGTGTGCCAATAGCTTAAGTAACTAATTTGCCAATCTATACACTGTATGCTAATATACAAAGGTTGCAAAAAATAGCCAGATTTCTTACAATTTTCTATGACAAGTATTATATTACCTCTACCATACAATTTTCTCTTGGCAAAACATCATTTCTGCCACAGTATTTCATTTGAGTTTTAGCTATGCTTTTATCTCTACATTCCTCAAAAGTGAGGAAGCACTTAACATATTGTTCTGCTATTAACCTTTGGGTTTGTGAAATTTACAAACATAGTTAACAGAAAAATGGGTTAACCTTATACAAAGAGGATTTCAAATAAATTTAGGAATCAAAGACAAAAACAAGCAGATTCCCAAATTAGTAATATCTCATTTAGGGGCCTCCCTGGTGGCACAAGGGGTTAAGCACCACACTATAAAGCAATCTGCAGCATCTGCAGCATGAGTTCAATCCCTGGGCGGCCAGGGAGCAACCCACATGGCGAAGCAGACCTCTCCTATCTCCCCCACTGCTCCCCTCAGCAGTGTATTTCAGTCAGTCTGCCTGTTCTTTTCCCCGCTCTGTCTCTGGTGAATAATCTCACCCCCCACATCTCTGGCCTGTACCCCAGTTCCTGTATGAATAAATAAATAATTTTAAAAATCTCATTTTAATTCCAATAAGCAATCTGGTACAGAACAGTGACACTTTATTCTATATAAAAATCTTACGCAACCTTTATTTGCAATCTAAAATGTTACATTTTTGCTACATTTTTTACTATCTCAAAGAAAGCATTTCAAAATAGTTTCACAAACAGCTATACTATACTCAGTTTATATAATAATCATGAAGATATAACGTTTCAAAAGTGTTAAAAAAAACCATGATATAAAATGATCAGCATGTTTTAATATGATCTAAAAGTTTCAGCTTCTCTTTAAAGCAATATAATAATCTGAAAATGACTCAAATAGTTCAAAGTGCTCAATTCATTATATCTAGCATATAGTATTTTCCATGTTTTAAAGCAAGACTTCCATAAAAAGATTTTGAACATAAATATATAAAAAAAGGAAATATCTATTAACCTAAATTTGGATTAGTGACAAAATTCAATTTGTAATTCAATTTCCTTTACCCAAAGAATTTACTATTTTAATAACTTGGAATAATCCATTATTCTTATCATATTTGTTTCTATTACCGCTAACATTTAAAAGTAAACTAAATGAATAACCACTACACATCAAATTTATGGTCTCTTTTACTATTATATTAAAATCTCACTCTAAAAATCAATTCTTATTACAGCATAAAGCTGTAAAACGTTAACACAGAGAATCAAAAAGTGAACTTTCACCTATCAATAACAGTCTGAGGATGGAATCTAAACTCTGAATATTTTCTTCTTTAAAATGAGAAAAGTTGGCAAGTTTTATTCGATTATACTCATATTTTTCTTATTTTTAAATTTAAAAAATTCCATTTGTCAAAGAATGAGAAAGTGAAATTTCTTATTTCTAACATGTTATTTCACAGGCTACAGAAAATAAAAACACTTATCTATCTTATCTGAAAAAAAAAAAATGTCTGATGTAGCGAAAGTTCAGCTGGAACTGAAGTATCTGAAACTCATAAATTGTATTCATTTCTTAAAATTGTCTGTGATTTAAAAATTTTTACCTCTTAAATAAAATCTAAATTTTTACTTTTATCTTAATAAAAATGATAGCATTTGAAATAAAAATTGATTTTTTTATATGTATGTCCACCCTCTACATGAAGTAACTACTACAGAATTTAATCACATGAAATAAAATGTACTAAAAGGAATACAGATATATCTGCATATTAAGTGTTGAAAGTACCATGGCTAGGAAGAAAGCATTTTAAATGAATCAATTAGAACATTAAGTATTAAAAATGACTATAAAGAACACTATATTTACTAGTGCTTTACACTTACTTCTTTTATTACTAGTTTACTAATAAAATATATCAAATTTGTAAAATCACTCTTTTCAAACTCCATCTGAAAAAAGAAGCATTTAAAACTGAACAAGAGTGTTATATTTCTAACTTTCAAAACGTTTTAACTCAACTGATTTTAATATCCTTTATTTGAAAACCTAAATATTCTGCAGGTGTTTTATGCAACTGATATGCCATCAATTAACTTTTAAACAATTGTGCATTATATTCTCCTGATGCCCCATAAAATCCCCCAAGTAACAAAAACCCTGATATCCTATTTGATATGAACCCTTTAAAATGCAAATTATTCCCAAAATTTCAATCAGTTTTTTACCAAGGAGTAATATAAGACTAAAATTTACACATCTGATTCAACATGTTATGAAACAAAATTTTTAATTAACCTTAGCACTAATATCTATATTTTTAATAATTCTAAACACATGCTAAAAACAAGGTTATTATACTTATTTGAGTTTCTTTCCTTTTTGTGCTATTTTACAGCTTCAAAATCTTCAATGAACAATCTTAAGTTTCACATCACTTCAAAAAATTTTTTTTGCAAACAAGCGTGAGTGGCTATACTAGGCAAATGAAAAACAAAATGAGATGTCAAAATGAGATGGATAATCTCCAACTCATGTAACTTTACTGTCTAACTCATTATCCTAATACTATTAATGGGTCCCACCATCCCTGAAAGCTAGATAAGGGAGTACTAACAAAAGAGGAAAGAAATGTTGCCTACCTCCCTAAATGTAAAGATAAATTTAGAAGAAAAGGAAATGGAATCTTAAGATACCCAATGATAAGGATTTCTCCCTCCATGTATCTTTAATAATAGTGATTCTCACTTCAGAAAAGGGAAAAATCAAGTAGTTTACTTCTTCTTAATTTTCCCAAGTCTACAACAACAGGAGGATGTAAAAGGGCTCATCCTAATATCCTTATCAAAGTTATTTATCCTGAACTAAAAGTAAAATTGTACTTTAGATATCTGGTTTATGCATGTCTCTTAGCTGTTTTTAACAAAAACAAAACAAAAAAGGACATCAAATAACTAATGAGATTTAGCTCAAGACCACCTACCTCTCCAGGGTGCAATCTATCCCAGTTTTCATTAATGTATGTCATAAGCTCAAGTTCAGAATCAAAGTATTTCTTCTTGTGAATAACACTTAGGTTATAAAGGCATAGGTGTGCTATATCTACCCTGGAATCCAAAAATAATCAAAATATACGAAAACAATGTTTTTGGTTATTGCTAAAAAATTACACAATCTTTTTATAAAACCAGCAATTAAATCTAAAGTGAAGTATTTAGGGAACAGAGTGACAATGTTGTCAGTCATATTCACAATTAATAAATCATTACATATAAAAATCATTGGAAAACGTTAACTAAACATTTACTTATCCTGCATAGGATTGTAACTATAAACAAAGCCATATTTGATTTCTTAAAATGCATTCAGAGGATCTGATTTTAAGAAAAAAATATTTTACAATCAGAATTTTTACCACTTTTCACTACTATATATAAGTTACAGAATAGACTTATTTTTAACACCCCATGTCTGATTCTTGAGTTAAACTTTATCTTTTCCTAAAATATGAAAAACATTTAACAAAGATTTCTAAGTACTTGGTAGAAGCACTTTGTCAGTAAATCTCTAAAACTCAGACTTCCCATACCCAAGACTGAAGCAGAAATTGGCTTATTTGTCATTAAGACCTTTGTCTCTTCTGCCGTATGCTATTCTGAAGGCCCAAAAGATCTAGAAAAATGAGTAAAAAATCTGAAGATCTAAAAGATGTTTTGAAAGCTGTATTTTATGCCATCTGACTACAAAAGAGGATAAATAAAATCAAGGCTTATGCCAAGTAAATGCATTGTTTATATGAAATATGTTTCATATAAAGTTTCATACTATAGGTTTTAGAATATGGCTCTTTCTTATTCCTTAACAGATATGTCTATACTCACCACTGTAATGGTAGACGTTTGAGGTATTCAGGTCCAGAACTACAGACAGAGCAAATAAATGTATAAAACCTAAGGAAAGAAGAAAAGCTGTATATTAAGTATTTAAGAGTATACCTAAACCATTTAACAAAGCAAAATATAATATGAATTATGACACTGTGAAAGAATTTCTTTTCCAGGTATAACAAATAATTACATAGTTCTTATCTGGGAGGAAAGGGCAATTTTATTTTTAAACCATTACAGACTTTACTTCACACAGAAATTCATAATGTAGTTTATTAGTGGTTGTGTATACCAGAATTCGAATGGTTTTCCTACATACACTATTACATTCAATGCACAAAGTGATCTGGTAAAATAAACCCAAAGAAAACAAACTAAAGACAGAAAGATATTAAGTGGCATAAACGAAGCTTTAAATGGCCATGTTTTCTGTTGTTAAGTTTAGTGCTATTCCTAGAGTTCTCTCTTCTAATCCATAAAAACAGCCTAGATCTGTTTTTAGAAATTCTTCACATAGAAGGCACAAATGGTGTATATCAAATTTCTTGACCCTTTGAGGTTTTTTAAAGGAAGGTACCAGTGAGAACAGTTTAGAGCACTGTGGGGTAATATGAACAAATATAATCATTAATCAAAGACTTAAAAGCTTTCTGGGATAATATTCAAAAGCACAAAAATTCCATGTATATTTAAATTCTGTGTAATTAAAGTCTATTATCCAATATTTCCCCTCCAAGTGACCCTTTTACAAATCACTATTAAAACAACTTTTAGGGCCTCCCTGGTGGCACAAGGGGTTAAGATGCAATTTATGAAGCAGTCCGCAGCCTCTGCAGCATGAGTTCGATCCCCGGCTGGCCAGGGAGCAACCCACATAGCACAGCAGACCTCTCCTGCCTCGCCTGCTGCTCCCCTCAGCAGTGTACTTGGGTCGATCTGCCTGTTCTGCTCCCCACTCTGTGTCTGGTGAATCCTCTCACCCCCACACTTCTGGCCTGTATCCCAGCTCTTGTATGCATAAATAAATAAATATCAAAAAAAAATTTACAAATAAAACAACTTTTAAAAATATGAGACTGCAAGGAACCACAATAAAAGAAAATAAAAAAAGAAAATAAAAAAACCAGTGAAGTTGAAATGCCTTCTCACCTGTCTCCAAATAACATTGGCTTTTGAAGGCATTGCACACAAGCCTCATGAAACCACTGCTTACATTTGCAGCATTGCAGCATCTTTAAATACCAGCTATAAGGAAAAATTTAAGATTAAAATTATTACCGTTCAAAGAAAATAACTAAAATGGCTTTATGCAGAATAGAATTCTGAATATATCACATTTCTGATATACTTAGTATTAATTTCTTTCTTTCCCAAAAAGGGAAAGAAACCTTTCCATCTTTATACACAAGAATTTATAAGGGGTCAGAAAATATGTTCACTATTTCTAGTCAACAAGGGCATGGTTTCGACACTAGCAAGGGATCTCTTCCAAAGCACAAAAGCCCAGAATTATTTTCACATCGACTTTCTACTCCTCAAAAACACAATGAATAACAGTTTCATAAAATAATGTCTTATAATGGTTTCTACCTGTTGTGAGTAATGCTTTAAATTAAATGCTAGGTATGAATGAGTAAAGGACAAAGATCAATATCTGGGCCTGTTTCTCTCTTTTACAAGTGATTTAAAGAAACCAGACAGAATGTTTCTTAAATCTGCAGGTGACTATAAACTGAGAAGTCTTCCATTAAGAAAGTTAAATCACAAAAACTCTGTATAATCAGAGATGAAAATCCATTCATTTATTCATGTTTTCATCACTAAACATCTACTACACAATTCTACTATATTGCAACTCTGTCTTAAGCACAGAATCTAATAAGGAAGAAAGATATAAAAAACTAGTAACTACTATTTAAATAGTTAAATGTAATGTTTTTAAAAAAAACTATAAGGTGTTATTAGTTAACTACCTACATACAAACCCAACTTAAACCGAAAGAATACAATCAAAGAGAGGTAATACAATCTGTTTCTGCAACAAGAGAAATATAAGGCAGAACTAAGAGCATCAGTGTAGTCTATCAGACCATTTCTATGGAAATCCTGCATACTTAAATCATGACAATGTATTTCAAGAATAACTTTCAAAAACTAGACAGCAACAAAAAGAGACTTTGGATATCATGTCTTAAAGAATGTTTTTTGGTAATAGAGATTTCAGCCAGGAAAAAAAGAATGCTAATTGTATGTGACTCATGGGAATGGGAATTTGATTGCTGGATTGAAATATTTTTAAGAGTTACCTCCTAAGAAATAGAAGATGTATTTTTCTTTAGTTCCAAAGATTGCAACTAGAACCAGTGAGCAGAAGTTAAACGTAAATTTCCTCTAAACATTATTAGAACTCTAATTAATGTAGCAAACACTTAATAATAAAGATAAATATAACCAGTTACTAATCTTGCCAATTTTCTTTATTGATACTTTCATGCATTTACAATCCATTCTTACTCACACACCACAATCAATAAGAACAATAAGGTAGACCAAAAATAGCAAGGAAAATTACTTAAAATACATTAAATAACTATTCACTTACTCTCCAGGGCCTCCACAATAGCAGTAACATTGCTGGACATTGGTTTTATGACCTGCATCCCATTCCAGATCTGCCACACTGTAGGGTAATGTCTGCTTCATGACTTGCAATGCTTTGGCATTAGGTCCTTTCTTAAGAGCACCACCCCTCTATATTAGAGGGAAAAGGTTATTTAAATGAGTGAAGGATGAAATTTTAAATACAATTCTAAAACTTAAAAATGCTTATGAAATTTCTGAAGCTACTTCCATTCTGAATTTCCTACCATATCACAAACTGTTTGACTAATAATAATCTATTTTGTTGTCTCTTCTTTCAAATTATTGCCCCAATATCAAGATAACAATCAGCAAATAAGTACAAGAATAGTTGCAGGTCACTTAAGCATCATTAGTCAAATAATAAACAGCACTTCTTTTTGCCCAAAAGACTATTCATTTCATTCAAATAAATTTTCAATGTACACAATCATTATGTTGATATTGCCTTACAAATTCCATTTAGGGCTTTAGCCCAAAACACTTAAAAGATACCTTTGTTGTTGTTGCAAAAACACACTGTCGACAGAGCCATTTTTCATCTGAATCAATCACACTGGAATCAATATGAGGTGTGTGACACAACTGATGATATCCTTAATATCAAAAAGAGCATAAAGCAAATTCTGTTTTATTAATAGATACTGTAATGCAATTTCAAGAAGGTATTTTAGTACTCTTTTCCTGTATTAATGTATATATAATTGATGAAAAACCACAATAATAGCTTCAAGTGAACTAATATAAAGTATTTTAATCACTAATCTTCAACAGAGGCTTTAAGTATGTAACAAAACTTTTCTGTAAGAATAAAAAATGTTTACCTTGGCCACACTTATCACATATAACCATTTCATTAGGAGCTTCTGAATACTCTTCTTGACATATTGTACAGACCATTTCCCCACTTCCAGTGGCTCCTAAAATATTTAAATTATAAATTCAGAAAACAGTCATAATATAATTAAGAAACGTTCCAAATAGCAAAGCTACTTGTTTGACTCAGTGAGTAAAATATATGGCAATGCTACTAGGTCATGATTTCTTCTCAAGGCAAAGGACAATACACAAAATGTTCTCACTCTCCTCCCTATATCCTTCCCACCTTTACCTTAAGATGTCTGTCTACAATCATAGTTCAATCTTTTTTTTAGAGGGTATAATTTAAATTGGTCTCAGGCAGGATCACTTACTATTTACTTCCAATATTCCCACTCTCTATAAGGACAAGGATATTGTGTAAATACTAGAACATGCACATTGTTTTCACTCACCCTATACCATCTTACATCATAAGACTAAAAAAGAAAGAGGGTAAGAATGATAGCAAAGACTCTTTTCCTCCTGGATTCTGAACATTTTTTATTTACTAATTTATGAAAGAGGCTGACTGCTATTTAACTTCCAATTCCTGAATTTCCATTGGTATAACCTAACATAACTCTACTACAACAAAAGTTGGAAGGTTCCAAAGTTAATATTACTTTTACCTGAATAGTTATTCAGGTAATATTATTCAGTAATAATACCCTAATCAATTTTATTCTAAAAATAATCTTATTCTACAAAATTTAGGATACAATTTTATCACTCTTAACACAATTATTTCCAATATTCTCTTGTCAATTTCAATATACATAGTTAAAATACTAATATACAGGCTTTGCTCACATAACAATAACAAAAATCTAAAATTTTGTGCTATGGACCAAACACTGAGTTAGGTGCAACATAAAATTTGATATAATTCTATAACTTTTAGGTAAATATTCTATTTATTAACAAATATTAAACCTCAGAAAGACCTTCAGTCAGGAAGTATTAAGATAAGGATCCAAACCCCAATATGGCAGAGTCCATAGTCTCTCCTCTATACTGTGAGATGCTTCCTTTCATCAATACTATGTAGTTATTTTTTCTACCAAAAGCATTTTTCAGTCAGTTTACAAAATTATGACTTCTAATAGGTGAATAATATTCCACCCAGCTCTAGGAGTAGAGCTTCTGAGTTCATGGCTCCAATCAAGAGAACCACCAGTCTGAGCCTGGGACCTCTCAGTCCAAATCTGCAATTATCTGGAAAATGACGATCACCCCATATTAAGGCAGATGTCTGATGTGACTCCCACTAAACCATGTGGATTGGTGGGGAAAAGGTAGATCCTCAGAGAAAGTGGTTCCAATTTGACAATATGTGTTCACCTCAGGAAACTATCCTGAAGAAGGAAGGATCTTTATTTTACTTGTGAAATCTAAGTTCATTTTTTCCTCACCATGAAGTTTATGAGAAATTCTGAGTAGCTTAGTAGCCTACAAAAATCGCCCTTACTATAAATCAAATTGACAATAAAGTCCTGCTCATTTCATCTCAGATATAAACGCTTTTTCCTTTTGAATTACTGCTAGAAGTACGTCTGCGTTTAAGTATTTTTATGCATTTAACACAACTGTTAAAATTTAATATCCATGGCGCAGCGGTTGAGCGCTGGGTTGTGAAGCTGCCTGCAGCCTCTGCGGCACCGGTTCGATCCCCGGCTGCTCCCCGGCCACCGGAGGAGGGTCCCACATGGCGCGCAGACCTCTCCTGCCGCCCGCTGCTCCCCTCAGCAGTGTACTTCGGTCCTTCTGCCTGCTCTGCTCCCCGCTCTGGCTCTGGTGAATTCTCTCACCCTCCCGTGCTTCTGACTGTACCCAGTGCTTGCATAAATAAATAAATAAATCTTTAAAAAAAAAAAAAATTTAATATCCAGAGGGCCTCCCTGGTGGCGCAGGCAGTTGAGCGCCATACTGTGAAGCTGTCCACAGCCTCTGTAGCGTGGGTTCGATCCTGGCCAGCCAGGGAGAAACCCACATGCTGCAGCAGACCTCTCCTGTCTCGCCTACTGCTCCCCTCAGCAATGTATTTCATCAGTCTGCCTGTTCTGTTCCCCACTCTGTCTCTGGTGAACCCTCTTGCCCTCCCGCGCATATGGCCTGTACCCCAGCTCTTGTATAAATAAAATAAATCTTTAAAAAAATAATTTAAAAAAATAATATCCTGAATAGAAATTTACACTGCCACCAGCAATGCAGTGTATCATTTTCACTGAAACAATAACAGTATTAGGTATTAAAATGAAAAATTCTTTTAAATGTATTTAATGGTCTTAACATTCTCTCTCTGTTGTAATGTACATTTCTTTGACTAACATTATTATGTGTTTTCCTTACTCTTTAGAATCTTTTCATATTATTATTTTGAGATATATATATATATATACATACACATACGCATAGAGCATGTTCTCATACGAAGAAAACCACTAAAACTAGTCTCCACACTGAATCTGCCATAATGCAGTTTCTCAGATTCACCTGCTAATTCTATAGCAACATATGAGCTACTCACTAAGCATTATAAGCAGTTACATGGCCATGGAACAACCCTTTGCAGTCTAGATATAGTAAAAGGAATCCATGGAACATATCAATAACTTACCAAAGTTGGAGTTCAGACTCAAATACAAAACCCAATCACTAAATACTTTTAGAAAAGTAAAGACAATTTATTTCTCCTCTCTACAAAAGGTGAAACAAAACACAGGTCTTAGCATGGGCCTATTAACCCAGTAAAAAGAAAACCAAAAATGGGACTTTATTATGCAGCTAATATACTCTAAATTTTAATATTCATACTTCTATAAATAAAGCACTTCCATGAAAGAGCTACCTTGAAAAACACTTATATTCAGCAGATTCAAAGGTCATACAGCAATTATAGTTTATAAAAATGGAAAGCATTACAAGAAAGGTACCTACAACCAAACCAAGGCATACCTTTATTCATTTTTACTTGCACCCAAATATAGCCTCATTTTCCCATTTAAACATGAAAGACCATAATTAAACAGTAATTTCAAACCAATTTACTAATGATTATTTTTAGCACTCCAAATCTATTAACTATGTTCTAATTCCCCATACCATATGGCAAATAGTATGTGCGCAGTATCAGTTCTCTACATTATTTTGTACTAATATGGGCAAATAACAGTTATGTTGAAGCCCAAATGGCTAAAAAAGTTTTACAAGGTTCTTAGAAGTGTAACAATAGTTTATAAGTGTGCATCAGTAATGCACCTGTTCTCTAGTCTACTTCTACCCTCAGAGTTAATTCTTGCTCTTCTCATATAATTTGTAACTCCTCAAAAATGATTATGAGTTATCTTAATAGACTGTACTCAACAGACAACACTAGAAAATGACAAGCTGAAGGAAATCAAACTTCAATATAAATCATGTTCAAGAGAAATAGTAGCACCTGCCTGTTTGAATGTCCTTCCAGAGAACCCAGGATTTAGAACTGTCTTCAAATATAATGAAGCAGCTCTGTTTCAATATGTTTATCTGAAATAGAAAGAAATACTTATGGTGATTTCTTCTAAGACTAAAAACATGACGTTAAATTCAAGATTTTTAAAAGTTGGGCCTCTCCCGGTGGCGCAGTGGTTGAGAGCTGGGCTGCGAGGCTGCCCGCAGCCTCTGCAGCGCCGGTTCCATCCCAGGTTGCCGGCGAGGGTACCACACGGTGCGCAAACCTCTCCTGCTGCGCCTGCTGCTTCCCTCAGCAGTGTATTTCGTCGGTCTGCCTGTTCTGTTCCCCGCTCTGGCTCTGGTGACTCTTCTTACCCTCCCGCACTTCTGACTGTGCCCAGTGCTTGCATAAATAAATAAATCAATCTTTTTTTTTAAAAAAGATTATTAAAAGTTTACTGTGTATCTTAAAGTAACTTGCCTTTTTGATAGTTCCAAGATAAAACAAGCCATCTGACCATCTAGCTAGGACATCCTGACCCTCTTCAAATTTACATGCTGGCTTTTTGACTTTATGTCCATCCTGTAAAGACAGCTTGGTCAAGGATGTTGGGGTCTTTTGGTTTCGACGTAAAGGAGACCGCTTGTGGACCAGTGAATTACCTGCCCCTGTAGAGTCTCTGTTGAGGAAATAAAAACCACATGTAAAATTTGACATACTTATAGAGTTTATTTTTATAATCATTGATATGTTTCATATAGTAATCAAAAATCTATTAAAAACCTTAAATTGAAGGAAAATATAACAAGCACCTCAAATCATACACACTCACCTGAAATGCCTTTAAAACAAAATGTCTAAATGCCTTTAAAGGAAAATGTCCAGGGCCTCCCCGGTGGCGCAGGTGGTTGAGCGCTGGGTTGCGAAGCTGCCTGCAGCCTCTGCAGCACCGGTTCAATCCCCGGCTGCTACCCGGCCACCGGAGGAGGGTCCCACATGGTGCAACAGACCTCTCCTGCCGCCCGCTGCTCCCCTCAGCAGTGTACTTCGGTCCTTCTGCCTGCTCTGCTCCCTGCTCTGGCTCTGGTGAATTCTCTCACCCTCCTGTGCTCTGACTGTACCCAGTGCTTGCATAAATAGATAGATAGATAGATAGATAGATAGATAGATAGATAGATAGATAAATGCATAAATACATAAATACATAAATAAATCTTAAAAAAAAAAGGAAAATGTCCATTTGCAACATCAATGAAGCTAATGGGAATTATGCCTAATTAAGTAAGCCAAAGAGTGAAAGACAAACACCATATGGTTTCATTCTTATGTGGTATAGCCAAAAAACAAAAAGCAAAAAAAAAAACAAAAAACCAGAAATACTAAAAAACAAAAAATAAACTTTTAGACTATAAGATCGATTAATGGTTACCAAAAGGTTAAGGGGAAAGAGGATAGATAAATCAGGAAAAGAGACATTATGGAAGAGAACAGATCTGGATTTTTAGCAGTGAACTAAACATAGTATGTATACATAGTTCATGCTGATTCTCAATCATAAACACCTGAAACTTAATATCATAATACAATTATTACTTCAACAAAAATAATAAAAAACAAAATTACAGCACTACTCAGTATTCATTCAGTGCTTATTCTGAGGTCAGGATTTGGCAGTAACTCCAAAGTAACATATGCAGGGCAGCTATCATCAAAATAACATCTTTAAGTTGAAGGTGGTAGGTCAGGAAAATGAACAAAAGAGATACTAAATCTCACAACTGGGATTAGATAAAGTAAAAGAACTTAAGTAGCACAATTTCTTAGGCACATGATAAAGAATTTTAAATATGATTATGCCACATGTAGTTGTAACACATTAACCAATGATCTGGGGGTTAGTCGGTAAATTCAACTCACTAGAAGAGCAGTCATAACCTCCCTGCAGGGAATCATGATTGACCTGAGTCTAGTTTATTGATAGGAATATGTCACAGTCCCTCAAATATGCAGAATTGGGAGTTTAATAAAAGACTGAGAACCACAGTTCACAAAATCATATTCAAATGAAAAGTATAAGATCACTTATTTTTCTAAGCAAAATTACACATCCCAAAATTATAACTTATGCATTAGTTGTTCCATAAACACACTACTATCACCTTTCTTAAAGGCAACAAAAGTAGTGTTGATTTTGTCTCAATTTCCTAATTTAGATTTTTTTTCACTAAGTAAATATACAATATATAAAACTTGATAGATAATTCAAAATTAGCATAAAAGTAAAAATGAAAAAAAATTGTTTTAATACCTACGAATTGGAAATAACTAATTTCAATACCAAAGAATACACAATTCTGCCATGTAGTAAAACATAGATAAACCTTGAAGACATTATGCTAAGTAAAATAAGTCGGACAAAAAGAACAAATATTGGGGCCTCCCTGGTGGCGCGAGGGGTTAGAAAGCAGCACTATGAAGCTATCCGCAGCCACTGCAGCATGAGTTCAATCCCCAGCCAGGGAGGTGACCCACATGGCACAGCAGACCTATATACCGTCTCGCCCGCTGCTTCCCTCAGCAGTGTATTTCAGTCAATCCACCTGTTCTGTTCCATACTGTCTCTGGTGAATCCTCTCATCCCCCACACCTCTGGGCTGTACCCCAGGTTCTTGTATGTATAAATAAATAAATCTTAAAAAATATATAAAAAGAACAAATATTACATAATTCCATTCATATAAGACTATGAATAAGTCTAGCTTATAGAGATTGAGAGCAGAATGGTAGTTGCCGGGGCAAGAAGAAGGGAAGAGTGGGGAGTTAATGTTTAAAGTATATATAGTTTGTTTGAAAACCAAACCACAATTTAAAGATCTGCAAAGGAAAAATGAGTTCGATCCATGGGCCTCCCCGGTGGCGCAGCGGTTGAGCGCTGGGTTGCGAAGCTGCCCGCGGCCTCTGCGGCGCCGGTTCGATCCCCGGCTGCTCCCCGGCCACCGGAGGAGGGTCCCATATGGCGCGCAGACCTCTCCTGCCACCCGCTGCTCCCCTCAGCAGTGTACTTCGGTCCTTCTGCCTGCTCTGCTCCCCGCTCTGGCTCTGGTGAATTCTCTCACCCTCCCGCGCTTCTGACTGTACCCAGTGCTTGTAGAAATAAATAAATAAATAAATAAATAAATCTTTAAAAAAAAAAAAAAATGAGTTCGATCCAAATTTGCTGAAAAATATTAATTTACACATCTAAGAAATCCAACGAACAAAAATATAGGATAAATATAAAGTGATATACATGTAGACACATCAGAGTAAAAACCCGAAAGAAAATCTTGAAAGCAATGCAAAAAATAACTCATCACATTCAAGGAAACCCCAAAAGGATTAACTTCTCATCAGAAATAAGGAAGAGCAGAAGGCAGTGATATGACATACTCAAAGAGCAAAAATGGAAAAGAAAAACCTAAAGTGTTGACCAAAAATCTTTTATTCAGCAAAATTCCTTCAGAAGTGAAGATGGGGGGTCTCCCTGGTGGCGCAAGGGGTTAAGACACAACCTATGAAGTTGTCCATAGCTTCTGCAGTACAAGTTCGATGCCCAGCTGGCCAGGGAGCTACCCACATGGTGCAGCAGACCTCTCCTGACTCACCCGCTGCTCCCCTCAGCAGTGTACTTCAGTCAATCTGCCTCTTCTGCTCCCCACTCTGCCTCTGGTGAATCCTCTCACCGCCCCGCCCCCACCTCTGGCCTGTACCCCAGGTCTTGTATGCATAAATAAATAAATAATTAAAACAAAACAAAAAAAATGAAGATGATATAAAGATACTCCAGAAAAATAAAACTGAGAGAATTTGTTGCTAGCAGGGCTACCTTACAAGAAATACTAAAGGAAATTTCTTAGGGTTGAAATCTCCCAGTCAAAAGAAATTTACAGAGAACAAAGAAAGAATGAAAAACAACCCATATCACAACTGAAACATAAACTAAACACTTTGTACATCTGCCCCAAAAGGTTTTTTTACCATTTATTGTCACTGATTATTTCCCTCCTCTCTAGAATATCTTTATCAGAAGCCAAATAGTTTTTCTAATTTAGGTTTTCCAATCTGAAGGATAACATGTAGTTGGTAAAATATGAAACACATAGTGAAAATTCCCCACACCACCTTCTCCCACAAAAGAAAACAATCTCCTGACCTAATGTATATATTACGTATGTAGATATGACTCATACAGATTTTTAACAAAACATGAATTATAACAATTATCTTGGATAACTCAATGAGCATCTGTAAAATATAAAAGTATATCAGCTGATAAGTTACTTTCCAGCTATCATCCAATTGAGGAACCTCTAGGATGTTCCAGTGTTTTAACTATTACAAGTGATAATGTAAGTTCATCCTTTTAACACTTCATTTTTAATGTTCCAACTACTATAAAGGAAAATTCAAAAAGAATAATTACCAATTATGTAGTTTTCCTTTTTATTGTAAAAAATTACAAGAATACATAAAAGTAGACAAAACAAGTGCAACAAACCATCAAGTATTCACTACTCACATTTTGATTACGTCATGGCCAATACCGCTTCATTTAAGCAACCCATTTCACCCCAATCCATGTTACATGTATTTCTTTATGTGAAAGACTGTCAAATTAATCTCCAAAAAAGGTACCATTTGACACTCTCATGGACACCTTCACCAACAGGAAGTATTATCGTTTTGCTATTTCACACCACACACACACACATACACACACAATTTCTATCGTAATTAAAGAAGCATGTTTAAAATGGATTTGTTAACAATGTGTATACCTTCTAGAAATTGGAGTTAATGTTCTTTACCTGTTTTTTAAACTGAAGTTAATCCTTTCTATTATTTTCTATTTACATTTCTGAATATAAATGTTTAAATTACATACATCATTGTATTTCTGAATAATAATAATGCTTTGTTACAGATACTGGAAATATTCCCAATTCATACACTGTGAAAATGCCTTGACATTTTTTTTTTTAAGATTTATTGATTTATGCATACAAGAACTGGGGTACAGGCCAGAGGTGCGGTAGGTGAGAGACTTCACCAGAGACAGAGCGGGGAACAGAACAGGCAGATGTACTGAAATATACTACTGAGAGGAGCAGCGGGCAAGTCAGGAAATGTCTGCTGCGCCATGTTGGTTGCTCCCAGGCTGGGCGGGAATCGAAATCGTGCTGCAGTGGCTGCGGATTGCTTCGCAGGTTGCATCTTAATGCTTGCGCCACCAGGGAGGCCCTAAACAGATTTTTTTGACTGCGTGATCAGTACTTCTTATTATTAGGTTGACTTTGGTCAGTCACTACAAACCTGTACCTTTCATCTTGCACCCAGCTAGGCTGCCTCACTTTTTAAGATGTCAGATCACAGAGAATTTAAATTTAAAAAAAAAAAAACAACAATGGATTTGGTTCATGTGTCTGTCCTTTAAGTTCTATATTCCCTACCTCTATTGAGATAAGTAAAAGGTACCCCACTCTTCCCTACACCCACATCTCCAGTCAGTATCTTTTCATTTTAGAGGATGTTAATGACATTATTTTTACAGCAACATTAGAAACTAGAAGACAGTGGAACTAATTTAAAATTCTGAGTGAAATGAAGCTATCCACAGTCTCTACAGCATGAGTTCGATCC